GGCTTCAGCAACTTAGTGAGGCCCTTAGAAATTTACTGAGAGCTTGTCTCAAAATAAAAATAAAAAGGGCTGGGATTCAATCCCTGGCACCAAAAAGAGTTTTTGTTTGTTTGTTTTGTACTGAGAACTACTGAGCTATATCCCCAGCCCTTTTTATTTTGAGACAGGGTCTTACCAAGTTGCTGAGGGTGTTACTAAATTCCCCAGGCTGGACTATAACTTTCGATCTTCCTACCTCAGCCTTGAAGGATCCTGGATAACAGGAATGCACCACCAGGCCTGGCAATCATAGAAATGTCTTTAAATGAAAGAAATGTGTCTTGCTCTGTAACAAAGGACCTCTATAAAGCCAGTTTAATGCCTTCTTTCTTCTTTCCACTAGTACTTTCTAGTGGTATCTAGCTATAAGTCCTCACTTTGATTGTACCCAGAGCTCCTTTAAGATAGCAATTTGGTGTTTCAGTCTTCTTGACACTGTATTTCTGTCACTAGGGCAGAAAGGGTTTCATAAATATTTATTGAACTGAATAGTAATTTGTAATTTACATAAAGGGAAAATGCCTAGAATCCAAGCACTGTTTCTTTTTGTTTTCTTTCTTTCTTTCTTTTTTCTTTTTTGGTACCAGGGATTGAACTCACAGTGGTTAATCACTGAGCCACATCGCCAACCCTTTTTATTTTTTTATTCTGAAACAGGATCTCACTAAATTGTGTAGGGTCTCGCTAAGTTGCTGAGGCTGGCTTTGAACTTGTGATCCTTCTGCCTCAGCCTCCTGAGCCACTAGGATTATAGGTATGGGCCAATGTCCTGGCTTGTTTATTTCTTCTTATCAGTAGATCTCAGCATTGTTTTCTCCTTCCTCCACTTTTTATTTCCTATAGAAACCTAATGGTGACTGACCAGGGAAATTTCCTTTATTATTGGCTATAAATCTTCCCTTTTAAAAAATTTGATATATATTTTTCCCCACATTTTTTTGCTGGTGCATTATAGTTGTACATACAAATGGAATTGTTGTTACATATCCATATATGCACACAATATGAAATATAAAATATAATTGACCAATATCACTTCTAGCACTTTCACCCTCCACACCTAGTTCTTTACCTCTACTGATCCCCCTTTGATTTTCATGAGATCTGTCTCCATCTTTCTTTTTCTTTTCCTCTCAAGCTTCCTCATATGAGAGAAAACATATGACCCTTAACCTTCTGAATTTGCCTTCTTCTGTTTAACATTGTGGTCTCTAGTTCCAATAATTTTCCTGCAAATGACATAATTTCATTTTTCTTTATGGCTGAATAAAACACTATTGTGTATACATACCACATTTCTTTATCCATTCATCTGTTGATGGACACCTAGGCTGCTTCCATAGTTTGGCTATTGTGAATTGTGCTGCTATTAACTTGGGTATGCATACATCACTGTAGCATGATGACGTCAGTTCTTCAGGATAAATACTGAGGAGTGGTATAGCTGGGTGATATGGTGGTTCCATGCCTAACTTTTTAAGGAAACTCCATACTGGTTTTCATATTGGTTGTACAATCTAACATGCCACAAGAGTGTAAAAGTGTTCCTTTTTTTCCACATCCTCTCCTGCATTTTCTATTATTTGTATTGTTGATGACTGCCATTCTGACTGGTGTGAGATGAAATCTCAGTATAGTTTTGATTTGGATTTCCCTAATTGCTAATGATGTTGAACATTTTTTAATATCTTTGTTGGCCATTTGTATTTCTTCTTTTGAGAAGTGTCTGTTTAATTCATTTGCCCACTTATTAATTGGGTTATTTGATTTTTTTTTTTGGTGTAAAGTTTTTTGGTTCTTTATATATTCTGTATCTTAATCCTCTGTCAGTAGAATAGGCTAACAAAGATTTTCTTCCATTCTGTAGGTTTCCCTTCACATTCTTGTTTCTTTTGCTATGCATAAGCTTTCTAATTTGATGTCGTCCCATTTACTAACTCTTGGCATTATTTCCTGAGCTTTAGGAGTTCTATTGAGAAAGTCATTTCCTGTGCCTATATGCTAGAATGTTGACCCTATATTTTCTTCTAGGAGTTGTATAGTTTCTGATCTAATTCCTATGTCTGATCGATTTTGAGTTGATTTTTGTGCAAGGTGAGAGCTAAAGGTCTAGTTTCATTCTTCTACATATGGATAACCAGTTGTCCCAGCACCATTTATTAAATGGCTGTCTTTTCTCCAGTGTATGCTTTTGGCACTTTTGTCAAGGATCGGTGACTATATCTGTGTGGGTTTGTATCTGTGTCTTCTATTCTGTACCACTGGTGTATGTATCTTGATTTTATGCCACTACCATGCAATTTTTGTTACTGTAACTCTGTAGTATAATTTAAAGTCAGCTACTGTGATGGCCAGCATTGCTTTTTTGGCATAGAATTGCTTTGGCTATTATGGGTCTTTTATTCTTCCAAATGAATTTTAGGACTCTTTTTTTCTTGTTCTGTGAAGAGAGTCATGGGTATTTTGATGGGAATTGTATTGAATCTGTGTATTGCTTTTGGTAGTGTGGCCATTTTAGCAATATTAATTCTGCTTATCCATGAACATGGGAGATCTTTCCATCTTCTGAGGGCTTCTTCAATTTCTTTCTTCGTGTTCTATATTTTTCATTGTAAAGGTCTTTCAACTCCTCGGTTAGATTTATTTCTAGTTGTTCCCCTGCCTCCCCCAGGCTACTGTGAATGGAATGGAATTGTTTTCATGATATTTTTCTCAGCAGATTCATTGTTGGTATATAGGGAAGTTATTGATTTTTTATGTTGATTTTGTAACCTGCTACTTTGCCAAATTTGTATATTAGCTCTAGTAGTCTTTTAGTGGAGTTCTTTGGATCTTCTAGGTGTAGGATCATATCATATGTAAACAGTGATAATTTGACTTCTACCCTTCCTATTTCTATCCCTTTTATTTCCTTCTCTTACCTAATTGCTCTGGCTAGTATTTCTATCACTAAATTATTAAACAGGAGTGGTGAGAGTGGCTGTCCTTTTTTTGTCCCAGATTTTAAAGAAAATGCTTTCAATTTTTCCTCATTTACCCTGAGTTTGGTTTGGGATTTTTATTTATAGCTTTTATGATGTTGAGATATGTTCCTTCTATCCCTAGTTTTTTCAGTGTTATTTATAATAAATGGGTACTATATTTTGTCAAAGACCTTCTCTGATCTATTGAGATGACTAAGTGATTTTTTGTTCTTAATTTCATTTATTTAATGGATTATATTTACTGATTTGCATATATTAAACAATCCTTGCACCTCTGGAATAAACCAATTTGCTCATGGTGTATAATCTTCTTAATATGTTGCCAAACACGATCTGCTAATATTTTATTAAGTATTTTTGCATCTCAGTTCATCAGGCATATTGGTCTATAGTTCTATTCCTTGGTGACAAATCTCGTCTTTTAAATTTCAAAATTGGCACACAAAAACCAAAAAGAAAGGGGAAAAATACCACACTCTGAGACACTCTGAAGGTACTGCAGTAATCTTAAAACATTTCTCTTTGAAATGTTTGGAAAATTCAGAATAAGGAGTCAAACAAATTTAGAGGTCGAAAATAGAATTCTTGCTAGGTATGGTGAGGCAGGCATGTAATCCCAGGGACTTAGGAAGCTCAGGCAAGAGGATCACAAATTCATGGCCAGCCTCAGAAATTTAAAAAATGAAATAAAGGACTGGGGATGGGGATATAGGTCAGTGGTAAAAAGTCCCTGAGTTCAATCCCCAGTGCTAAATAAATAAATAAACCTTTATTCTAGCCAATAAGTATTTATTTGGGGAATTAAAAGCAGCAGCCAGAAGCATTAGAGGAAGAGAAAAAACGGAAAGAAATAGACTCCTTTCCACCTAATGTGAGCCTCAGGGCTAAGAATAAAAGGCTCCAGGTGAAGTGTCATGCACTTGTAATCCCAGTGATTGGGGAGGTGGAGGTAGGAGGAAAGGCAGAAAGTGAAAAGGACAGATATAATAAATTATAGTTTATATTTTGAAGAATCAGGATGGCAAATTCCAGGCTAACCTGGACAATTTAGCGAGCACCTGCCTCAAATTTAAAAAAAAAAAGAAAGAAAGAAAAGAAAAAAGAGTGGGGGCTGGGTATGTTGCTCAGAGGTAAATCTCCCTGGATTCAATCGCCAGTACACTTTTCCCCACTCCCCAAAAGGGCATGCTACTATTTTTAATACAATTCTAAAGAAGAATACTAAAATAGGCTTGTGTGGACAGCCTATCTTGTGTATTTATTTTAAGCAAATGTGTTATTTCAAAAAGAAAACAAAAAACAAAAAACGAAATGTGTTCAATTTTCCTGTTTTAAATGAATTAAGGTCTTTTCCCTCCCCATTTAACCAGTATCATTCCTCTCCTCTAGGCTTGGGGCAAAACAACATTTACAGATTTGCAAGAAACACAGCATCTTTATTTATGCAGATTTCGGGCAATTTTATAAGTGAAATAAGCCAATACTCAAATGGATGTCAGTTTCACTTCTTTTTGGCTCTGATCTGGGCACTCTCCAGTCAGTCACTTAATAAGTAGACCTCGATTTCATTTTTCAAACCTATTGAAACAGGAGCGTTGTTAGATGATTGCCAAAATCCTTTCTAACTTTTCCACTCTGAAGAACTGTCCCTTGAGGTTCCTTCACTTGTGTTCAGCATCGTGCGTTGTCACTTTGATCTACGTTCCAGTCTCTGGAGACAGGCTACCGTGGGCACCAGGAGTTTGCTCCAGAGGCTGTGGAGTGGCCGCACTCTCGGGGACACTGGCAGATCGTGTCGCTGGCCGGTATTTTGGGATCCGAGGCGGGAACCTTTCCAGTTCAAATTCCGGGTCTTGAGGCGCCACCCGGAGCCCCACCCTGCTCGGGTCTCAGCCCGAGGCTCCAATTGCACTTCCGAGGTTGGGCGGGACCCGGGCGGGGCTTATGTCATGTGACAGGACCGTGTCCGTCCCGCCCTCCCGCTTCCTGCACCGGACCGTCCCGGCCGCGCCTCCTCCTTCGCACGCGGTGTCCCCGCAGCCGCCGCGCTCTCCCGGACTAGGCGCTGCAGCCATGGCTCCTGGCCACCTCGGTGAGGCCCTCGCGGAGCCGCGCCATCTGCGAGCTTGCTTCGCAGCTCGGTGTCCCTCCATGGCTGTGGCCTGGCGGCCACCGCGGGCCGGGCTGGGCTGGGCTGCGGACCCCTCTGTGGGCTGCGATCGGTGCCCAGAGCCCGCCTGTCCCCGCGCAGCGTCTCCTTCCCCGGGCTCGCCAGCTTGCGACCCGGGTGGCTTCGGGGCAGGGCCTGCCTGTCGTAGGCCCAGACGCTGGCCTTGTCACGCGTGAGTTTCCTCCCCCAGGCCTTGGAGAAGCAGTGTAACGTACTGCAAGTAGTGAGCAAAAAATGCCTTCTCTTTCAGCCTTGTTCAGTGTCTCTGACAAAACTGGCCTTGTGGAATTTGCCAGAAATCTAACGTCTCTTGGTTTGAATCTGGTCGCTTCCGGAGGAACTGCAAAAGCTCTCAGAGATGCTGGCCTGGCAGTCAGGTAAGGGACAATTTAGTTTTTAAGGTAAGTCCAGGCAGAAAGTGATCCATCCAGAAAAGAATGTAATCCAGGAACCATGAATAAAACTCCTTATACTGAGTAACCCTGCAAGGTTGGTGCACTCCTCACCCACTTCATGAAAGAGGAAAATGAGCCTCAGAAGTTTAGTAACTTAACAGATCTAGGGTCAAGTAAGGTGTATGATTGGAACCCAGGTAGTTTCAGAACCCCACATTAATTTAGGTGGGTCATCTATTATGCACGATGAACTCAAAAGTTATAATTCCCTCTGTTCACGTGATTAACTGTTTAATAAAGCTGTTTACATGTTTTGAAGAATCACATTTACTTCCCCTTGGCACCTCCCCTAAGGGGATGAAAGAGAGAACAAGTCATTCATTGGCTCATTTATTACCTTACTAGGCAGTGGAAGGAGATGCCCAGGAGATAAAGCAGGAGGCCATTCCAGACCTCAAGGAGCTTGCATTATGGCTGGAGAGGACGGAAGGCCACTGAAAGGCAGAAAGTGAAAAGGACAGATATAATAACTGTAGTGAGAGTTCAGAGGAAGGCCATATCAACCTCTGAGAGAGATTTTAGAAAAGGGATGAAAACTGCCTTTGTTGCTGTGTGGAAAGTTCACTTCTGGCCCTCCAGACCATGTCGATGTGGATTATCCACCTTTTTCTTCATGTAATTCTGTGGTGCATGAGCAGAGCCTCCCTAGATGTACAAGTTCAGATGCCAAGAGAAAGCTTTATTAAATAAATGCTTTCTCTCAAATTTTTTTTGTCCTTTTCCAGTACTGGGAATTGAATCAAGGGTGTTCTACCACTGAGCTACTTTCCCAGCTCCCTACTGCCTCCTACCCCACCACACACACTTTTTACAAAAAAAAATTTGAGACAAAGTCTCACTAAGGTTTCCCAGGCTGGCCTCAAACTTGGAATCATCCTGCCTCAGCTTCCCAAGTAACTGGGATTACAGATGTGTACCTCTGCACCCTGCTGTTTCTCAAAGCCTTTTTACATCTTAACACTGAGGTAGTAAAAGTGGCTTCTGATTCTCAACATGTTGATGTATTCCTTCCAGTGTTTTTATAAGCATTTCCTCTCTTATGTGAGGTCTGTGAGAATCACAGAAAGCTGGCAGGTCGATTCTTCTGAAGAGCAGCAGGATGAGACTATGGAGTCCATATGTCTTCTTTCCATTGGGCTGAGTTGGGGTCAGTTCTCATCTGCCCCCACCTTTTTCTCCTCAAACCTTGTATTATGGAAACATTCCAGGCAAAATGAGTATAACGTGTAAATTAATAACCTCTATGTGTGTGCTATCGAGTTTAAATAGTTATCAACTTTCCAGTGTTATTGTTATTTCTGTCTCTACCTACTCCTCACTTACCCCCATTATGATGATAGCTTTTCTTTCTTTTTTTTTTTAATTGAGAAGATAGATATGTTTCTATCCGATTAAAGGGTGAGAATGTTCTCCATGAATGGTTTACATAGAGCCCAGCACAATAAACTTCATTGAATGGAGTAAGACAAGTGAGAGGGGTGTTTTTTTGTTATTTGTTTTTTTGGTATGAGGGATTGAACCCAGGGGTGCTTAGCTACCCAGCCACATCCCCAACCCTTTTTATTTTTTATTTTGGGCTCTAGAGTCTCACTTAGTTGCTTAGGGCCTCTCTAAATTGCTGAGGCTGGCTTTGAATTTGTAGTTCTCCTTCCTCTGCCTCCAAGCCACTGGGATTACAGGAATGTGCCACCATGCCCTACCTGAGGGCTGTTTTATGTATATTAACTCATATAGTCCTCCCAGTAACATTTTTGGTGTGGGTAATATTGTCCCTATTAGGCAATTAAGAAAACTGAGTTACAAAGAAATCTGTAGGGGGGTTGGGTGTGTAAGTCAGTGATAGAGTGTTTATGTAGCATGCAAAGAGGCCAGGATCTTTCCCAGAAAGGTAACTGTTGTCTTGTGTGGTCAACTGGTGAGGTTTCAGAGTATACAATAGTAAATAGAGAATTGTTTCTGAAGACTACATGTGTTACAGACAAATTCTTGAGTACAAAGGAATAACAAGCTTTTTAACCCCACATGTTTATTTCTAGGAATAAATCTGCTATCTCTGTCTTAAGTGATAATCTTTAGTTGGAAGAACTGAATTTTATTTACTGAATTTATTCCTGTGTAGTGTACTCAGGAAATCTGTATCCTATTTTCAGAATTTGCTGTTCTAAAATTTTATTATTTTCTTCCTATAAATGCCATATATGTTGATTGCAGAAAATTTTTTAAAGTGTGAAAATCTATAAAGAAGATAGTAAAAAGGCTTATAATTCTCAACATGTTAATGTCTTTCTTCCAGTGTTTTTATAAGCATTTACTTTACTTCATAGCTTACACAGAAGATACAGTTTTGCTTCTTGCTTTTTTTCCCCTTGCTTATATATATTATGGGCCTTTTCCCACATCATTACAACTTATAATTTTGCCAGAGGATGTTTATGTGTGTAGCTTTCTGGAGGTCAGCTTGACTGATGTGGGTTAATATTTTAAAATTGCCCTTTATATTTTGTGATCCCTGTTATCGTTTTTCTATGTAGTTTTAACATTTACATAGTATTTAATGACGTTTTGTATAACACCCACACTGCTTCTTTTCCCCCTTTTTTTATGGTATGAGGAGTTGAACCCAGAGGTACACTATTCCTGAGCTTCATTCCAGTCCTATCATATTTTAATTTTTTTTGAGACAGGGTCTCACTAAGTTGCTGAGAACCTCTATAAGTTGCTGAGGCTGGCCTTGACTTTGCGATCCTCTTGTGTCAGTTTCCAGAGTAGCTGGGATTTGGGGCATGTCTTGCCACATCAGGCCTTACCTCACTTTTCAGAACAGGCTTCTTTTTCCACTTGTTTGATATGCCACTTTTATGCTTTTTTAATCATAAAACTCAATTCTTATTTCTACTTGGTTAATTTCTGAGATAAGAATATTTTTAATGCTTCTTATTAGATACTGCCAAATTGCTTCTCAGGTTGAATCTATTTCTTAATATTTAATTAGTATGGTTTATGATTCAATTTCTGAATTCCTGAAAAAAAATGTAAAATTAGTGCTTTAGTATACTGGTTTTCCCCAAACATACTTCAGTTAAAAAATAGAATAACATTTGTTTGGAAAGTTAATAGAATTTTATGTAAGAAATGAAATGTACCTGGCCAAGGTGGTGCACTCCTGGAATCCCAGTGACTCCAGAGGTTGAGGCAGGAGAATCAGAGGTTCAAAGCCAGCCTCAGCAATTTAGCAAAACCCTAAGTAGATTAGTGAGACTCTGTCTAAAAATTTTAAAAAGTTCGGGGAGGACTAGGAATATGGCTCAGTGGTTAAGCACCTCTGGAATCAATCCTTGGTACCAAAAAATAAGAAGTCGAATATTGTGAGAAACTTAGGACACTGGAATAATTTTTTTTTGTTCAATTCAGGCTGTGAAAAAAAATCTCTTGAAATGAGAACGATAGACTTGATGGGAGCTGTTTGGATTATTGACAGTTCAGAAATAGTCCTAATATTCTGTTTATCTGTTTCAGAGATGTCTCTGAGATAACTGGATTTCCTGAAATGTTAGGGGGGCGCGTGAAAACCTTGCATCCTGCAGTCCATGCGGGTAAGTGATATTTTCAGTTTAAAACAATCAATGGTTTACAAGAATATTTTAAAACTTTATAGAACAAAGGAGAAAGAAAGCAAGTCGCAAGCTGAAAAAAAATTACTGCTTATTAGGTTATATTGGTTTTGTCACATCAGCTGTCAAATTTCACACTGCATTAGAACCTGTTTAAAATCTGCCTTACCTTATTACATGATTAATTCAGATTGTTTACTTTTGCTTGTTCTTACTCTTGTCTTAATAACTACTAATTTAGAGTGTTGTATTTCCTATTGGAGTTACTGAAAATATTTAGTTTTTATAGTATAAAGTATAGACTTTTAAGATCAGAAGATACCTGATTTTTTAAAAAAATATTTTTTTAGTTGTAGATGGATCTTTATTTTATTTATTTATTCTTATGGGGTGTTGAGGATAGAACCCAGTGCTTCACACATGCTAGGCAAATGCTGTACCACTGAGCTACAACCCCAGCCCCCCAAATACCTGATTTTTAAAGGATATTTTTTGGAGTGCTTTATTCATTTGCCTGACACAGTTAATTGCAAATAAACAAAAATGGTAATAAATAGTATATTGCTACCTTGTTAGTTGCAGTAAAATTGGGCAAACAAAAACTGGAAGGCTAATGATCATCAGAAAATCCGTTGACTTAGGGAACACCTGAACTGTGATGGATTTGACACAATTGGTATAAAAATTTGTTTTACAGCTTTTACATTTTGTTACTCAAGAACAGTATATTAGGTACTGATCCAAGAGATTTTTAAATATACTCACTATTATTTTTGCTCAATAACTCTTAAACTGCATTTTGTATTCATATAATTAAGAGCATTAAAGGATTTAACTTGATTGATGGGACTACATTAAAATAAGTACCTTCTTGTTTTCTGAACTTAATCTTTCTTTAACTTTGTTAAATTAGGAATCCTGGCTCGTAATATCCCAGAAGATAATGCTGACATGGCCAGACTTGATTTTAATCTTATAAGGTAAAAATCCGAAGTTGAACTTTTAACACATCAAGGAACAAAGACAAAGAATATGCTCAACCTGATGTTCTTCACCCACTTTTTTTTCCCTTCACTGTAAGCCCTTGCAGAGTCCATCTTTCTCTCCCCTCCTCTCTTCCCCTGGTTCCTTTCCTCTACTAATATCTCTTCAGTTTTCCTGAGATCCCCTCACCTTTCTTTTTCTTTTTCCTCTTTACCTTCCACATATGAGACAAAACAACCCTTTATTCAACCTTTGACTTTTCATATTTCAGCCCCTGTATATTTTCTTTACAGGGTTTTTAGTTTAGGTATAGGTCTTTGATTCATTTTAAATTAATTTTTATATATAGGTGTGAGGTAGGGGTTCAGCTTTACTCTTTGCATGTGACTGTCCAGTTGTCCTGCATTATTTGTTGAATAGATTTTTTAAATTGTCATTGGGTGGGCTTGGTCTGCTGTGTTTCTGTGTTCCATTATGCCAACCCTACTTCACTACTGTAGCTCTGTCTTATGTTTTGAAATCAGCAGCTGAGTTTTCCAACTTTGTTTTTCTTACTCAAGATTATTTTGGGCTCAGTGTAGTGGCCCACGCCTGTAATCCCAGAGACTCAAGATGCTAAGGGAAGAGGATTGCAAGTTCCACTCCAGCTTTGGGCAATTTAGCCAGTTCCTGTCTCAAATAAATAAATAAATAAATAAAACCAGGCTAGAGATACAGTTTAGAACACTTGCAGGTTCAATCCCCAGTTCTAGAAAGAAAAAAATGATTGCCCATTCAGGGACACTTGCATTTCCACAGTTTTGAGGAACACTTGTCCATTTCTACAAAGAAAGGTAGTTGTAATGGGATTGTGTTCAATCAATAGGTGATTTGGGAAATGTTGCCATTTCAGGAGTATTAAGTCTTCCAACCCATGAACATGGGATTGTCTTTTCATTCATTTCAGTTTTTCTTCACTTTGTTCCATCATTATTTTGTACTTTTCAGTATACAAGTTTTATATGTTTGTTAAATTTATTCTTAAATATTTTTATTCTTTTTGATGCTATTGTAAGTAGTTTTGTTTTTTGAATTTCAGTTTCTGATTGGTCCTTGCTAATGTATACAGTTGCTTTTTGTCTATTAATCATATATCCTGCAACCTCCATGCATTTTTTTTTATTGGTGCTACTAGGTTTTCATGGCATCTGTGTGTGGAGGTAACTTCACTTTTTTTTTTTTTTTTTTTCTAATCCTGAGGATGCCTTTTATTTTTTGGTGAGTTTTCCTGATGGAAACCTCTAGCACAATGTTGAATATTAGTGATAAGAAAGGCTTTTCTTTTTAAGTATTGGGGCTCGAGCTCAGGAGTACTTAACCAATGAGCCACATCCCCTTGTCATTTTTTTTATTTTGAGACAGTTCTGGCTAAGTTGTTGAGATTGGCTTTGAACTCTAAATTCTCCTGCCTCAGCCTCCTGAGCTGCTGGGATTACAGGTATGTGCCACCGCTCCTGGCTTGTCAGGTGCTTTTTTGTGCATCTATTGAGATGATCAGATATTTTTTTGTTCTTTATTCTGTTAGCATTACATTAACTATTTTTTCTGTTTTAAGAATATTTTTTAGTTGTAGCTGGACACAATATCTTTATTTATTTTTATGTGATGCTGAAGATCAAACCCAGTACCTCACAGTGTAAGGCAAACGCTCTACCACTGAGCTACAGCGCCAGCCCTTAACTCTTTTTTTTTTTTTTTTGATACTTACCCCAACTCCACATTATTGGGATTAAACTCAACTTGCCATGATGTATAATTTTTTTTCTATTTTTGTGGATTCAGTTTGTTAGGATTTTTTTGTGTCAACATACATAAGAGGTAGTGGTCTGTAGTTTTCTTAGGACACGTTTATCTGGTTTGGTATCAGGGAATAGACAATAGAATGAACTGGGGGGTTCAATCTCCTATTTTCCCGGAGTTTTTGATCATTTTTACTACTTAAACATGTTTGGCTCAGGAGCCTGCCCACAGGAATTTGAAGTCCAGAGAGTGGAAGTCTACTTCATTAGTCATTTTTAAATTATTTCTGCATTTTAAGTTATTCTTTTGGCCTTCCTGTTAACATCATTTTTGTGACCGCTCTGAAGGCAAAACAAGTATTTCACCTTTAGAATGTTCTATTGTTTTTCATCACCGTGCACAGTCCATTGGTAAGTGAATCTAAATTTGAACATCCTAGATAAAAGTGATCACAGTCTAAAATGAGGGTGTTATTTGTAATTTGGTGTTTTCCATTTCTGTTGAAGTGTTTTAAGTTTCTGATAGCCTGATGAGATTACCCAAGCAGGACACTGGTCCTTGGAGGGACCAGTGTGTGACCAGATCAGAGCTGCAGCTGACTATACCAGCTGGACAAGTAGACCTTTTAGCACAACTTTTTAGAACTTTTTAGAACTCTGAATGTCAGGCTCACAGTTTGTAATTTGGATCTTTTTGGCTTTGATCACGTTTCTAGTACTGACTTCTTCCTAGATAAGCTGTAAACCACATAAGCTGAGTCTTCGGTGACGCTCGCTTCTCTCCTTTCTAGAGTTGTCGCCTGTAATCTGTATCCCTTTGTGAAGACAGTGGCTTCTCCAGATGTAACTGTTGAGGAGGCTGTTGAGCAAATTGATATTGGTAAGTTAGAGAAACCATTTGGAGGACTGACTGAGGAGGGGATTATTTGAATTCTAATGAGATTTTCTTTTCATTATTAATGAAACAAAGATAGTTACTTCTCCAAGATTATCTTCTGGGATAATTATAACTTATCTATTTTATTATCTATTTGTGGTATGGAGTTTTATTTAGGTATTTTTTTCCTTATTTGTTTTCCTTTTTAAGTCAAGAATTAAAGAGAACTTTGTGTACAGTGACTATAAAGATATTTTTTTGTTGTTGTTCTTGAAAGGTGGAGTGACCTTACTGAGGGCCGCAGCCAAAAATCATGCCCGAGTGACAGTTGTGTGTGAACCAGAGGACTATGTGGCAGTGTCCACAGAGATGCAGAGCTCTGATAGTAAGGACACCTCCTTGGAGACGAGACGCCAGTTGGCCTTGAAGGTGGGGGATGCACTAAAGTTACATCTGAGCCAGGCATGGTGTTGCAAGCCTGTGATCCCAGTGACTTGGGAGGCTAAAATCAGGAGGATTGATCGCAAGTTTCAGGGTAGCCTCAATAGTTTAATGAGGCCCTAAGCAACTTAGTGAGACCCTGTCTCAAAATGGAAAATAAACAGGGCTAAGGATGTGACTCAGTGGTTAAGACCCCTTGGTTCAATGTCTGATACCCCCAAAAAAGTGATGTTTATCGAGTGCAGTGTTTGCCAAACCAAATGTATTCAGTTCTTGCTTAGATATATCACCTAACAAGGCTTTGTTTGGAACTGCTATCCTTTTGTTAAAAATAGAATCTACCAAAAAGAATGAAAGACAACAGGAAGGGATCATTTGTAGAGTTATTCGTTGTTTGTGTCGTGTTTGTCTCATGCACAGGAACCAGGTATGCAGTTTGCTGTGTGCCTAAAACTCTCTTATCCCTGCTGCTAGTGTCTCACAAAGCTTACACCTTTTGTAGGCATTTACTCACACAGCACAATACGATGAAGCAATTTCAGATTACTTCAGGAAGCAGTACAGTAAAGGAGTGTCTCAGATGCCCTTGAGGTATGGAATGAACCCTCATCAGACTCCTGCCCAGCTCTACACACTGAAGCCCCGGCTTCCCATCACAGGTAAAGCCTAGTGTTGTGTGACTGTGCTGTGTCTGGATACTTGTGTGGCTTTCTCTGCATTGTACCTGATATGAGTCACATTTAGAAAATAAGATAAATTACATAATACCTCTTGCAACTATCCAAAATTGGGATACCAGTTGGACTTGTGAAATGTCAAAGAAATCTGGGGTGGCAAAGAGGTCAAGTTGGAGATGCAGATTGGAATGTCCTTCCTATGTGGATGGATATTTGTAAAGGTGCGGGATAGGATGGGATGCCTGGGTTTCACAGGGGAGGATCAAGACAAGCCTTGGGGTGCTTCTCCACTTGGTGGCAAAGCAGTGGAGGGACCAGTGGAGGAAAACCTACACATTTCGATGAGGTGTGGAATGCTTTAGAATAGAGGAAGGACTTTTGGGGAGTGATTCAAGGAGCAGTGTCCTTGGAATGATAGCTTTAGAATCCATTTGAAGTGGGCCAGAACATAAATTTGAGGTTCGGAAATAATAATGATACATAATTCTTCAAACAAATTAGGATTTCCATTGGTTTCTAGAGTGAAAAGAGGGTTTTCAGTGTGTTCCTGATGTGGGCTGTTGGAACAAGTCCTTGATTAGGGAGAGTGGAAAATAGGCAGAGAGAATTATAGGTGTGGCAGCTTCAGAGACCAAGCACTGATAGAGCAAGAGCAGCCTTGCTCACAATACAAGGGCACGCCCAGAGCCCACAGGCTGGCATCTTTGCTGGTGGGAAGAAGCAGGCCTTCGTGTCAGCTTTCTTTGTTGGTCTCAACAGCTTGGGGAGAGGTGGAAGGGAGCAGGATAACTTAAAATGCTCTTTTCCTTACCCTTCACATTCTTTCACTATCTGTTTTTATTCTACCTCAGGTACATTTTGTGTCTAACAATACTCATGTCCCCATTCACTCCATAACAGACACGACTGTCTTAACTGATCTCCGCTTTCTCTCTTGGCCTTCTTGTTTCAACAACAGAGAATCTTAAAAATGTGCAGCAGATGATGTCACACCTGATTGAAACCCCTTTCAGCCTTCCCTCTTCAAGCACCTGCCCAGATCTATTTCCTCTGCAGCGCCCTCACCCCGCTCCCTAAAAAATACTTAAAAAGTCTCCCCAGCCTCCCTCCCCCAAAAGATATATATATATATACTTACATATACAATAAGTATATATAGTAAATATATGTATATAAATATGTATTTTATATATTACAAATATATAATAAATGAATACATATTTATATATTCATGTATATTTATTCTATATATATGTATTTGTATGTTTACATATTAATATATTATATATAAACAGTATACATTTATATATATAGTACTCTTTGAACTTAGGTGAGTGACATAGAAGAAACAAACTAGACAATAATGAATTGAAAAAGTAAAATATTTCACAAGACATACAATGATTCATAATAAAGTGAGGCACCCTGTGTATAGCTCCTCATCTCCCTTGCTTCATAGACAAAGTAGCTGTGTCACGAGTGAGAGAATAATTGGTTTTTGAAACATCTCAAGATTTGAGTACCAGTTACCCTTCAAATATCGAATATTTAAAGACACTAATAATTGGTCAGACAGAAAGTTCTGCAGAGAAGTTCTGAATCTAGTAAATAGCTAAGTAAATAGAAATCGTCTCATTTCTAGTCGTAAGAAACTAGTCATTACAATCATACACACAATTCCATCTTTACTCTTGCTTCAGTTTTGTTTCCAGACACACAAACAAGCATATACCTTGTAATTAAATCACTGTCAAAAACATTCAAACCATATGATAAAGCAAAATGCCCCCTCTGTTGTGAAAATAAGCATATGTTTGGGAGAAATTCAATGAGTCTCTTACAGTAAATCATTGTTTATTTGCCCAGAGCCACCTCTGCCATATTTACCATAAAACATAAGAAGAAAAAAAAAAAAAACAAACAAACATCCATACCCCCACACACTAAAATAAGGGAACAATAAATCAAGACTTTTATATCTGTACTTTTATATCTGTACTGCATTATCAAAATGCTTTTGATAATGGAAAGTACGAGAACTGAAAGTACATGAAGATATTTTTTGCCTCAGAACCTAAATGAGGACTATAAATTACAGGGAGGAAGTATCTGAGATAAAACACAGGTGGTACACACCTGTAATGTCAGCTACTCAGGAGGCTGAGGCAGGAGGATGTCAACTTCAAGGCCAGCCTTGGCAACTTACCAAGACTCAGTCTCAAAATTCAAAGTGCTGAGGATGTAACTCAGTGGTGGAGGACCCTTGGCTTTAAACCCCAATACCTCCCTCAGCCATGGGCATTTAAGTTCATCCACGTCTTTTCATGGCTTAATAGCTTGTTTCCTTTCATTGCTTAGTTTGTTTGCCTCCCTCATAAGCTTACTGAAGACAATGATATGGGGGAGAGGTAAGAAGGGGTCCTTTATTCACTGATGTATCCCAAGTGCCTGAGCAGCCACTAATGTGGTAGGCAGTTAGCAAACATTTTGTGCAAGGTTTTTACTTTTTTCAAAAAAGTCTCTACTATTCAAGATAACATGAGGGAAATGAAAATCATGCAGCTTTGTTTTTAGTTAGTGCTGGCTCACTGTTTGCTTATGTGCACATCTTATGTTTATTCATGAGAGATACTAGCTCATGCCAAAGGTAGGAAAATAGTTAATGCTAGACTCTGAAGTTGCAGGCTCTTCCTAACTGCGATTTAGCTTTAGGCCATCTACTGCTTCTGCTGCAAAAGAATTTCTTCTTTCCTTCTCCTTTCCTCCCACCTGCACCTCTTGCTTTAGCTTGTAGTATAATTTTTTCAATTGACAAATTGTAAAATTGTCAATATGTACTCTTTATCTATAATTACAACAATTATCTCAATTCTGAATTTACATGGATCTCTGACTGATTTCCAGTCTTGTCCCGATTCCTTCTATACCTGAAACTCTGTTGTTGATTGATGTCTAGTCTGGCTGGATCTGGTCCTCCAGCAGTGTGTGTGCCTAGCACCGGTGTATGAGCTCAGGTTCAGCTGCTTTGTTTTTCTTTGTCAAGTTCCTATATGTTAGTGTCTCTTTGCTCTTAATTGTACTTTACTTGAAACATTTGTGTAGACTTGATAAGTTTTATTTTTTAAGGACTGTAAAGTGTATGTGTGTTTGTATACAGTTCTCAACGGAGCGCCTGGATTCATAAACCTGTGTGATGCTTTGAATGCATGGCAGCTGGTGAAGGAACTCAGAGAAGCTTTAGACATTCCAGCCGCGGCCTCTTTCAAACACGTTAGCCCAGCAGGTAAAGCACTGTGTTCCTGAATGCTCTGGAGCTGCTCTCAATGTGTTTCTTTTAAAATCCTTTTATATGCTTTTGTACACTTGACATGCTCTAATGTGGATCTAGGTGTTCTGTGAAGGTTTCAGTGAGTCTAGTGATAATAGTATCAATATAATAATATCATAAAATAACACATATAATTATTTGACAGTATTATGAGATAGGAAAATCAGGCCTTTTTTGCTGTGTAAGCATGATTGTATCAATCAAATGTTTTTCCATGTTTAAAAATGAATCTTAATAAAACATGAAGAAGTTGTTCTTATGACACTTTATCTGTAGCTCCGCCCGCCTCCCTGCCCCAATACTGGGGATTGAACCCAGGGGCACTCTACCATTGGGTTACATCCCCAACCCTTTTGCTTAAATGTTATTTTGAGACAGAGTCTCACTAAGGTGCTAAGGCTGTCCTGGAACTTGCAGTCCTACTGCCTTAGTTTCACAAATTGCTGGGATTACAGGCCTGCACTACTACAACTTTTTATAGCCATTGTATGAGATACCTTTTTGCTTCTGAATTTAAACCCTAATTCATACATACACACATGTGTGTATATATATATGTTATAGAATTAAGAATATACATATGGATACACACACATATCACCAGCTTTGCTGACAGTGCAACATATAATTATTTCTCAGTATTTATTACTTGTTAAAGCAATAGGAGCAGGGAAGAAATAATTAGTGTGTGTTACCAAGCAAAACAGAAAGAGTCAATAAGGAAGTAGCCCAGCTTCCTACACACTGGGTGCTATCAAGTTTCAGTGGCTCTGTTTGCAGAGGCTAGAGAGGAGATTAAAGCCCCAACCCTACCCTCCTGCTGCCTTGGCTCCCCCAGCAACTCTATTTTTGGTGTTTAATTTTGTGGATAAGTAGAATTTTATTTGGCACAGGTGGTAAAAAATGTGCTGCATAGACTAGACGTTTAAAAAAGTCTTGATTTAGGAGTTGACTACTAGCAACTTGAGGCTTTAAGTTTATTGATTATTTTGTGGTTTTCGCTATAGGAGCTGCAGTTGGAATTCCACTCAGTGAAGATGAGGCCAAAGTCTGCATGGTCTATGACATGTATAAAACCCTTACACCCATATCAACTGCATATGCAAGAGCAAGAGGTGAGACTAATAGGATTTTTATTTTGGGGGGAGAAAAAGCAATATTTTATCCTAAACAGAATAAAATAGTCATGTTGTTGTTTCAGTATAAAATTTCAAGTTATATTTGTTTTTTTAATACTTAAGAATGAGTATGAGTACCTTGGAACAAACTTGTTCATAAAATTATGTTAGATTTTAATGTGATAAATGGAATTTTGTATATATAATTTGACATTGAATGCATTTTGATTATTATATGATAAAACTATATATTACTTTAACTATAAAATTATATTGTTTTATATACATCAGAAATATCTAATTCTTGAGTTTATTAACATGGATTTTATTGTAATTGTATAAAAGATTATTGAGAAACCTATTGTAGTTTATCATCTATAGCAGAGTCAACAAACTATAACCTTCAGACTGAATCCAGCCTGTTTCCTATATTTATAATGTTTGATTAGATCCCGGCCACATGCATTTTTGTGTATTTTTAGTGGCTGATTTTGAACTCCAGCTGCAGATCTGAGTAGTTGCAATAGAGACCACTAAATGCAAAGCTTAAAGAATGTTTACTGTCTGGTCCTTCACAGAAAAATTGTTCAGTGCCATTCTAGAAGGTAAAATTGATGAAAGCTTGCTGATTGCTTCAATTAAATGACATTGATGGATCTGTTATTTGTCTTACGTAAACAATAAGAAAAATGGATTTATATATGATCATATAGGCATGTTTTAAATGTCATTTTCTGTGTGAGTTTGAGTGAATACCTTATTTTAATTTTTATTTACAGGGGCTGATAGGATGTCTTCTTTTGGTGATTTTGTTGCATTATCTGATGTTTGTGATGTCCCAACTGCGAAAATTATCTCCAGAGAAGTAAGTGGACATTCATGTATTTTGATCTGTGTGTAACTGAGTAAAGAATTATTCATTCATAGTGTTTTTTGAAGCTATAACCTATATAGTATTTATATTTGTACATGCTATAAATTAGCGAAGTATATCATGTAGAATGTTCATATATTTTATGTAGTGCATGAATGCTTATTTTTCTAATTTTGAGATGTAGTAAATTGATTTTAAATGGATATCTGATGTTTGGGTAGTTTTTCTTTATTTATGTAATTCTTTTAAGTTCTCTAGTGAGTATTATTGCCAAAGTTGCTGTTTCTGAAGAGCCGGGCCATCTTGGTTGCTAATGAAATAATGAAATACCTTTGTAGATCCTGAAAGAGACCATAATGGGAAAAAAATATAAATTGCTTTGAATACCTAACAAACATTCCATAAAGGTGATGTTGCCATTGGTGTTGGGGAAACAGAAAAGGAAAAAGTTATATCTCTGGTTGCATCTGGTCTGTGTATCTTGCTGTGGAAGAGCAGGCTTTACCCGATGCTCTTGAACCAGGTCCTGACAGAGCCTGGGCTAGATGCTGCACCTAGTGTAGAACATCACCTTGTGAAAAGAATAGTAAGAATTGAGTTTTCTTCCTGTGGTACATGTAGTAGAGCAAACCCTCATGTAGTTAAAACTGAAGAAAACTAGCCAACAACAACAACAACAAAATCACAAGAAAAGCAAGGAGATAGGGTCAGTTGTAGAAAATAATTCTTTTAAAATAAAGTTTAAAGAATTTTAGTATCAGCATTATCTGTTGGTAGAAACTTGTAAATGCTATAATATTTAAGACAAATAATTTTTGCTAGATTTTTCAGTCATTTTTTTAAAACATAGAAACTAACATTTAATGTACTTCTAGGTGTCTGATGGTATTGTTGCCCCAGGATACGAAGAAGAAGCCTTGAAAATACTTTGTAAAAAGAAAAATGGAAACTACTGTGTTCTCCAGGTTAGTGAAATTAATTGGAAACATTTATTTGCTCTTATTTTGTGTTTCTCTTTCCCCTTGTTTAACTTTCCTTTATGCAGACACCTTAATTTATTCTTCTCCACTGTAACATCTTTATCCTTAATCCTGCAGTTTCTTATTAATTTTGGGGTTTAAGGTAAGGATATAACTTCCTTTCTATTCATGATTTTTTTTTTTTTTTAAGAATTTGATGTGGTTTCCTGTTCAAAGGGTGTGTTGTTGGATGAGAAAATCTCCTCATCCTTTTTTGCTACTGTATTTCCTTTTTTAGAAGTAACTTTCTTGCTTATCTTTCTTGAAATAGCATATACATATTCATCAAACAATAGCACTTGCATTTCTTTTTTTGTTTTCTTACTGAGACAGGTATACCCTGCTTCTGAGTTAGGAGTTTTTCCCATTCTGTACATCTTAACTTATTAGCCAGTCACCAGTCACCTCTGCACACACCTCTTCAGTGAATAACTTGAAAAAGTCCTAGAAGCTGAAATAGGACTGAATCACAGGTTGTATATATTGATGATTCTGATAGATCCTACCCCTCTTAGAGGTCACACAACCAATTCATATGTTTATTTTTTTTTGATTGAACCCAGGGGTGCTTACCACTAAGCCATATCTGCATCCCTTTTTGTTTTTTATTTTGAGATAGTCTCACTACAGTCCTTAAAGCTTTGCTAAGTTGCTGAGGCTGGCTTTGAACTTGCAATCCTCCTGCCTCAGCCTTTTGAGTTGTCGGGATTACAGGCGTGTGCCACCACACTTGGCTGTATAACCAATTTAATGTGCTAATGGGCATTGTAAGAGTGCCTGTTTTCTCAGTATATTGACAACACTGTATGTTTTTAACTTTTTAATCTTCACAGATAGGTGAATGTAGCATCTCATTGCAGTTTTAATTTCTCATTATGTTTGGAGTGACCATCTTCATATTTAAGAGTATTTTTACTTTTTTTTTTTGAATGAACTATTCATTTTCTGTATCTGTTTTTCTATGAGGTTCTTGAGGTCTTTCCTTACTGATTTTTATGAATTCTTCTGTATCAGTACGATCAGCCTATGAAAGTAAAAACTCATAATACAATTTCCCACAAGGTCTTATTAGAAAATCTATAGAATCCCAACTTTATATGCTGGAAGTTGCTAAGTGTACAATTTATTGTTCCTGAGTATCTTAGGGGGATTGGTTTCAGGAATCAGATACCAAAGTTCAAGGATGCTCAACTCCATTTACAAAGGGTTCAAAATTGAGAAGATCACAGTAAATGACAAGATCCCTTCCAGACAGCAAAGGCACAGAATGCCAGTTCTATTTTCTCCAACTTAACTTCTAATTCCAATGTTAGCTAGGTATTTTGTAATAGATTTTTAGAAAGAAAGAAAAACTAGAATGTAATTTTTTTTTTTTATTGGTTACCGGGGATTTAACTCAAGGGTACTCGACCACTGAGCCACATCCCCAGCCCTATTTTGTATTTTATTCAGATACAGGGTCTGACTGAGTTGGTTGTGCCTCAGCCTCCTGAGCCATTGGGATTACAGGCATGTGCCACCGTGCCTGGCTTAGAATGTAATATTTTTGCTACAGTAGTTAATGTAACTGAGAACACACGCTTCCTGGAATAATTGATTTTATTTTATTTTTTTCTTATTTATACATTCCCCACACTTTTCTAATTGGTGCTCTACAGTTATGCAAAATAATGATTTCATTAACATTTGTATGTGCACATGATATAACAATATAATTTGGTCAGTTTTGTTCCCTAGTACCTCTCCTTTCCCCCTCCCACTCCCCTTTTCCCTCTCCCTGTGCCCTTTCTCTATTCTACTGGTCTCCCTTCCATTTTGGAATAATTGCTTTTCATATGTTGTATATAAGTTGTAACTTAATACCTAAACATTTTGGAGCAAAATATTGATGCCTGGGTGTAGTATTATATCTATATTAAAACAATCTCATGTTTGCATTAGGAAAATGAATGTAATTTTATGTAGGATGAAATCTTTTAAACACAAATTAAATGCAAAAATTTAAAGATGTGGATCTAATATTTTTAACTTTTTAAATTTGTGTCTTAGATGGACCAGTCTTACAAACCAGATGAGAATGAAGTTCGAACTCTCTTTGGTCTTCGTTTAAGCCAGAAGAGAAATAATGGTGTCATCGACAAATCATTATTTAGCAATGTTGTTACCAAGAATAAAGAGGTAAGTTTGAAAATATCTCAACTGAATGCTAGTAACTTTAGTAGGTCTGTTTTTAGCATTTATAAATTAACATTAAGGGCCATATCTGCAACTGTATGCAAATGGATATAATCTTTGTACTGCGATGGATATTTAGGTTGCTTCTCAGTGTTTGTTCTCAGTGCTGTGATCAGTGTCATTGTGTAGATGGTTTTTATACTTGTACTGCTTGACTCTTTGTAGGAGGAATGTATTAGGATAATGGTGATTTGGGGAGGCTTATGTATTTTATCTCATTTAATCTCAGGGCACTAGGGGCAATGTCTGTCATCTCTTGTAAATATCACATAATTGTGACATTAGGTTCAGTTTTAAAATGTGCTCAAGTGAGCATGCACAGTGACATGCACCTGTAATTCTAGCAACTTGGAAGGCTGAGGTGGGAGGATCACAAGTTCAGAGACAACATCATTAACTTAATGAGGACTACAGATGTAGCTCAGTGGAATTGCCCGAGTTCAATCTCTAGTACCCCCCACCAAAAAAAAAATTGCCCAGCGTACATATTAGGAAAGTGGATGAACTATTATTTATTTTCTGAAATAACTTCTTTTTAAATATTAAATTTTTAGTTTTAGGTGGACACAATATCTTTATTTTATTTTTATGTGGTGCTGAGGATCAAACCCAGGGCCTCATGCATGCTAGGTGAGCACTCTATCACTGAGCCACAACCCTAGCCCATGAAATAACTTTTTTTCTTTTTTTGGTGATAGGAATTGAACCCAGAACTACACCCCCCGGACACTAAAAAATCTTTATTGGGCTTTCAATTTGGAAGGATATTTTTCTGTATCTAAAATTGTGTGTACTGTTTTTTTCCAGTGATTTGCTTACTTTATTTATTTTTGTGTTACTAAGGAATGAACGTAGGGATGATTTGCCACTGAGTTAGATTCCCAGGCCTTTTTATATTATCTTTTTACTTTGAGAGAAGGTCTCACTAAGTTGCTGAGGCAAGCCTAGAACTTGGGGGTCCTTGTGCCTCAGCCTCCTGAGTTACTGGGATCCTAAGCATGTGTGTACCACAGTGCCTGGCTTTTCTAGTGCTTTAAAGGTATCACTGCTTTGTTTTCTGGTTTGGTTTGGTATGAAAAACTGGAGAGAGATTTGAGGATCTCGATGGTCTCATTTTGCTCCAGAAGGCCAATTTATACTTCTGGCAGGCAGGTAAAAGATGTCTGTCAGGAGTTGAGCTGATTGGAATGTGGACTTCAGTTTGTGAGGACTGGTCTGTTGATGGGTCAGCTCTGCTCTGCAGAAGCCATGGGCATCCATTAGAATCCTCTCCTCTGCACTCCAAGTGTGTCCTTAGCTCTAAAGCTGGCAGCATCTATGCCCAGCTTATTGGAAAGTGCCTTGAGGGGAAAGCATAGGTTGTCAGGCTTATTTTTTCCTGCTCCAATCTCTATAGAATCTTTGCCTGTCAGTATTTGCTGTTTCTGAGCTCTGGGTCCATCTTTTTGTCATTCCTGGAAAAGGACTGGTCTTTTTGCAAGCTGTTTACTAAGGCAGAAGAAGAAGTTCTCATTCATGAGGTTGCACCTAGAATGAAAATAAGCTTTAAAGTGTTTATCAGGATAGTTCTGTCTATTAAGCATGGGGTGAATAAGATATCTTTCTTGTTTTTCTTTATTGATTTAATGTATATTTTTTCCTTTTTTTTTTTTAAATTAGCATTGCTTCAATGCAAAGAAACATGTAGACATTGTACATAGGGATATCTTTGAGCCCTTGGGAGTTCATTCTTTATCAGGTCTGTTAGGTTCTGCAGTTTCCACATAGAAACAGTATTTTGCATTAGCATTAGAGGCTCACATTTTTTTTTTTTTTTAATTTTGAATCACTTTATTGACCTGGTTGGTTAATTTTTTTGAAGAAATTTATTTATTTTGTAGTGCTGGGCATGGAACCCAGGGCGTCTTGCAAGCTAGGCAAGTGCTTGTATCCTAATCCAATGTATTTTTTAAAACATTGAGAGGGTATGGACCTAGATTCCATGGTAGTTATGTTGGCAGTTGTTCCTGTTGAGAGTGTCACTTTTTCAAGTTTTGTTTTTTTTGTAGGTCCAGAGGTATTGGACTGATTAATAATTCAGCAATTTTTGATAGGTTTTGTGTCTGAGTATTTTTTACAAGGGTTGAGGGTATGCTCTTAATTTCTTAGCCAATTTTTTTTTTCTTTTTCCTAAGTATTCTTAGTAGCAATTTGGAAACTTAAGGATAATCGTGATAGTTTTATTTTTCTTTATATTCTGCATTCTCTGTCCCCCTTATTTTACAGCAAATTTTGTTAACATTTCTGCTTCAGAATCATTAGTCTTTACTACTAGGTCTGGAACAGGTTCAGTCCTGCAAGAGCTGGACAGTGGAACGAGTGTGTATTAATATTGAACATGTTTGAATTATTTTCTCTTTTCCCATTTTTTCTTGAAGTGCTTCAGTTTGTTAGATTCCCTCACTCCCATGACTTTTTCTCATTTTCTCATATTCCTGACTCTAACTCAGAAAAGCAGGGTTATATTTGAAGGTAGACACCTCGGTGGCTGGCTCTCATTATTAATCTTTCCTGGAACCTAAAGAATCAAATTTGTAGTTGGTGACTCAGACAGCAGATAGAGATAAGAAAGGTCATATAACATTAGTAATCTTAGAATAATAAATCTTTCATAAATTCTAAAAATGTTTTTAATCAAATTTTTAATTTTGAGATTTAAAAACAAAATTGTAGGTCCACACGTGGTTGAAAGAGTTCCTGTGTCCCCTTTGTCCTAGTGATAACTTCTTGCAGAACTACATGTAGTCCAGACCTATAGCCATAAAGTTGAGATACAGAACATTGCCATTACCATCAGGGTCCCTCATTCTGCTCCTCTATAAGCCATACTCACTTTCGTGCTGTGTCCACCCCTCCTTAACCTTGGACAACTGCTAATCTGTTTTCCCTTTGTATAATTTTCATTCATTGTACGTTCGTGTGCTGGGTTTCCCGTACACTTAATTTTCATTTTGTTGGTTAATTGCTTTGTGGCATGGTAATTGTAGGTTTAGTTTTTAAAAACAGGCCAAGCGTTTCCCAGAGTGACTATACCATTTCACCTTCCTACCCACAACAGATGAATGATTCAGTTTCTACCGACTTTTGGTGTCACTTTTTACCACTGACTTTAAGTTTAATGTACATTTCCTGATAACTCATGATGTTAGACATTTTTTTATGTGCTCATTTGCCATCTGTATACCTTTTTGGCGAAATGTCTTTTGTATCATTTGCCCATTTTCTAATCAAATTGGCTTGTTGTTTTACTGAGCTTTGAAAAATTTTTTAATATTTTACAGTTCTTAACCAGTTATATAGTTTGCAGGTACTTTCTCTGAGTTTTTAGTTTTTGTTTTCATCCTTTTAATGGTCTTTTGCAAAAGAGAATCTGTGACTTTGATGAAATCAAACTCTCCATTTTTCAGTCACTAATATTTCAGTAAGCTGCAGCCATATCTTGTGTCCACTTAGCCTACCAGTGTGGATTGCTGTCCTTTTTTTCACTTCTTGTTAACTCTTTCTATTAAAGATGGTGGCATTTTTGACTGTGGTACATATTGTTGCATTAGGGCGGATAGTTCTGCTCACAATATTCTCAGCAAAGCAGAAAAGGATCCTATTTGATTTTCCTGGAACAGCTTTGGCTGTTGCACCACAAAGGTCTATAATAGCTGTGAAAATTAATCTCAACCATATTCCTCAACATAAATTTTACCATGTCTCCAGAGAGTGAAAGGTATTCTTGTCAAGAAGATATCATTCATCAGTTTGGGAGTACAGTATTTCATATCTCACATGATGTGCATGAGCTTAATCCAGAGTTGCCGCAAAATGGCATTAGTTTACATCTGTGACACCTTGGGCTTGTGCCAAGTTCTGCCATGAATATGTTAAATAGTTGATCCTTTTAGTAAAACATGGTAGTGGATAGCCAGGACATTTAATTTCACTCTGCCATTTGAGTGGCATAACTACATTAAAGGTCTGTTACTTTAACTGGCATGGAAGAAGCTTAAAGGTAAGTTTTAAAAGCCTGATGTGACTTTTCCATCCTGTGTTTGTCTCAGGTGCCGGAGTCTGCCCTCAGAGACCTCATCGTGGCCACCGTTGCTGTCAAGTACACTCAGTCTAACTCCGTGTGCTATGCCAAGAACGGGCAGGTAACCAGGCTATCAGATCCACCTCAGGGGAACTGTTGTTTTACAAAATGATATTCAAATATCCATCTGCCTCTGGTACTGGACAGCTTGAAAGGGAACGCTTGCCAGGTTTTTTTTCTTCTGGATTTGTCAGTATTTACTCAGCGCCTTGGTGTAGACTGTTAAAACTAATGATGATTAAGAAGGAGTTTTGGAACCAAGTACTAAAATTAGTTGTGGTGCTTCTCGCCTAGAATGTGTGGGATCAGTGAGCTGTTGAAAATCTGGTTCCTTCACTTCCCTTCCCCCACTGTAGTATTTCCAGTGGAGAGGAAGGAAGGAATGGTCTGGGCACCATGCAGGCTCTATTTTTGCAGCTTTCTGGGTATTTTCACATTCCTATTTTCTTTTTTTGTTTGTTTTTGCAGTAATGGGGACGAAACCCAGGGTCTTACATGTACAAGGCAAGCGCTCTGCCACTGAGCGACATCCTCAGCCTTTTATAATATCTTCCCAAAAATCTGTTGTATAGAAACACTTTTAGAGAGGAGTTCATCCACGCTTTTAAATTCAGGTCTATTGGGGCGTGGTCTGTACACAGTAAAACTCAATCCATTTAAAATGTAGTTAGACCAGTTTTCCCAAGGTGTACCATTGTGTGACCACTGCCCTAGTCAAGATGCAGATGGTCCCAGACATTCAGCAATTGCATTTAGGATTTGGGGGTTTGATGATGAGGGTGTTAAGCATGCCCAGATTACCTTCTGTTTTTCACTCTGTACAAACTAAGATATTCAGTACTTCAGTATAGAATAGGCTTCAGGTACATGATGTTACCCATTATAGCTTATGTAAGTCTTCTGAGCATGTGTGAGGTAGGTAGCCATGCTGCGCCATGGTTTTCAGTAGGGTAGGTGTACTTACTGGCTTTCTTTGTTCTTGTTTTTGTTGTTGTTGTTTTGGTACAGGGACATGAACCCAGGGCTGCTTAACCACTTTATACCCCCAGTTTCTTTTTAATTTTTATTTCTGAGGGAGAGTCTTGCTAAGTTGCTGAAACTGTTCTCAAACTTGGAATCCTTCTGCCTCAGCCTCTGCATTTTTGACTTAAGATCTTTTCAGCTTCCTGTGGGTTTATTGGGATATAAGCTCACTATAAGTTGAAGAGCATCTATGTTGAACATTTCTTATTTATTTATTTTTAAAGGATAGAACAGAGAGGGAGACAGACTCTTCTACAGAGGAGGGGGGCCAAGTTGCTGCCCGAGGGAGTGGGGATGTCCTGCCCTTTATAGACTTTAGATTTGCTTTGTTCTCATGCCCTGTCTTCCCATCCTGCCTAAATGACCCAAAATGTGGAGTGATCTGAGGACCTGAATGAAGCCCTCTAGGGGCTGCTCATTAACATCTCCTTGAAGGGAGGAACAGTTCCCTAGTGGCAGATAACCTTGTCAACAGGTTGGGGGAAGGGAAAGTGCTCTGGAGGTAGTATCTCCTTCTGAATCAGCCCTCATTTTCCTGACCCAATCATTCATTACCAAAGCTGACTGTCCTTTTGCCCCTCACCCCCCAACTACCACAGTCCCCTTCTGGTTAGGGAACGCTTTACTGCTACAAGGGGAAGTGGACCATGACCACTCTGGCTGCTTGGGGCTGAGAGGGGGCAACATGGGCAAGCAGTCTGAGTTTCCCTTTTAGGAATGTTTTGGGGGAGTCAGGGGGTCCCTGGTGAAAGTCCGGTTTGGAAGCAACAGGTTGTAAAGTTATCTGGGAGGTGGGTGCTTCTCTGAGAGAAACAAAAACACATGAATGCTTGAAAGAGATGGATACATAATAAATGTTGGAGCATCCAGAACATGTCAGTGAATATCATGATGACGACAGAAACCAATAATCTCTCAACAGGAGGTGCAAGGGCTAAGAAGCTGTTCCCATAACAAGGCCAGTGAGGACACAGCCTCTATTTGTGAATGTGAATCTTTAATGATATTAGTTACATCATCAGAGTTATCAGGAGTGTAAATGTAACAGTTATTATAATGTCATAGATACCCTTATAATAGTAGTTAAGATATACAATGCCCTCTGACTTTTGTAAAATACTTTTCTATTGGCATAACCTCTGTGTAGGGAAGATCTGTTACTTAGGGCTAGATAATCATAATAGGAAACACAGTTCAAGCCTACCTGAGTAGGAGAACATTTCTTACTATTAAAATAACTTCCCTGCATCCAAACCACAGAATACAAGATTGAACTGGTTTTTCATTAAGGTCTCTCCTAACTCAAGGGTGAACTTGATTTTTCTGTAGCTTCAGCTCTATGGGGAGCCCTTTCTTTTTAGAGTGTCTTCAGCTTGGCTCTTGACATTTGTTAAATTATTTGGCCCATAAATTCAAGGGAGGGTAGGAGCAAGAGAATATTACTTAGCATGTGACCTAAAAGATCCTTTAGTGGTTGCCAGAGATTAAGATTGCCAATCTCTGATAACAATTTTGGAAGGTGTGGCTCTTGATGTCTTGGACTCAGATTCTGATAAAATCCAGTAAGGCCATGCAGAATGATTGCTTCACTGCTGACATCCTTTGAGAAGAAAGGTTTGTTTCACTAGGTGCTCATTTTAATGTCTGTCTTCCCAGGTTGTCGGCATTGGAGCAGGACAGCAGTCTCGGATACACTGTACACGCCTGGCAGGGGATAAAGCGAACTATTGGTGGCTTAGACACCATCCACAAGTGCTCTCAATGAAATTTAAAACAGGCGTGAAGAGAGCAGAAATCTCCAATGCCATAGATCAGTATGTGACTGGCACTATTGGCGAGGTAAAAGGATTGTCATTGGGTTCTGATCAGACTGTTGTTTACCCTTTTATGTGTAATAGACTTCAATTTCATCACTAGAGAGAAGACATTTTTCTTGAAATTCTGTATTGTTTACAACTGAAGCTTTTTACCGATTTTTTGCACCCCCCTCTTACCTGTTTTATCCCCCCTCCCCTCACACCAGTCCCTTTTGTTTTTTATTTTGAGACAGGGTCTCACTAAGTGTCTCCTGTCTCAGCTTCCAGAGGTGCTGGGATTGCAGGCGAGCTGTTCTTGGCTCACTTCATTGTTTTTTATCCTTTTTTGAAACCCCAGAGCTACTGTTTTGTTTTTTTTTTTTTAAAGTTATAACCACTGGTTTAACTCTGGATGATTGTACTTCCTCTGTGGATTACAAGCTTTTCATGACTAGGATTGTTTTTTATCGATCTCAAGGTGCTGAGCATGAGGCTTCCTGCATGATAGGTGTGTATCCAGCAATAAATACAATTACCTGATAGCAGGTAACTAGTGGCTTTCTTCTTGTCCCAGCACCTTTCTAACAAGCAGCATTAACAGCTCCATATAGTTTTGTTGTCTTTCCTGTTTTTAAATGCCTTCTGTTTTGAAGAAGGCATGTGGGAGGTTTTAAATTGCAAACATCAGGTAGCCTGCCAGAGGAAAGGATTTTAGCCGAGTTTCTGGACACAGCAAGTGCTTAACAAAATATCGGATGGAAAATGGATCTGGTAATCAAAAACCAGGTGTTCTTTTGAATGGGTGAATTGACTATGCTAAAATGTCCGATCAGGACCAGGAAGCAATTCAAGTGTCATTGAAGAGAGGTTGCACACTGTGCCCCAAGTACTGAAAACACTCTTCTTTTTCACTTTGTTACTTGGAATTTTCAGTTTGCTATTACTCAGCAAACACCTACTAACAGTCTTGGAAGAATCTTTATGTATGAATAAGAATAAAAATATGCTAAAGTCAAAACGGAAGTACCCTTTAAAATTTGAATAACTGTCTTGTCTGTGCTGCTACAACGTTATCACAGACTGGCTAATTTATACCATAGAAACTTCTTATAATTTTGGGCGTTGAGAATTCTAAGGTTAAATTGCTGACAGACTTGGTGTCTTGTGAGGGCTAATCTGCTTCAGTGATGACACCTTTTGGTGCATCGCTGGCAGTGGTGGGACAGATTCTGTGTCCTCACAGACGAAAGAGGTGGACTTGCCCCCTGAAGCCATTTCACAGGTACTAATTCATGACAGCCTTCATGGCATCATGGTCCCACTTCTTAGTACCACTGTATTGGGGACTAATAAATTTGGGGTTTATACAAACATTTAAGCAACATGAATGGTGTTTTGATTTGTCTATATCTGACTTTATACCTGAGTCTAAAATTGTGTGGAAATGTAGTGCTAGACTGCTATCTGTTTCCTAGATTGCGAATGGATTTCTGTTTGCTTTAGTACAGGGATAAAAAGTAATGGATTTAACTTAAGAGATTTGAGAGCAAATATTTGGAATAAACTGATTTAGAAAGTAAAAATGACATAGTCTATATTTGGTAAACTTAGAATCACTTTTCTTCCTTAATGAAAATGTTTTAAAAAACATCAAAGAAATTCTTAAAATATGTCTAGTTGTGTCATTAAAACGCCCAACTGCGTTTCTGGCCTTGTTGCTTTGCTCTTCTTCAGTTAGAACTAAAGATGGTGTTGGCCTAACTTGTCCTCACTCCCACCAGGGTGAAGATTTGCTGAAGTGGCAGGCGCTGTTCGAGGAAGTCCCTGAGTTACTAACCGAGGCAGAGAAGAAGGAGTGGGTGGACAAACTAAGTGAGGTTTCGCTCAGCTCCGATGCCTTTTTCCCTTTCAGGGATAATGTTGACAGAGCTAAAAGGGTAAGTAGGAATTGTGCATTTGCATAGGATTGAGCATCATGTAGAAACGATTTCCAAAGTCCTGCTTCTGATTTTTAAATTTCTTGGAGTTACATATCAAAGTTGTGGCTATGTGATATAAACCAGTACTACCGAGAGGATTATTGGACTTCTCCATTTGATGTGTGGATCATCCAAACGCTGTTCTTTGGCCTGTATGAATGAGGTTTCATTGGCTTACACTTTGTGGAGGGGGATTTTGTTTTTTGCATAAACTGGTTTTGAAAATCAATACCAATTTTTCCTTCAGAGTGGTGTGGCGTACATTGCAGCCCCTTCTGGTTCTGCTGCTGACAAGGTTGTGATTGAGGCTTGCGATGAACTGGGAATCCTCTTGGCTCATACGGATCTTCGACTCTTCCATCACTGATTGTGTCACACCTCAGTGGTGTGCTCGTGCGTAAGGGAATAATTGTGTGAAACTTTGAAAATACCTTTTTAGAAAATAAAACATTTTAATGATTAGATCCATGGTTTTAGATGGTTGGGTTTTATTTATCTTAAATCTACTCTTACACTGGCACTTTATGCATGGGGGTTTTTGTGCAGAGCACAGGAGCATCCCTACCTTTGGAGCTTGGCTCATCCACAGGGTTCCCTGAATGAAACAAATCTGCCAGTGAGCCACAGAGGCTGAGCATGTGAGCAGATGACACCATCCTTGCTCCTCAAGCTTCCCTGGGGGGTTCCTCTCAGGCACGGTTTTTTGTTGTTGTTGTTGTTTTAATGCTTATTTTTTAGTTGTAGTTGGACACAATACCTTTATTTTTTTATTATGTGGTGCCGAGGATGGAACCAAGGGCCTCACACATACTAGGTGAGCGCTCTACCACTGAGCCACAACCCCAGTCCTCAGACATGGTTTTTTTATCATGCTTCTAGGTCACATGGTGTTCTACTTCCTAAATAATCAGCAAATTATCCCCGAAGAACTGGACCCTTAGAGGGAATTCATTACTAAGTTATGTTGACTCTCTTTGTGGATAATGCTAGTGCATACTTTTCTGTTATGTAGGATGGCCATAATTTTAGGAGCCCAAGATCTCCTCTTTTTGGTGTTTTTTGCTTTGTTTTGTGTGTTTTTTTTTTTTTTGTTTTTTTGTTTGTTTGTTTTTGTTTTTTGGTGCTAGGGATTGAAGCCAAGGCTTCTTGACTACTAAGTCACATCCCTAGCCCTTTTTATTTTTACTTTGAGACAGGATCTTGCTAAATTTCTTCGGTCCTTGCTAAGTTGCTGAGGCTGGCCTTGAACTTATGATCCTCCTTACTCAGCCTCTGGAGTCACTGGGGTTGCTGGTGTGCATTTCTGTGCCTAGCGGCCTCTGTCCTTTGGACCGACATAGAAAACAAAAGAGAGCTGGGCTGAGTGATGCAAGCCTGTAATCCCGGCAGCTTAGGAGGCCCAGGCAGGAGGATGACGAGTTCAAAGCCAGCCTCAGCAAAAGTGAGGTGCTAGGCAACGCAGTGAAACCCTACCTCTAAATAAAATACAAAAAATAGGTCTGGGGATGTGGCTCAGTGGTCCAGTGTCCCTGAGCTCAATCGTTAGTCCCCTCCTCCCCCACAAAAAAAATGAAAAATAAAGGTCTGAGAGTGTGGCTCAGTGGTAGAGTGTATTCTTAGTATACATGAGACCCTGGCTTCAATCCCTAGCATCAATAATAAACTCTCCACGTAGTCCATATTTTGGTTCCCAGATAGACCCAACATTCTACTTTTGTACTAAAGGTTAGGGCTATGAGAGGGCAGTGCCTCCCTGAAGCAGGTAGGATGGTGTGTGCAAGTGTCCTGCAAGTGGTCATCACTGCTTGCTTACATCATACATCTGGTCTTCTAAAATCTTTTGGCATTGTTCCCCTCTATAGATAAATCCTACCCATTTCTCATGTCTTTAATCTATTCCCTTAGAACTTTTTAAATATTCTTCAAGGTCATCTTTTTGAGTCATTTATATATTAACTCACCTTCCAACCGTTAGTAGTACTCTGCTCCATTGACACAGGCTAAGAGTATTGCAGAAAAAATACATAACTTCAGCAGGTAGGTCATAAGACATTGCAGCCTCGGCCTTAGTGTCTTGGATGGCCTGCCACTATGGGATGGGCCCAGGCCTTGTTGTAAGGAGGTGTCAGCAACCTGCTTGAGGAGAGAACCTTTCTTGCTTCCACTGGCTGCCAGCTGTGAAGGAGCCACCCCGAAAGGAGAGTTTCCAGCTCCAGGTTCTGGCAACACCTGGCTTCTACCTCTTGAGATGCCTGAGCCACAGTTCCTGCTAACTAATAGAGAGATACCTGTTGGAAGTCATGAAGTTTTGGAATAATATGCTATATAGCAATAAATAGCTAATAGATTTGGGCATATAAATTATTAAGTATATTTTTTGTCTTTCCCAAGCTACTGATTATTTTTTTATCTTGACCAAAGGTTAATATTAAGGACATCATTCTGGGGGGCAAGTGTAGCATGGTAAGGCATCTGTAGCATATGTAGTATTAGGTTCAGTCCCTAGTAACACACACACACACACACACACACACACACACACAGAAGATATAATTATTCAAACAGTTTTTGCTCTATTTAACACTATATTGCCTAATCATGCTTACACATGTAATTCCACCAACCATTACTATTTTGAGTTTAAAAATTATGTATTGTGCCTCCAGCCTAGGAAGTAATATGAATGGTAATGATGGAATTTCAGTTCTTACACAGTCCGCTTTTCTGCAAATGTAAAATAGCAAGGAGAAATGGATTAACTTGGAAGAGTTATACAACAGAGTTTGTGTTTTGTAGTACTATTTTAAGAATATTTGTGTAAGCATGGTTAGGCAATAAATATTCAAAAAGTATTAAAAGACAAGTCATAATTTTAAAATTCTGCAATGTTGCAAAAAAGATGAATTCAGTAGGAACCATACGCACTTCAATACTCAAGCTGGGAAACAACAGCAATCTGTAGCTTCCAGCCATTGATCTTGGCTCCAAACTACTGACCTCTGCAGCGTATTGTGCTGGTAAGCTGTGGTGTTCAGTAGGTATATGAAGTGCATCTTCAATGTGTGATAGTTTCAACTTAGAATGGGTTTACTGGGATGTGACTTCACCGTACATTGAGAAGCAGCTGCACCCTCAATACATGATCTTCCATTTCATTACTTTCTTTTTAAATATGCTGTTTGTCTCATCTATGGAGCTGTTCATTTCCAGATTTACGTTTTTCACATCTATGAATATTTCTGTGAATCTGTAATCTACTGTTATTTTGCATAGCCACTTTATCCTGAAAGGTCTTGGTGTGTTGGTCCCTGCACTCATATTGCCCCATGGTGCTGGCTGCTCTGGCTGGAGCTTGAGACAGGGTGACTGGTGCTTCCTCATCCTGGTCAGCAAGAGTTCAGGAAGGGGACTGAGGGTTGGGTGCACCTGGTGAAGAAACCGAACCCATTAGCCTAGTCTTTCTACTGCTATTCAAACATTAAAAACCTTGAACACATCTCTGTAATCCAGCAATTTGGGAGTCTGAGGTAAGAGGGTTGCAAGTTTAAAGCCAGCCTCAGCAACTTAGCTAAAACCTATCTAAAAATAGAAACCAAAATGGGCTGGGAATGTGGCTCAGTGGTTAAGTGCCTCTGGGTTCAATCCCTGGTCTAAAAACAACAACAACAACCCAAACAAACAAAACCTCAAGACTGGCCAATTATGGTGGTGCAAGCATGTAATTCCAATGACTCAGGAACCTGAGGATGGTGGATTACACATTCAAGGCCAGCCTGGGCAACCTAGTCAGGCCTGTCCCAAAATAAAATGGCTGGGGATACCTCTGGGTTGAATTCCACAGCATGGGAGAGGGGATGAATAAAAACAAACCCCTCAAGACTGATGTTTAAATGAAAAGCTTAAGGACCTCATGCCTGTTATTTCAGTGGTAAAGAGGGGCAGAAGACCCATAAAATAAACCTGGATCAATAAACTTTAAATTGGGGGAGTACTGGGGCACAGGGAGAAGCACCCCTTATTTTTTGTATCATCCATTGGAGCCGCTCTTCACTCAGTCTGTTGCCTGGTCCTATGACACCAGGAGCACCTTCTTTTTTAAGCCTAATCAGTGTCCCTTCCTCAGAGCACAAAAACCTGAAGGGCTCTAAGCTCCCCAGTGACTTCCATTCTTAGATATTCTTTTTAAAAATCTAATTTTTTTTAGTTATACATGAGAGTAGACTGTATTTTGACATATCATATATACACGGAGTATAATTTCCCATTTTTTGGGATTAAAAGTAATGTGGTCATGTATCCACGGGAAAGTTAGGTCCGGTTCATTCTACTACCTTTCCTATTTAGATATTCTTAAACCTTATTGTTGCTGAACATTGCAAGGCACAAATTTATCTAAGACAAAGCAAAACAAAACAAATTGTAAGTGAACATGGAAAAAGTGCATGAAAAATCTGTAAAGAGTACCTTTTAAACATCCATTCAACATCAGTGAGGTCATGAAATAGAACTTTGCCAGCAGCCCTGCACATTTTTGTTCTTGATCACACCTCTTCTTCCAGAAAATCAGCTGTGTGTCTTTTAGGATAAATGCCACCTTGTTTTCCACTCAGCAGCTGGGTAATCATGGGTGGGTGCCTTAGCCTCTTGCGGAGTTTGCTGCTTTTGTACAATGGAGATAGATTCACTCCTTGCAGAGACTGAAGAGCTTCTGGTTAAAAGCATGTGCCCTGGAGCTAATCTATCAGCTTGGAGTCCCAGCTCTATGACTCACAAGCCATGGGGACCTTAGGCAATTCATTTAGCCTTTCCTACTTTCTACTTATAGGATGATGGTAACTACAATATTCACTTTATAGGGTTGCTCCAAAGAGGGAATAAAAAAAAAAAAAAAATACTAAGGACACTTGGAACATCACCTGGGACATGATAAAAGCTGTTTTTCATATTGTTTTTGTGTATATGGAGGCATGGGGAGTAGTGGGAGATGATATTAATTTATGGGTATTACTATCAAAAATAGTGTGTATTTTTGGATATTTTTACTTACATTTCAGATTGGTAACCAGAAAGCTCCTGCGTTCTTTCAACCTTCATCTATTCTGTTTTTTACTTCTTAGAATAAGCACAGGGATATAAAAGATACTTTCTGTTAAGTATATTTTTCTTTATCAAGATAAAATCACATGAAGTTTACCATTTTAACCATTTTGAAGCATACAATTCAGTGGTTTTAAGTGTATTCACAAAGCTGTGCAGCCATCACCACTATCTAGTCCCATAATATTTTCTCTGTCCTAAAAAGAAGCTTTGTTTCTATTACTCATGCTCTCCCATTCTCTCTTTCCCCCAACCTTAGGCCACCACTTATCTGTTTTCTGTTTCTATGGGTTTGACCTATGCTGGACATTTTCAAATGGGGTCACTTAGCATAATGTTTTTGCATCTAGCTTTCACTTTGCATAATGTTTTGAAACTTTGAGTTGCAGAGTGTACCAGTACTTTATTCCTTTTCATAGACAAATATCCCATCACACGGATACACCACATTTTGTTTATCCATTCAGTTGATAGACATTTGGGTTGTTTCTACTTTTTGGCTGATATGAATGATGTCACTGTGAACATTTGTGTACAAGTTTTGATCCGAACTTATATTTTCATTTCTCTTGGGTATTTGGAGTGGAAATGCAAGATCATATGGTAAGTCTATATTTAGCTTTTTGAGATGCCACCAGACTGTTTTCCAGAGCAGCAGCACCATTTTCCTTTCTACCAACAATGTAGGAGGGTTTCAGTTCCTCCACCAGAGCAGGATGCTTTTGAGTCAAAATAGCTTTTCAGTGTGTGTTAGTCAGTTTTTCATTGATGTGATCAAATATCTAACAAGAATGATTTAGGGGAGGAAGAGTTTATTTTGGTTCATGGTTTCAAAAGAATTCAGTCCATCCAGGGCTGACTCTATTTCTCTGGGCCCAAGGTGAGGCATGGTGGAAGGGTGCGGTAGAACAGCCCTGCTTGGTTCATGGCAGCCAAGAAGCAGAGGGAGAAGAGGTAAGGGGCCACAGAGAAGATAAAGTCTTCAAAGGCACACCACAGAGATACACCTCTCCGCCATGTCCCACCTGCCCACAGTTACCACCCAAGACAGTATTCCTTTCAAATTACTAATCTGTCAGATGGATTAATCCACTGATTAGGTTTCAGCTCTCACAGTCTATAATCATTTTATCTGACGATCCCTGCATTGATACAGGAGCTCCTGGTGGACACCGCCTAGCCAAGCCATAACACAGTATTTGGTTGTTGAGCATTTTGCAACCAACGCTGAGACAAAGACTGGCAGTTTACATTTAAAGTCCTGACTAGTGGTCACCTGGCAAAGGTAGTGCCTCCTTTCTGGAAGGAAATGGCCATTTCCAAAGTACTCTCATACAACAAGCTCCTTGGAAGAATTCCTGATCTTCAATTTGTTTGACCTAAGGGAGCCCACTGTGGTGCACAGCACACAGGACGGGTGACTCCAACCCTGGAGTGCAGAGTGCTTCCTGTGACTTCCTGCCATCCCCAACCAATGCTAATTTCAAAGCCTTTGGGAGACTCCACATAAAAACAGTTTTAGAGATAAACTTAGCTTCTAGAATTGTTAAAATCCGTATGTCTCTAAAGAGTAAGTAAAAAAAGAATTCAAGGTAATGTAAAACACACTTTAATATCTATATCTGGCTCTACTGAGGAATGTTAAAAAAGGAATTTTCCATTTGGGGCTTTTAGCTTCTGAAGCACCATTTCTCTTGCTTTTTTATTACACACGGCATTTTCTTCTCCTTATTTGTAATTTATATAGATTTTGTTTGCAATTCAAATTGAATCTTATTTTAATGAGATTATGGAATGGGACAATGTGATCATGAAAACAATTCGCATTGCAAATCTAAGTGCCATCACTCTTGAAAAGAACTTTCTTAGTCTAAGGTCATCTGTACGTGCTTCTGCTTTGCCGTCCTTGTGACAATCTTAAAATATCCCCAAACATGAGGAGTCCCAACAGGAAACTATTTAAAAAAAAAAAAAAAAAAACAGCATTGTATTCCCTGAAAATGAGACTTTCAAAATTGTAGCCTGCCACTTTCCCTACCACAGTAATGGGAACTTACTGAATAGGAAGCAATTTCAGCACTTAAATGTGCTGATGTGATGTTTCTTAATCACTTTAATGAGTTTCATACAACTAGAAATGGAATAGAATTTTCAATGGAAATATAATTAAATAGAAAAAGTCATTTCCTAAACTTGTAATATCCACCTGATTATTTCTCTATTCACCTCCCTAGAAAGTGTGCCTTACATACATAGTGATATTATAAGTAATTTGCATAATTCTTTTAGGTCATTAGATCTGAAAACAATATTAATACACAACAAATTTTACTACAAATCAAGCACAGCAAGGCACAGTAAAACTTAAAAACCTTTATTTTTCTTTTTAAAGCCTGATAATATTTATTACTTTCACCTGGTTTTTCTTCCCATTTGTTGCCTAAATCCAGATTGGTCTTTTAATTACGTCTTTTTGATCTGCCTTGCTTAGAGAATTCTCAGTGGGAACAGTCACATGAGTCAATTAAAAACTGTAATAGATCTTTGGAAATACTTAGTTTTTATTTTGAATGACTTTGCCGAGAAATGGTTAATAAAAAAAGAGTATTATACATGACTTGCATTGTAATGCCCAGACAGAAAAGAGCATTTATATTTACTTGATTTGTTCTGAGTTTAATTCATAAGTTTACTATACTGCTTTTGAAAATCCAGTAGATTGTTTTTAAAAATAATTTATATTTGTTTATTCTTTTTAGATACATGATAGTAGAGTGTATTTTGACATATTATACATACATGGAGTATAACTTGTTTTAATTAGGATCCCATTCTTGTGGTTGTATGTGATGTGGAGTTTCACTGATGGTATATTTATATGTGAACATAGGAAAGTTATGTCAGAGAAAATCCAGTAGACTTTGTTTTCAGATATAAATACCTTTTAAGCTTAAGCCGAGGTGCTGCTTGGTCCCTCACCTATGAGGGTTTGCTTTCTCTTGGGCAGGCGTCTTTGATAGAATTACCTACTGTACACTGTGTAGGTTGGTCCTAGGTCCTAGTCTTCTCTTCCATGAGCAGGGGTGACCCCACTTATGTCTGAGAGGCATTTAATATCACTTTGATCTGTGTTTTTTGTGTTGTTTTAATAGACATGGAACAGCTAGGCTGTAACTGATAGACTGGTAAAGCTGAAAGATTAGTGATATTAAATATCTGGAGTCTGGGTCTGTATATTGCTAAGGAAAACTCATCTGACCTGTAGTCTATAAAATCTCCCCAAAATGAGATACTAAATGTCAAAGCATTTTATAAACTAAATCAATTCAAATGTGTATATAAAAACATGCTTCCTGAATTTTTATTAATTATTAATCAACTATTTCCTATGCCATGATTTACTATTCTGAAAGTGAGATTTTTAAAGGGTTTCCCCTTCCCTCCCTCTCTCCCTCCCTCCTTCCCTCCCTCTCTCCCTCCTTCCCTCCCTCCCTCTCTCCCTCCCTCCTTCCCTCCCTCTCTCCCTCCCTCCTTCCCTCCCTCTCCCTCCCTCCTTCCCTCCCTCTCCCTCCCTCCCTCCTTCCCTCCCTCTCTCCCTCCCTCCCTCCTTCCCTCCCTCTCTCCCTCCCTCCCTCCTTCCCTCCCTCTCTCCCTCCCTCTTTCTCTCCTGGAGATTTAACCCAGAGGTGCTTTACCACGGAGCTTACATCCCTAGCACCTAGTACTTTTGTTTTGAGAGAGAATCTCACTAAATTGCTGAGGCTGGACTTGAACTTGATCTTTGTGCCTCAGATTCTGAAGCCACTGGGATTGGAGGCATGCGCCAACATGCCCAGCTTCTTTTCTTTTCTTTCTTTCTTTTTTTTTTTTTTTTTTCATGGTACTAAGGATCAAACTCAGGGCCTCATGCAGTCTAGGCAAGCATTCTGCCGCTGAGCTATACCCCCACCCCTGAATGTCATATTTAATCTCAGAGTTTTGTTGCTTCCCCAAGGTGAAATTGAAAAGGAAATGATCTTTGCAGACCATGAGTAAGGCAACTGTTGAGATGGTAGTTTATCAAGTCATGCTAAAGTGTCAGTCGACATGAATTAAGACAGATTGGATGAGGTTATTATACCGTGGGGATTCCCTAAGACAAAGCTACTTGAATAGTATAGTACAGGGAAGTACTAACAGCTCAGCTATCCTTTTATTTTCCTCACAAGTAATCTATTTGAAAAGATGTTTATTCAATGAAGGAAGGAAAGGAGGAGGAGGGAGGGAGGGAGGGAAGAATAATAATGCTTAGAAAAAAGCAACTAAAGGTTGTTTCAATTATGCTTCTGAAGTGCTAGCTGGCATGTTTCATAAAGATGAGAGGCTACTTAAATCTGTTAAGGGAAAAAACATAAATCTCTCTGCTCTTGAAGAGTGGAGAAATGACAAAAGTGAATCTGTTTTTGCAGCAAAAAGCAGAAAGCCTTGTACAGAAGTAACCCAAGAATTAAAGAGCCTTGCATGTCAGAGCTATCTAAATGTTTGATGAATTGAAAAGAAAAAGAACATTCATGGTGATTATTATTTCCTCCCCAAATACCTGATATAAAAAGAAGTGGCCTCCAAGTTGTGGAATGTAAATCTTTTATTAAAACAGTTGTCTTTCCACAGTAGTAAAGCTTTGGCACAGACAGTATAAAAAATAATCACCAACCATAATTATACCAAATTTCTCTTATCAACCGCATACCAAGTGTCTTCAATACAATTTTTTTCTGTATAAAAATACTGAGAAAAATTGATAAATAACAGGTAAGAGAAAGACACTTCTAAGCAACTGTTAGAATCATTTGGAAGAAGTGAATACTGTGGATATTTTAAATATCACAGTAGCAAGGACACGCCATTCCTGTAGTATTGTGGGCCAGACAATTAAATGAAAGCAGAAGTGTTTGGGCAACTTTCCTATTTAAAATTTTGGTAACATTATTCAAACCAAATCACACCGAGAATCATTTCATTTAAAATACTGAGCAGTGTCGACTACTCTGAAGCAGAACAGGCAACACACTGCCCTCATTTATGAGAAAAGTCTCAAAACACTTCCCAGGGTGATGCTTGGAGAAGCCGTGAGTTGAGCTGAAGCTGGAGTCTCCAGAGCAAAAGGCTAAGAAAGAAACAAACATTCAAAGATGGGGTCTGCTAACATCACTTGACTTCGGATAGACCATGGCAGACATAGATGCTTGTTCCGCTGGGTTGCAAATATTACTCTCTGGAATCTTCTTTGTCAGCCTGCACATCTAAAGGCAGGAAGCACTCGATTGGGCAATCAACATTCTGTTAATGGAAGAAGAAGAGAATCAGTAGCAGATACTCTAAAGTATAGGGGGGGTGTGGGTGGGAAGGGGAGACTTGTGACAACTGTTCATAGAAAGGAAACTTTCTAGTTTGAAGAGCCCAGCCATATACTGAGCAATGAGAGATGTTCAAAAATTCAAGGATGCTTTAGGATACGGTATTCCACACAAGTCACTTAAGAGATCTTTAAAAAACAAACAAACAAACAACAACAACAACAAATATTTGGTTCATTCAGAAGAAAGGAATCTGCAGAAAGAGATTCCCTGTCATGCACCCAATTACATTTAGGGAGAGTCTTCAGGGGCAAATGGACTTACAGTGTGTGTTCTCTGATGATATCTCGGTGTATACTGGTTGGGGGAGTGACCTGAGGAGGGGCCTTCAGGAACAGTTGAACCACCTGGTCTGTAACAGTTGTCACAGAGCCAGCCCTGGAGGAGAGAGATGAAACAAATGGAGCTTATGACAGACAACCCAAGGGCATCATAATTAGTGCTTGAGTTAAGAATTTCAGCTCTTGTGTGTTGGTCAAATAAAAGCAGTTAATCACTAAAGAAGCACTGATGAGAATCTCATGCATTTGCAACTCTTGGAATACATTTTGGTTTATCACCAAAGCTCACACTAGTCTCTGCATACACTGTCTTTCTCTTGGAATTTCCTCTCTTCTCTTCCTATCTAAATCCCACTCAGTCTGCTAAGTCTGATTGCAGTCCCAACATCCTCAGCAATGTTTGTTTTTTTTTTTTTTTAATGTACTAGATGATGGAAGACATTGTTTCAAAGAATCCTAGAGCTTTTAAAAGAGACTTGAGACCACATGGACACATACCTTCATTATACAGCAAAGGAAATAGAGATCCAAAGGAGAGGAGTGGCTTGCTGGGAGGGAGAGGGAAGTCACACAATGGGCCATGGTTTGGGGCTGCCACCATGGAGTTGGGCTGACTCTAGCCAAGGTCTTTCCAGCATCGTATGGCTATTCCCTTCCTAAACCACCCTGGCCAGTAACTTGGAAGTCTTGCCTCTGGCCAGCAACGGAGTAGAGCATAGGAACAGACCACACTACACCAGTAAAGCTCTCTCAGATTTTTGCCTGAAGTGTGAGGAAATGAGAGTTCTCTTTCTCTGTTCCTAAATTGGGAGACGGTAAAATTGAAGCTGGTCATGGATGTCACCATAAGCAGGGAATTTACTAGAAAAGAAAAGGTAGCCCAAGAGCAACAGACTCCAGATGCCATGGTGGGAGCTGCCTCTCAAGCTGGTAGATACATAACTTTTCAATTATGGGAGACATTTTTGCCCACTTAACTTGAACAGGACTTTCCTCTTGCAACCCAAAGAACACTAATATATTCTTTCTTATTTTTTATATATATTTTATACATTCTTTCATATCTTTTATATATTCTAGACATTTTCCATTTTGTAGCCTACTTCCCATAACACCTAACATAATACAGGTCAGTGCCTACCTACAGAATCAGGAATGTTCCTACTCCTGTCATAAGTGGTTCACTGAGCACTTTGGAACAGAATAGGGGTCACAGAGGAAAGGTTTCACGTTCATTAAGTAACAAAGAGACTGAAGTGTGACCGATGTCTACTTCCCAATAAATTCTCCTTTACACATTTTTATACCAAGATGACTGAGTTCTATGATCAGTCTTTATGACAGAAAGAGGGGGAGTTGAAAGAAAGAGACCACCTTCACACACTAGGGATGGAATAAGATCAGTTTCCTTGGGCTGTGTCCCTTGGTAAGGTGATGCAGAGAGAACCCTGAAGAAGCTTCCCTGCTGCCAGATGAATCTCCCCAAAGTACATTTTCCATCACGCTCATTTTCTTCTTGTGCATCTGTAACTGGTTAATGCCAAATATATCATGCTGTGGACCTCGCCTGGGGCGGAAGCATGTTTCCTTCCCATGGATCAGAATTTGGAGCGCTGTTAGGAAAGGCATGTCTCCATTGAAAATGAAGGACTATAACCTTCCATTACTTTCCAGTTACAAGAGTCATTTCCCTTTGAAATTTCACTTATTTGGGAAAGGCACAGCATTCTGTTGTTACAATGAAGGAGGGCATATATTAGAAATAGCTGAGGAGTACTGGCTTAAATAGTGGATGTTTTTGCCATCTAATTTCTGACAACAAGACACTTAGGCAGAGGTTTGGTTCACTGGAGCCCACCTGGGCCAGTTCATCCTATCCCTGGGGGTGTGCTTACTGTCTTTCTGCTCCCTCAACCAAATCTGAGACATCCCAAGTCCAGCCAGTTTATGCTTCTCTTTTCCATAAACCCTTTCTTGCTGACTCCAGTCTAGCCAGAACTGTATTTGTCAGACTCAACTCAAAAACCTTCCTTAATTAGCTTGATTTTAAATACATACTAATTTAATTTCTGACTATATCATTAAGTAAGAGTCATGACCACTTCTCATTTCCTGTTTGTCCCATTTACTTAGCATATTAGTAAAGCTTAGTACAAGGATATATTTTTGGACTAAGAGAGGGCACAAAGTGGAATTTTCTTAGACCCAAAGTATTATCTGAAATATTTCACAACAAGGCCACAGGGAAATTGTCCATCAGCATAGAGCTGGCTACTCAGTGCTCCATAGCAGGTAACACTTCCAGTGCTGAAGAACAGAACAGCCTGAGAAGAGCAGGCATGGGGAGGGGCTGTCTGCCATCCTCAGGGAGGATGCTCCAGAGTCTTATCAACTCTTCATAAGAGGCACGGAGGCACCTTGCACACAGCATGTAAATACAGGAGCCTCCTCTGTGTCATATCTAAATTGCAGGGAACCTGGCACATCCCATCTTACCTGCTGGCCTCCAAAGCATGTACAGGAACAAATGGCACCTAAAAATTCCTTCTGCCACCGTTCTCCCACCTGGTAAACCTTCCCATCATCGTAGCATGTTGTCCCATCTACATGTAGGCACAAATCAGAAGCACATGTAAGACCAAGAACAGCAACGCAGACTCAGCTTGATACAAGGGTGGGTTCTATTTTATCCTAAATTTGTATCATCAAAGACCAAATTACACAAATTTATATAATTCATCATAAGAGAGGTACTACTCCTCAGATCTTAAGGCAGCATTTCCACAAACTAGATCTAATAGGTTTAATGAAAATCATATTTTAAAAGTTGAATTGACAGACCAATAGAGACTTCTTCCACCATTTTCACTGCAGATAATGATCAAAATACTCAGAAAAGTGCTAAAGTGGCTTGTAATAACATTCCATCATGACTCCTTTTTGAGGCTCACCTCCACTTTTCTAAATCAAAAGATGAACAAAGCCTCTGTTCAAACCTCAAGGGGACCTAAGTCTCCAGTCCATCCTGTGAATGGGAGTTACAGCCCATAATGGAAGTGGGTGTGCCAGTAGAGCTCCGGAAACCATTCTCAATGACATACCGGGATCGCACTTGAATTCTCCTTTCCCATTGCCCAGGCACGTGCAGCTCAGCATCTCGCCGTTGTCTGCCCTGCGAGTCCACTTCTCCCCAATCCTGTAATTCACACCATTGTCGTAGCACCATTCTGTGTGGGTGGGAAAATCACAGGCAGAGTTATTTGTGTTCTGACTCTCAAGAGAAAAGCACACTGGGATACAGGATTTTAAAATCCACACATCTGGAAAGAATAACAAGTTAAAGGTCACAATCCCTACTGTGAACTGATTCTTCAGTTGTACTTAAAAATATAGTTTCTACTATTTATTATTTTCTAGGCCATTTTAAGGCACTCCGCAGTAATCATGTCATAGAACTTGGTCAATGATTTCCATTTGAATTTTCATTAAGGTTTAAAATTGTGGTGAACGAAAGCAGGATCAGAGTAGTCTTTAGGAATATGAATATATATATATATATTTAAAAAAATCAGTTTTGAATTTGCAGAGACCTTAGATACAAAGAAGTGCAATGAAACAGATCAGATTTTCTTTCTGACATCACCTCTTGCATGTAAGTTGAAAGAAAGAATAAACATAGATGACAAAACAATGATAAACCCTGGCTATCATCCCTACAAATAGAGACCTGGTGCTGAAGAGGATCCACAAGTCCTATCCCTTTACCATATGTAAAAGATGACTTTTAGTCTCTGAGATTTATACTAAATAGAACACACTTAGGAAGTTTACATCAGAATGCATTTTTTCTTCTAATTTATAAAATCAACAATTCAGTCTTTCTCAAATTGGAAGAAAAGGCATTAAACAATTATGACATTCAAGCAAAGAATATGTAAGTTGATCTAAAGACTCTCATAAACAACCTTAGAGTTCTGCTCCCACAATTGCACCTTATACTTAAACAGGCAAAAAATAGGCAAACTATTAAAAAGTAGTTCATTTTCAGAAGTTAAAAACCAATCACCTCATTGCTGCCAAATGTTAGCATACCCAACTCTACTGCAGCGCACGCCCATACTTCTGCTCAGCCTCTCCAATTTTATATACCATTTTCAGGTGGCCAAACACAGAAGTCTACACTGTAAAAATCAGTTGGCTTTTAAATTTCAATCTGGATTAAGCCATTTCATGTATACAAGTCAACTAAAACACTTTTAAGAAATCTTTAAAAATCTGTTCTGTTTTACTTCCATGAATATAATTTCTGTAAAAGTCGATAAAAGGCTTGTTTATAAAATGGTATAATGGTTAACACCTGTAAAAATGAACCGATGGTCAATAATGATTATATCTCCTAAAATCAAAGGATAAGTGAAAGGTTATAAATTCTAATACTAACTCTCAAAGCACAATAGATAAATCCTAGGATCACTGTAATTTGAAATTTTAAAATCTCTATAATTTGAAAATCAAATATTTTTTGGTGAAGTGGCTTTTAAATTACGGACAAGTAGAATATCTGTACATTTTCCTTTACATTACTAGCAATATTCAAACTATGTGGCTGGTGTGTGTGTGTGTGTGTGTGTGTGTGTGTATGTGTGCACATATTCAATGTGTATATTTGTGATGTGTGTGTATAATGTGAGAGTGTGTGTGTAGTACATGTGTATGTTTGATCTGTGCTAAATGAGTATGAGTATGAATCATCACCTTGAACCACATTCAACACGAAAGATTAAAAGAGAATTGGGGTTTCTCTGACTGGTACTCTCAATGAGAACTGACTCCACTGAGTTTGACTTAACAGAAAATTTCAAAAGCATCACCAACAACTTGCTTTAATCAGTAGTTGTATTAGCATATGACTTGAAATGAAGCAATATTCAACAAGTAAAATTTCCCATCATTTTTCAATGATGCAAAATGTTACTTTGAGTCCAACAGTTTTCTCAAATGTTTGGAAGAGCTTGTGTCTACCAAACATGACTCCTTGGTACGTTAATGCGAATGTATGGAACTGGAGGAGATGGAGGAAGAGTGGATGATCAGAGCAAGCTACTCACTAGATGAATCGCATCTGAAATGCCCACTGCCAAAGCCCAAGCACTGGCACGTGAGTTTAAAACCAGTTTCAGATATTCGCTCCCATTCGTCTCCAATGTCATAATGGGAAGCCGAGTAGGGGTCAAAGCAGGTGTCATCAATAGGTTGGTTTGGGCCTATGAGCAAAAGGAAGAAAAAGCAAAAGAGACATATTATTGGTGGTTTGGAAGAAGAAGAAGAAACCAAAACATTATATACAATGACTTAATCTAACAGAAAAATTCCGGTAGCTCTAAAATTCCATCTGCTCTATGGATGCATCAGCCAGTCTCATAAATGATGTAAAGGTGTAGCCAATGGACACTTGCCACCAGCATCTGAAAAGGAGCCCATCTTTCACTTTTGTCTTCAATTGTAAAAATTATCATTTCTGGTAAATCTACTTTATAGAACATGGAATGGACCCTGAGGCAATTTAAGCTAGGTAAGAACAAGGGTAGCAATGCCTCTCCATCAGGACCTGAGTGACCTTGAGCTAATTATTTAGCATCTCTCTCACAAGACCAAGAAGCCAACACATTGTCCCTTTGCCAACCTGTAGAAAGTGCTCACTAAACTAAGAAATATTATTAGAGGCTACCTTCTGCTTATAATGCAACGGTCTTAGCATTTTTATACTGTTATAATACAGTCTTCACTTTTATTATTGCATTTTTTGCATAATAGTTTGGAAATCCTAGATTTTGCAAAATAGTTATTATGATAGTAAAACTGATTTTATTAATAAAACCAACTATTTCATCTAGGAGAAATCAAATGGGAAGTACATGAGTTAGGAATAAGCAATAGTCTCATCATGTGACCTAAGATCTTGTCTCTTTATGTTTTAGAAAAACTTGTTTTAAATAATTTGTGTAAGCCAGGCATGCTGGGTACATGCCTGTAATCCCAGCAACTCAAGAGGCTAAGTAGAAGGATTGAAAATTTATGGCTAGCCTCAGCAAAATAGCAAAGCCCGGTCTCAAAATAAAAAATAAAAAGGGCTGGGGATGTGGCTCAGTGGTTGAATGCCCCTGAGTTCAGTCCCTGATACAGATAGATAGATAGATAGATAGATAGATAGATAGATAGATAGATAGATAAACAATCTGCAAATAAAGCATGCCTCAAGTTCTTCTCTAAAAACTGAATATGATAACTTACTGTGACTTTAAATCTCACTGTGTGTATTTTTTTTAACAGTGTAAAATCAAATCCAGTAGATATTGGAAGTGCCTAATATTTCAAAAGGCATCACTCTAAAAGGAAATATATTTTAGAGAGCTAAAAAGTCTGAAATGTTTCAAAGTCAAGAGACCCTGGCTATCATGAAGAACACCACTGCCAGGAATAAGGAGTAGGAAAGAAAAACAGGAAGAACTTAAGACTGTTAAATGGGGATTCATTATTCCAAAAATATTCAGGAGTTAAAATTCCACCGTAACTAATGTTATGGAGATGGAATCTTTTAAAGAAAAAAAAAAGATGTGGAAAAGCACAAAAACCTTTATGTTCTCAAAAATTCCTTTCACACAACAATTTTGCCATTAAAATCACAAAATGCAATACCTAACAACAAACACAAAAGAACCTCTCCCCAGCCTGCCAGCAGTTAGCTGCTATAATTCTCCAAAGTTTACACATGTAAAATAGTAGTCTTCTGTCAGATGAAGAAGGTGGCTGAAATTACGTAACTGGACCCTAGGATGAAATTCTGTCACATGGCATAGACAGGAGTTACCACTCCTTGTTGATGTGGAGAGGAGACCCTTCCAGTGGGAAGATTCAGGATTCATGATTTTGATTATATCCTATCTCATGTTCCTGGGTGAATATCATCAGCTGCTGCAAAGTAAAAGGCAGGTGGCATGCTACTGGCTTGAAAGGACTTGCAAGGTGCTACAAAGAAGAGTCAGTGGTTGCTGGGCACAGTGGCACATGCCTGGAAACTCAAGCTACTTGGGAGGCTAAGGTAGGCCAGCTTCAGCAATTTAGCAAGGCCCTAAGCAACTGAGCAAGCTCCTATCTCAAAATAAAAAATAAAAAGGGCTGGGGATGTAACTCAGTAGTTACGCACCCCTGGGTTCAATCCCCAATACCTGTCCCCACCCCTCAATAAAGTCAATGATCATTTAACCTTTATGAAGGTTTTACACCTATATCATCAGGAGAAAAAAAGTGAAATAACTTTAGAATAAGGAAGCTCTTTGGATAAAGATGGGTTGCAGAGGAGAACTTCCCATTAGTTTTGGTACTAAGAATCACTCTAGGGGACCACAGCATGGTGGGAAGGAAGGGATATGGGAAAGTATACCAGGAAACCAGTGCCTCATATCAACTCAAGACACTGGGAAGGATTCAACACTTTTGGGCTAAATAACTGAAGCCCTTCCCAGGCCTGTTATCCTAACACTGCATGTGTGTTGGTGAGGACACTTAAAGTTAAATGAACTTAAGGTTGTTCATTTACTTCATATTGATGGTAGGCATACTTCCCACAGTTGCAAGGCAACAAGCAACAAAGGAACAGTCACTAGGAAAAGCCTTCTCTGGTGCAGTCCAACAAGGAGCATGTGCCTAAACCACATGTGAATTTACATACCAGGGTTGCCCACAGTCACAACCTCCTCCAGAACCTTGTGCCTCTTCAGGTTTTTCATTGCCTCCACTAGGATGGTGTAGGTGGCCCCTCGGGTAAGGCCTGTCAGAGTGGCACTGGTGGAAGTTCCAGGAACTCGGAACTGCAATTATTGGTACAGCCAAAATGGGGAGAGAGCATTATAGTAAAGAACAGATGCGGGCTCCCCTGGTCCCTTATCATTAACCCTCACTGTTTAAACAAATCAAAGGGAAACTAATAAAGACCAGGGGTATATAGGAGTCCCAACTGGCCAAGGAGAGAAATGGAATGAGCAAGGAACAGTCACGTCTCTCAGATTTTCCTACCCAAAGTCTGCCTATGTGCTCCATAGTTAGCAGGAGCCCTCGACGAGACTAGCCGCCTCTTAATCCTACTAGATGTGGCTCTGTAGAAGCCCATGGAAGCCCTGCATGATCCTTTCACATCAAGCACAGACACTGCTCTCTGTGGAGACAGGCAGGCCATGCACAGTGGGCAGTAGACCACAACACAATACAGAGTCCTTAAAACAATGGCAAATCCTCAAACTCAGGTTTCTAAGCTCAGGAATCTCCCACAACATAGTCATTTTTAAAAACTGTGCCAGTGGGACAAATTAAAGGATGGGGTTTTAGTGAGAGAATCAATTACTTCTAACAGCGGACATGCACAGCTCCTCCTACATTCTTTTTCCTTGTATGTACTATAGATAATGTGATTCTTCAAGGACAAACTAAGAATGGTGCACAAATGTAAATTCAGTGGAATATCTTTCTTCTTTTCTAAGATCATCTCTTTGTTCATCTTACTTGGAGCCTCCAATGTGTGAGGATAATACAAATGATTTCATTCTCTACTGAATAAAAGCTAATGATGCTCTCTGGTACATCCTCCCAAGTAGAGCCATATGGACTTTTAATAAATGATCAGTGCTTAAGTGTGCCATCTCTCTAAAAGTCCTAGAAGTAGACATTTTACATCAGAGCCTCTTAATCCTACTAGTAAGAAGCCCATGGGAATTGATAACCATTACCAATTGATAACCATTATCAATTCAGGCAATATAGACTGTTTATCAACCTGATCAAAGCCCCTGGGGAAATCTGCAATTCTCAGATTACAAAACACTTTCCCAGAAGGAAAACTTTGTCACTTCTTTCCTCTAATTTATTCCTTTCTGAGCTTCCCAGCCACAGGCAGGGAGGGAGCTGATTACCTGTAAGGGTTCTTCTGTCGTGCCAATGGGCTGACATGAAATGATATACTCAGAACTGTCCTGGAACGGGGTCCAAGAGATGGTTGTCTGAGAGAGAACTTCTTGTCCTGTAGAGGCATTTGGATTGAGCTCCGTAATGTGAGGGTAGAGGTGGTAGTCTACTTCTCCCCTGGGGACATGAATCTCATCTATAGTCGGCGAGTATGGTCTTGGCCTATGCCTTACGGGGGTGACCGCTGTGGGTGGTGTGGTCCTCCTAAAACCATGTTCCTCAATGACCATTTGTTGCCCAAAACTGGGCTGCCGATGGCTTGTGCCAGGAAGCTGAATACCGTTTCCATTGTCAACCCCAGGGCTGGTGATGAATGGGGTCTTTGGAACTGTGGAGGGAACATCCAAGATCTCTGGTCCTTGAAGATTGGGGTGAGGAAGGGTTACCAGTTGGGGAAGCTCATCTAGCCAAGAGAGGTTAGAGCAAAAAAAGCAAAGCGCGTTAAGTTTCAGTAAGTAGCAACCATTATCAATTCAGGCAATGAAGATTGTTTATCAACCTGATCAAAGCCCCTGGAAAACCAGCAGTTCTCAGATTACAAAAAAACACTTTTTCCCAGAAAGAAAACTTTATGATTTTTCTCAAAGGTTTCTTTATAGTTTAGAAAGAAAAAAAGTGTTAGCATGAATTTATTAGAGACACAAAGCTTTGAACCACTGAGCACCATAGAAGCTGCCTCTGTTCAAATTAAGCCTAATGAAACTGCAATGTGTAGTGCCTGCCCACCCCATTCTCTTCTCTCTTTAAACCTGAGAAACAAATTATAGGAACTAGAACCCACAGCAATCATGTCAGTATCAGAAGTATGAGAATTACAGAGGTTTAAATCAATAGTTTTCATGGTTGGAAATGGTAAAAATAGGTAAGAACACATATTTGTTTTGAAAGCTTTCCTATTGCCATATGTACAGCATTTTCTCCAAATTCAACTAAAACCAAATGACAAAGTAAAACATTATTTAGTTCCAAGTTTCAGAAATCAAATAATAAGACAATGGAAGGGGTTTCTATCCCTCCTTTTTTTTTTAAAAAAAAATAGTCAACACAAAGTATAGAAGAATAGCAATAACAACGTGATTTTATATTTCATATCGGATTTGAATTTTTGAAAGGTAATAACAAGGTTTTATATCGACTGGCCTTTTAATAAATAAAAATAAATAAAATGGAACTCTACAGAGGATGTTCAGTTATTCCTCCTGTTAGAGAGTACAAAATATACATTGGGCCATTAGAAAAGCATCCATGAGATACACATCAAAACATGGAGACCCTTTTCACAATGCAAAATCCATCATTCATTAGTTTGGTCTTAACGTTCCTCTCATTACCCGGAAAGTGTTTTTTACCTGTCTTTTTCCTCCCAATCAGGGGCTCACTCTTCTGGTTGTTCTTCAGGGCAATGATGTAGATGGTGTACTCGGTTCCTGGTTCTAGGCCTGATGGGTAGAATAGAACGTCATGTCATATGGAGGGCTCAGCCACTCATGCAGGAGTCAGTCTCAGCAGCTGAGGCTCCTGGGGAACAAGCATCCCTTGCTAGCCAGCCCTTGACCTCTTAAATGGTAAAACTAGTACTTATGCCCCATTCCAGGCATTCTCTCCAATGTGGGTGGTTGGGGTGGCTCTGCCTCCAGACCTACTCTGTGGTACACAGCAGTTAGGCAAGTCCTGCAAGATACCAGAGCTATAGGGAGCTGAATGTGATGGCAGGATCACACTTAGTTTACTTTGAAAAACATCTTTTTCTAGCACTGAACTGACAGATAAGCTTACAGCAAAACAAAACAAAACATAAACAAACAAACAAACAAAAAACCCAAAATCTAGTTATGCCACTAACAATATTAAAACTTGCATTTTCATGAACTAGTGTCTTTTGAGATGTATTGAGTTCTCCTGGTACTATGTGGAGAATGCCTTTTGAAGTGCAGGGCTTCCCTTTCTCATGATATAGCATCAAAGATACAAATGGAGTTTCAAGACTTAGACTGTTGGAGGGAGTAAAGAGGAAAGGGAGCATAATACCAGTAATAGTGGCCTCTGTGACACCAGGTTGGGGCCGAGGGACCACTTCTCTGGGAGGGGACCCAGGCTTCTCATATTTAATGATGTAGCCAGTGATCTTGGCACGGGGCGGCTGCCATGCTACCAGCAAGGAGTTGGGGGTGGTGGTCAGGAAGCGCAGGTTGGATGGTGCATCAATGGCTAAAAGAAAGCAAAACTAAGTTTCAGAAAATAAAAGCCAAGAAAATGCTCCCATATTCCCCTCCCCCAGCCCTTTTAATCAGACTTAAGAGAGTGAAATTCTGTAAGCTCTTCACATGGTTCACAGGGAGTCATATTACAAAGACCCTTCATTTGTTTCTTAAGTTCATGTGTCTGATTATACTACAAGCCAGTGGTGTCCCTCAGCACAAAGCAGTTACCAGTGGAGGCATCGATGACCACGGGGGAGCTGTGGGCATTGTCGTTCAGGGTATACAGGTAGATCTTGTAGTCCGTGCCGGGTTGCAAACCTGGGATGTGAGAGGAGATGGTTTTTATGTGTTCTTCTTTACTAGGAAAGTTTTCAAGCTCACACCTGCAATTTTCTTGGCTCATCTACCCACCCATGTTTATGCAGACCACGGGAGTGGTCTACCTTTGAACAATAAAGTAGAACATGGTGTGGATATTAACTGTTATTGTGGAGCATACTTAAAGCAAATCACTAATGCAGAGAAGGACACCGACTAAAATAAATTTTCAAATGCAAAAACGCTATTTTAGAAGCAGTCCTCTTGGAGAATGAGGGGTGGCCCACTGAGTGTACTTTCTCTATAGGATAATTAGGTGGTACCCGGAATCAGAATTGTACAGCCCCAAAAGACCTAAATTGATCTATTTTATCAAATTCCCTCTGAACTTTGACCTTTATTAAGTAATGTTGTTTGTCTTTATTAATTATGTCTTTTTAAAATCTATATTAATGCTAAGAACTATACACCACCATTTCATTTTTTTCTTTTCTATTTTCATTTTTTTGTGCTTCTGGGGATGGAAGCCAGAGCTTCACCAAGTGCTTTACCATTGAACCGCATCCTCAGACCCTATTTCTTTTGGTTTTACATTATTTTGCTTTTTTTTTTTTTTTTTTAAATAAGAAAGGGCATAGGGATGAAAGAACAAATCTGATAAAAGGCCATTTCTCTGAGACCACACACTAGACCAAAATCAGAGATTCAAAGGACAAAACTATTTTTGATTATGAGAATAACTGTTTCAAGCTGTGTTATCATAAAATATTGGAAATAAATTGAATCATGTAAGTCATAGAATAACTAAGAAGCTGGTTTACATTGTGAATGTTGATTGATTGTCACTTGTGGTGATGGTGGTGGGTACCCTCACCTGTGATGGTATAGCTTCTGACATCTGGGCCGATGGTTCTCTGAACTGGGGTCTGGCCATTGGCTGGGACGGCATCAACTTGGAAACCAGTGATCGTCTCGGTCTTGGTTCGCCAGTTAATGGTGATGGTGGTCTCAGTAGCATCTGTCACACGAGCCCTTCTGGGAGGGCTGACATCTGCATGGGATTATAGCTAGAGATTAGTGCCTGCCTGGCTCATATAGGTGAGATTTCGATCTTTTAAAAAATTTCTTTATGTTTTAAAAATACATCCTCTTCAGAAAATACATTGATTAAATAATTTGTAGATTATCTCCCTTGGCATTCAAAGAACGTTCAACAGTAATTAGGAAATATGGAAATAGTTACATTGGGTGCCTTTTTCTTTGAAGAACTGAAAAGCTTTATAAATACTACCAGTGGTTCCTAGGTCTGACTTTATAGTACCTACAAATACTTCAGTAAGTATTAAAATGATTAATTTACTGTACTGTAAAAGTGTGTGGTAGGAATTATAATAGCATGGCCAGCTAGCAATTATATGTATATATAGCCAGTATTATTGCTAGTATTTCGTCGTTTTTATAGGGTTTCATATCTTTTCTCTCAACAGAAAAGATTCCTATTTTATCTTTATTTTATAGACGATGGAACTTTTGACACTTTATATGACGGCTGAAAGAGTGCTCAGCAAGTTATTGATGGAGCAGAAACTAAAATCTGGGCCAAATTTGATCCCATACTTATGGTGCTGTTAAGATACAGCAGAAGTCAACATGTCCTCCCCAGACCTAACTCCAGGAAAACAAATTCTAACAAGTGGAACATAAAGTAGCTGTTAGTCCTAATCTATAACACCAATGTTATGCCATTATGAAAGGATTTCATTTTAGGTATTAGTGGAATACTTTCTGAAGGGGCAAAAAAGGTAACATTCAAAAAGATAGGGAATCCCACCAATTTCCAGATTGGGACTCATTCCACTTTTAACTTAGTGACCAGAGAGATCATTTATCATTCTTTGTTTATACAGAAAATTTTGAGACTAGAAAATTGGATTACTTACTCTCCAGAGTGGTAATGATCCCCTGAGCTGGTCTGCTGGTCAGTGTGTCCTTAAGAGCATAGACACTCACTTCATATTTGGTAGCCACCTAGAAATAAGGGCATGGTGAGCTTTAGCAGTGTCATTGCAAGAAGCCCCAGGAGTTTCACCATGGCTTAGATAATTCAGTGGTTATTAGTAAAAAAGAAATAAACTAACAAATCTCACAACACTGTCAATTCCTAGATTAATTTCATCTCTACACTACAGATGACCAGCAACAGACTGAAATTAAATGAATTTTAAAATGCTCTTATGGGCCTATGCCCAAGTAAGCTATAACTCACATTTTCATGTAAAACTGGTGATGAAAAAATAAGAAAAATGGGTAAGAGCCTGTTTTTTTTTTCTTTTATGATATGACAAATGTAAATCATGAATTTTTATGGTCATAGATAAAGATAATTTTCTTTTCTGTCTTTGAAACCCCTTTCTGTAGTTTCCCTGAAACTGGTCTTAAGATATACATTAATTCTCTGGTATTCTAGCTAGTTTTCCATATACAAGTCTAGAAGGATTTAAAAATTTTTTAATGAGGGTAGGGTCAAGTTGGTTGGTACAATCTGGAGAACATTTCTTGCCAAGATGACATTGTTCAAAAAATGTATAACTAAATGAATTTATGTACTCAGCCTATCAATATGCAAATTGCCCCCCACATATATAGAATACTTCCAAAAGAGCTGCACAAAATCCAAAGCTATTTATAAAATTCTGTTCCAATAGTCATCTGGAAAAGCTTAGGTCAACAAAAAGCAATTCTCAATAAAATTATTTGATAGGAGAGGAAAAGATCAGTTGGATCGAGCATGAGATTATGTTTCTACCACCTAATAAACTATGTAAGAGAGGCTCTATTTTATTCCAATGACAGAAGTCACTTCTTACCATGAGTCCTGATACAACCACAGAGGTGCTGTCAGGAGCAAGGTTGATTTCCTTCATTGGTCCAGTCTTCTTGTCTTTGGGGGTAACTCGTACTCGATATCCAGTGAGCTGGACATTGGGTGGTGTCCACTGGGCACTAAAGCTTGTTGGTGTAATCTGAGTGAACCTCAGGTTGGTTGGAGCAGGGATGGCTGTTGGGATGGTCATTGGTCAAAGGTTATCTTACAAGAAGTGGGGTGAAGGGAACATAAAGTGAATTCCAGGAGGTAGAAGGGATAGTTCTTGTTGGATTAGAGGATTCCCTGGTCCAGAAGAGATTCAGTAGGAGAGCGTAACAAGAAGGGATACAAAAGGAAGAAAGTTTGCTGAAATGTGTGTTCTATATCTGCCAATTCTCAAATCCTGAAAACACTTTAAATACTTGAGCTCTAGGAAACTTTGGGTTTTCAAAGTTATTTGTTTTTCCTTAAAAAACAAAAGAGTCAAATTGGCTTATTAGTCATTACAATTGATTTTCCATTTGTATGAAAAGAACAATGGCCCTTTTTCTATATAAATTATGTTCGTATGGAAAACCATTCACAGTATTCCATCCAAAAAAAGATAGAATTATGTTTTTATTGTCTCTTTTTATTCGGACCCCAAGGCAGATGTAACTGCTAAATTTAAAGTATTTCTGTGGTGCGACATAAGAAGAAAATTAGATCATAATAGAAGCAGAAAAGAGAAGCAAAGAGCAGTAATCAGATTGTTACCACTAAGGTTTATACCATCACCAGGACAAATTTTTAGCATTCCACTCTGATTCAGCAATAAAGCACAAGAGGATAAAGAATTGTGGAAAGAATTTGCCTTAATGACTGTTTCCTGTGTGTCTGAATCAGAATCCTTTAAGCAAATTATACACAAGCATAAGCTATCTTGCCAGGGGAGAAAGGTCTTACCCATGTGCTCTCAGAATCATGCTGCTATAAAACGTCCTAGTTGGGATCTTTTCTTAGAGGAAACTCTAGGATGCCAAACTGCTTTCCTTTGTACATAGTGTGAGAGTAACCACAGGGAGTCATAGCTTAGGAAATATCCATAATTTTAGTATCATCTTTAGATGTCTGGTTTCATGGCCTTATGTATAAGCCAAGCTACTCCAATATTTCTTTTCATCAGATTTATTTACCTAATACCACCTAAAATTGATTGTTTTTCCTCTTTCCTCTTTAAAGAGGGTCTTTTCTAAAGAGGGTTGTTTATTTTATTTATTTATTTACCCCTTACATGGGAATGAATAGCCCGATAAAGTAGACTTTCAGCAAGGCTTAAAGCCACTGCTCCCATGAGCACCCTGGTGGTGCAATTACCAAGATACCTGTGGACTGGGTTCCAATCAGGGGCTGGCTCTCCATATCATCGTGCAAGGCAACCACACTGACTGTGTACTCAGAACCCGGCCTGAGGCCTTGCAGCTCTGCAGTGTCTTCTTCACCATCAGGTGCAGGGAATAGCTCATGGATTCCATCCTCAGGGCTTGAGTAGGTCACCCTGTACCTGGAAACTTGCCCCTGTGGGCTTTCCCAAGCAATTTTGATGGAATCGACATCCACATCAGTGAATGCCAGTCCTTTAGGGCGATCAATGTCTGTTAGGCAAATTAATGGTAAGAGGTCATGTGAAAAGCAAGTTGTGAAATAAGCATTTTTATAACATGCAAAGCAGTTTTGCAGATACCATTTTCTTTGATGAATTACACTGCAATTAACCCACTAGTCAATGGAAAATTACTTGACACTTGCCTAAAATTGTTTTGGTTTAGAAAATATTTGATGTTGCATAACTTATCAAAATAGATGTACATGAGATGCGTAGGCACTCTGCAAATGTCCCCACGTTGGGGATATACTTGCATTGATTTAAAGATATTCCACTGAGATTTGTTTTGCAATGTGATGTTAGTCTCATAGACCTGGATTTTCTATGCCTTGGAAGTGGTAACGTTGATTTTCAATGTTACATTCAGATCGCTATAGGCTTTCTTAAACTCTTTCTTTTTTTCTTATTAAGTATTCATATGAAATGTTTTTCCAGCCATAGTCCTCCAAAAATGGTAACTTCATGATATATACTTTATTCAACTTTACCATCCAGTCATAGAAAAGAAGGTCCTAGCAAAATATTTTGTAGATTTGCTATAGGCAAATAAGATTTTGCTGAGGCCACTGGAGCAAAAGAAATTCAAAGCACAGCAATTCACTATGGTAGTTCTGCAACTTCTTTTCTGTAAGTTCACTACTTGGCAGGAAGAAAGAAAAATGTTTGTCAAGGACTCAGCTCAAGATACAAACTAAACAATAAGCTGGTTCTACCTCTGTATAAAATAGTAAAAGACATGCAGAGGGCATTCAGACCCAAGAATAAAGTTTGACTTTAGAAAAGGAAACCACACATTTGTTACGTACTGGTTACTGCAGTTTGAACCAGAGGCTGGCTTTCTCCTTTTCCATTCTGAGCATAAACACTAACCACATACTCCACTGTGGGCTGCAAGCCTTCAATGGTCATTTCTGTTTGATCTGCAAGGGGAGTGAAAAGCAAATGTAGCATCTATGTACTATAAAGCCATCCAAGCGACTTCTGGAGTTTGATAGTAAGCATGTGTGGTCTCGAATTTATATTTGCAGAATTGTCATGAAAATATCAAGGAGTTAGATATCAATTTCTTCTTGGACACACCTGTTTATTGCTAATACAATTTTCCATGTTGGAATAAAATCACATTCAAGGAGAAGGTCAAAAACTTAATACGATGCCCTCAACAATGAATGATGGTGCTCTTGGAAAAAGGAAGAAAGAAAATTAACTTGGTTTTGAGGTTGCTTTGAGATCCTATTTTCACAAATATTTTATATAAAAATAAAAACAACAGATCTACAAGAATCTGAAAAAGTCAGTTATTCTTCTTGGTGTGCATACCAACAAAACCACAAAGACGGATCTGGTAATTTAAGAGGCCCATGTCACTAAACAGAACCATGCATGTAAAACCAGAAATGTGTGCATCCTAAAACTGCTACTGTGAAGTGAGTTGGAAATGATCTTGAGTCCTGAGCTCATGAATGGGAAACCATGACATATGGCATGAAATGTATGGTCCCCATGACAAGGTGGCCATCTAGTAAAGAAGGAAAATCATGTTGTCCTACTCTGTTGATCCTGCTGTATGTGACAAGAGGGTTATTCTTACCTGGACCTGCAGTTCTAGTTTGTGATGGTCCTTTACCCGTTTTGGGAACGGTGGTCACTCTGTAACCAGTAATTGGAGAACTTGAAGGCAGCCACCTGACACTAATGCTGTTATCCTTAACATCAGTCACTTGCATCTGGGATGGCTTGTCAATTTCTACAAATAAAAGTAAAAAGAAACCAGTGCAGGCCCAGTCCTGGGGGACAAGACTAGAGGAGTCCTTATCTTTGGTTCTGGTACATATTCAAAGATCTCTTATTCCTATTAACCTTTCCCAGGTGTTTCTTTTGTAAGAATAAAGAGATAGCTTTGAGGGGTGGGGTGTGCATTACAAACGTTTTCAAGATGATGGCTTCATTCACAAAGAAGCTACACCCCAGGTAGGTGTTTGTCTTCCTATCTTATCAATACATTCATTTCTTTCTCAACAAACATTTGTTGAATATTCTCTTTCTGCCTATTTCTTGCAGGAGGCACATGAGATATATCAATTAACAACACATTTTAAAAAATCTGTGCTCTTGAAGTCGTTCCTTGTATATTTGCCTTATAATGTTAACTAAAGATTTTGTCTTATTAAAAAGAAAGACCAGGGCTGGGGATTATAGCTCAGTAGTAGGGTGCTTTTTTAGCATGTACAAGGTACTGACTTTGATCCCCAGCAAAAAAGAATAGAAAAAAAAAAAAAAAGGAGGAGAAGAAAGAAAGGAAATCAAGCTCACGGTGAGGAAAATATATTGGGAGAACATTGTAAAAGTTATCTGAATAAATAATCCTGTGTTGTTCCAGAAAAGAACTTTGTACCTGTTCGATAGTCAATGGAAATTGGCTTGCTGCTGGCTGGGCTGTCCCCACGGCCAGTGACAGCATACACTGTGATGGTGTAATCTACTCCAGGTTTAAGGTCGCTGATGGTAGCTGTGGATTTGCTCCCAGGGACAGTGAACTCCTGAACAGGGCTCGTTCCTCCTGTGTGAAAAGGGATTAGTCCATAATGTGAGGGGCTTGGAGTTACTTGGGCATTACTGATTAATTAACATATTGAAAGCAGTATGTAAATCACATTTTATTACTTATTCCCCTTTAAAGAGTGTTATTAATAAATCCTGGACAGGAAGGTGTATTTATACACATACTAAACCTTGATAAGTATATAAAATAGGGAGAAAATTGCAATTAATGTTATTTTAACATTCTAACTTTGAAATGTTACTAAGCTGTAGATTAATATTAAAAGGGAGGAGAGGTAAGCCCTCAAACTAGGATCGCATGTCCTTCATCCTTTTAAAATTTTTTCATGGAATGTTTTTATGCTAAAAATTAGAGAATACAGAAAAGTAAAATGAAGAAAAAGTTAAAAATCACATTTTACCAGTGATAATATATTTGTGAACTGACAATCTTTTTTTCCTCAGTTCTGCTATTCCTCCTCTAGTTGTATTGTATAAACAACTTTTTCTCTTGATTTTATAACCAACTATATCATATGCAGAGTCCAGGTATTCTTGGAATAAACAAGTGTCTGCAAGTGCGCTGCCAAAATTACTTTAATTTTATGTCCATTTTGAGCTTTTGGGTTCTTCACAGCAGATTTTGGTCTGCTTAAGAATGTGAAGCATCCAGTAACCAACATACCTGTTTCTCCATAGGTGATCCTATAATATCTCACTGTGACAGCAGGGGCTTCCCAGCTGATCAATACGCTGGTGGGAGTGGAGGCAATGACTTCCAGGTCCCTTGGGACATCAGAAACTAGAAAATATGAGGGACAAATCTTCACATCCATAACTTTCAAATGATAATTGGATTCTCTTTGCTCATCTTCCAGGACATCGTTTTTAGGTTTCTTTCATACAAAAATGTAAATACTGTATGAAATTAGTAGAACTAAAAGTTATGAACAATTTAAGGAAAGTGGTTAAGAGACTATTCAATTTGTGATAAAATGATTGTTTCAAATTTATTGAAGGATTTTGTTCCCTCCACTTTTTATTTTAGTAAGACCATAGAAAAGTCACAAAAATAATAACAATGAATAGCCACCTGTCCTCCTCTTAAGTGTGTACTGTTTGGAAACATTTGCAACATTTGCTTCTCCCTTAACATTAATAACCTAAAATGATTAACATTGTTTCAGACTAAGATGGAGACATCAAGATGACACTTCTCCCCTAAGTGCTTCAGCATCTATCTTCCAAGAATAATGGCACTATTATACTAAAATTATATTTTTAAGAGAACTTTGAAATGGTTTTCTGTATTTTAAATAAAACTTTAGTAATTACAAACATATAAATATCTAAATCAGGTGAGAAATTTCTTGGGATAAAGAAATTATTTTCTTCACTATATTCTAAGAGGGAGATTTTCCTCCACACATTCTCTCACTGGCTTCTCTGTGTCTCTAACCATGATCTATTTTGGGGGGAGAGGATGACTCTGCTGACATAAAGCTAAGTTATTTCAAAGACTGTACTGACTGTACAGGAAAGTCTGGGTTTCTCTGAAGAACAGACTATAAGTTACCTGTTGACTGTTGGCCAATCAAGGGGGAACTCTCCTCTCTGCCATAAAGAGCAACAATGCTGACCACATATTCTGTGCCTGGACTGAGGTTGGTGAGGGTGATGGAATTCCGAGAGGGGGGCACTCTATCTTCTCGGGGTCTCCCGGCACTATGCTCAGGATGATGGCGAATCCAGTAGCCAGTGATGGCAGCTCGAGGCGCAATCCAGTGGACGGTGAAAGAGTTGGGAGTGATGTCAGAGAAGTCAATGCCAGATGGGGAATCAAGACCTATATTTTCCACCCATGAGAGGAAGAGGGGAAGAAAAAAGACAAGATACCATGAGCTTAACATGTGAGGAAGGTGGGGGGGGAGTTACATCCATCCAACTTTCTATCATTTCTCATCAATGTAGTGAAGTGCCCTGAACCTCAGGTTATGAGGCACTGATTCCAAGCCACAGATGAATTTCAAAATCATATATTCGCAGTTCAAAATAACCAATTCAGGCATTTTTTTCTTTTTCTAAGCAATCCCTGCGATGTATACACATCATTACAGTAGTCTCTGTATCACATTTGAAGACCAGTGTTTAAGACACTGTGGGAAGTAATATTTTCAAGTGTTTCAGTGTTCAAACAGTCCAGTTCCATCCTGTATCTCTCAAAGTAAGACAAGATCTGCCCACTGTCAAGTTAAAGAAGATACCAAAGAAGCTTTCTGTGCCCAGGAAGAGACTAATATATCAACAGAGTTATTGGTGATGATGCTGGACATAAAACTTTCTAAAACTGAAGACATTATCCTGGACAGATCTAATGCAGGTAATCCTTTATGAATTGAGAACTTTTGAAAATTAATAAGAATTCAGTGTTAATCTCAGATTCAAATTATTTAACCCTTCTGGGACTTCCAGCAAATTTTTGTTTGAATTGAAATATTCACTAATTCTATTTAATAATATACTCAAACAAAATTGTGATATATCAACTTCCTTTTGGGAAGTCCTTTTTGGACTATGAAGTAATAAACACACTAAAATAGGCCTTTTTAAGGGAAAAAAATTAAAAGCATTCAGGAGAAAGAGCATAATGTCTAATGAAAAGAAATGTCCAGCAACTCTAAAATAATAGAGATTATGAGATATTCTTCTTGGGAGTTTCATTTTGTTGTTTTGTTTTTGTTTTTCTGTTTTTTAAAGCATAGACAGCAAAGTTTCTGAACTAATTTCAGTCCACTGTGGAAGCAGGAGTAGAATGTTACTGACTGAACTGCTAATTATAAATTACTAATTGTTGAGTGAGATGTCTTTTAATTTTCAAGACCACTGAACAAAAAGTAATGACAAGGCTGCCCACACCATCATCACCACAAAAGACAAGGTGTATATTTAGAAGTAGTGTTTCATTTTGTTTTTTAAAATTGGTAGGCAAGAGCTACTTGATAAGCATGTTGCTCCAAGACTCACGTGTTTTCTGTCTTCCTTTAAGAGGTGTGCTCTCGTGGTGTTCGTAGACACTGGAAACACTGACTAAATATTCGGTCCCAGGCAGGAGGTCTGAGGAGGCAAGTGAGACTCATTTTACACTTGTGCTTGAAGGCAGGAAAAACCAGAGTATTCCCGGGACTATTTCAACTGATACCATATATTAGCATTCAGTCCTGCAGCCTACTTACACCTACGTGAACATGGATACCTGGAGATGGTCTGTAAGCAGGTGATGATGAAGGGTCACCTTGCCCAGAGTCCTCTCTAAGCCCTATCCTAAGCTCTTCCTCTGTATGACTTAGTTCCATCTGGACCTGACAGTGTGACCACTGGGAGCACAGGAGACAATTGCTATGGCATTGTGGATGATCACTGACCCCTCCCCAAGACTCTACATGGTGGTTCACTATTTTCTAAAGCAGTTTTATAATGATACAATATACTGCAAATTTAATATGTGCAGTTTGACAAGTTTTGACATATATTTAACTTACGGAACCTTCACTACATTCAACATAAAAAAATATAACCAGTACCTCTGGACGTTTGGTTGGTGACAACCGCCCCCATTTTACAAAGAAAAAAGCTGAGGCAAACAGAAATTATCATTTTTAAATGACTTGCCCAAGTTCATTCAGTGGTTGACCCAGGTCAGGACCAATAGTCTTAATAATGAAGCTTTATTGGAAAAGGGTCACATGATAAAGGGATAGCAATCAATTGAGCCATATTGATATATTTTAATAATTTAGCCTACATCCGTGAGTGACCCTTTCTCCCATTTTGATATAGCCAAAGGGTACAGAGGAAGCTTTCCAACCTCTGAACTTCTGCTCACTAGACCCTCATTCCCCTATATACTGTTGACTCTTCAGTCTTTATGCAGAGGGTCCTGCAATGTTTGGAAAAGGACCAGAAAGGAGGGCTGGAACTTCACATCTTCCTTCCTAGTTGGCCAGAGGCAATGTAACTTAATAACTGGGGACCTCAGTTGTTTCATCTTTAAAACAGGATAATAATAATTCTCTAAGGGGGAAATGGCTACCTTGAGGTCATAGCATTAGGACCAGAAGGTCTTAGAACACATAACATGTAACAGGTATTGGTTGAGCAGGAACCAACATGCAATGCAGGGTTTAGTGTGTATCAGGTGATGAGGTTACCACTGGTTTCAGAATGCTCTACAACAAAAATAGTGCTGTGGACGCTATCATGCAAATATAAGGATGCTGTCTGTTACCAGCCAGCAAGTAAGAAATCAAGATCATAGTCACACATAGCTGCCTTTCTTTGTGTTTTGCTTTCTAGAACATGTTGGAAAGGAAGAGGATGTTTTCAGACCATCATTTAGGAATGTCCCTAAATGTAAGCCATTTCTACTTATGTGGAATCTTTGGCTGTCCTCACACATTATACCACAATAGTGAAATATAATAAGAAATATTTATATGAAACACAGCACCACATTGCAGTCTACTCTTATTTTCTTTAAAAAATATTCTGTTTCAAAATAGCAGGGACTAGAAAGAGACAATTCCATAACTTGTTTAATGTCAGTTGTTTTCTAAGACCTCAACCTTCTGAGAAATCCTGCCAACAGATGCTTTTTGAAGTACAAATTAAACTTCTGTCTTCACAATATCCTGATCTATCCCAAGCAATCAGTCACTGTTTTTAAGTTTTCAAATGTTAAATCGATCATCTGCTGATACTTTAACAAGAAAAAATGACAACACAACATATATGGGGACACTGTTTTCAATCCTCATTTTTTTTTCTCTTCTAAACACTTAGATTTAGTCAAATAATTTCTCTTGAAATTCACTTATTTTTTGTGTTTAGTTGAAAGCAGAATGTGTTTGAAGTCTTGGAACATTACTTTTAGGGTTTTCCACTAAAGTTGTAGATATCAACAGTATATGGAGATAGCAATAAGCATTGCGTCTTCCAGAATTTACAGAAGTGCACTTGAAATTTTAGTTTGGAGCTCGCCTGCAGCTTTTCTTCTGCGTTAATTCTCTTTGAGAATTAATACATCTGCTCCAGGCTAGTGTTTATTCAACAGATGCACCCGACTGCTTACTTGTTAAGACCACTGCGTTGTCGGATGGAGAAATCGACAACTCTGCAACATCGTCCTCGTTTTTCACAGGTGAGTAGCGCACCAACAGGTTGCTCAGCTCAATAGATGAAGGGGGCGCCCAGGTGACACGCATAGTGTCTGGACCAACATTGGTGAATCTCAGGTCCGTGGGAGGAGGGACAGCTGGTTTCAAATAAAAAGGAAGATTATATTAATATGATTTTTAAAGTCAAAGCTCACAAATCCACTGAAAAGATAAAAAAATCAATATTTCATGCATAAAGGAAACAGAGTCATAATCATGCAAATAGTCTAATCTAAATCTAATCTAAGTCATGGTAGACTACTGTTAAAAAATCAAACACTACATTCAGTACTGTTAGGCCCCTTTAACCTTTCTGCCATCATCAATGTGTTCTAAAGAATCATTTTAATCTACTTTTAAATAGGCTGATTTTTACAATACATGATGAATACCACTTAAGATTCTTTTATCCCAGGCCAAAGAGGCTTAAGTTGCCACACAGCAAAAAGAAACATAGCGGGTACGTTCCAAAAAAAAACAAACACACATGCACACAGACAAAAGACAAGAAGGTCCTAAATGTCCCCCCAAACATGAAATATCTATGATCTAATGGCATAGCCACAATTCCATTCCGTGAATTCTACTTACAAGTGAGAAGGGTTCATGCAAATTGGTTCTCAGCATGTTTCTTCCCATGCAGGGCAGAGAACCTTTAAGATGTTGCATGCTGGTCCCCAGACTGTGGTTAAAGAGGAGTTCCTTTACCTTATGATAGCAACAAAATCTAGCATATGCTGAAGTTTATTTTTCTTGTACATCAAAACAACCCCTTCCATTCTACTGTAAATTTTGATGGCTATTTAGTCAGCTACAAAGAAGGAAAATGGTGGAGTTTATCCAGGGGTAGAAGGAAGAGTGTAATGGCATATTCTGGAAGTACCTTTCATCATGAACTGGTGTTCATCCTAAAATTTGGTATTCATGTTAGGTATTTTTTTAAAAATGCTAGGTCTACAAATTTAACTCACCTCTGCTGCTTTGTATTTACTAGATCCGACATCTTAGATTCCTCTAGTTTTATGCATACTTGCAGTTTAAATGAAAGTGCACTTAAGACTCTTTGCATACGACTTCAATTAGTCAGACATATGCTTTAGATTCCTTAGGCTCAATCCCTCAATCCCTTCATCTATGTGGCCAATTGCTGGCTTCTCCCTTGAAACATCCATATTTAACCAGAGTGGCTGTTGGCAGCATGCAACACCATCCATGTGTCAAACACAGAAGATTTTAAAATTCACCCGTTTGCTGTGTCAGTGTAGTAGGGGCACTCTCTCCGCCATTAATGAGAGTGATAACGCTGATGTCATAGTCAATGCCGGGTTCCAGCCCTGTAACTGTGTAGTATCCTACTGAGGAGTCCACAAAATCTTCAAAAATAGGGATCCCTTCTCCTGCTGCAACTACTGTGATGCGGTACCCAATAATGGTGGAAGAGTTTAGCGGGGTCCACCTCAGGCCGATGCTTGAATCGGTTATATCAACAAAGCTTAGGTCAGTGAGTTGGGGCACCTCTATTTAGTTACAAAGCAAAGAGGGGGCAACAGGAAAACAGAAGCAAAAAAAAAAGAGGAAAAAATAAAGCAGTGTATATCAGGTTATCTGTAGTCAAATTGGTAGAATGGTAAAGCAATGATGGTAATATGCAATCTATTTCAAATGATCTGAAAAGATGTCCTAAGTATCATGAATAGTTTGCTTTCCTGGGAAAATAAAACAGGTTACAATATTCTTTTAGGGATTTTCTTGCATTTTGAAAATGTCCCTAAACAGTACAGTTTGACTTCTCAGATTCCTAAAAATCATAAGCCAGTTTAGGATGTCAAAACCATGAACCCAGACACAATATCCACATTAAGTATCAGCAATGATTTTTTTAAAAAAATCTCAAACTGTTTCAGTAGGAAAATCAAAGCTTGCATGAAGGTTTTAAAATGAATTGTTTTTTGCTCCATACAAAACTCATGTCAACATCATGGTGATAATACTAATGCATTATGGATGTATGGTGTGAAATATGCCTTTCCAAAAAAGCACATTCAGGCCAAGGACAGGCTTGAGTCCAAGGCTACTGCCAATCTTTTAATTCATAATCAAAGTTATTTAATTAGCATTAGTAAACACATACCAAACAGTGCCAAAGGGGACACAATCTGTGCTGTAATTTCATTCTGTCATCATCCAATTTTGGACAAACAATGAATGTATCCCTAGATAGGTCTTTGCTTTCAATTCATAAGAAGGAATGCCCTGTGGGCGTGGCCTTTATTTCCTTCTTCATTCTCTTTTCCCTCCTCCAATTTTAAAAAAGACTTTGAAGTTGCAAGATAAGGAATTGGATATTGTCAACCACACACTATATCAGTGCTCACACATGGAGACAAAAAAATATTTTATAGATAGCTGCTAAAAGCAGAACTGACTGTAAAATCAGGCACAGATGTCCCGATGGGATGCATTTACCATATTACTTTTAGACCGTCAGCACTGAGTACAGACACATGACGTTTTAGTAATTTCCACGTGAGCAAACAGTAGAGAGTTCATGCCACGGTTGCCACTCCATTATATACCCATCGCAACAAAGAGCATCCCAGTGAAGCACAGACAGTGAAGCAGTGTTATCAGCAAGCCTTTGTCCAAACAGTCATTTTGACTGCGTAGTTTTGGAAAGTGCAGTTGGGAGGTTGGCATTAAATCCCAAACACACTTGACACACTCAGCCATCTGGGGATTAAGATTCTAATCCCTTCTTATTGAAACTGCCACTCTGAGGATAACAGCTTATTTTTCTATTACCTGGGATGATGGTATCAGAGATAGGGACACTTTCCTTGTCATCTTTGACAGTGTAAACACTGACATTGTATTCCAGGCCGGGACTCAGATTTTCAAAAGTGCAAGAACTCTGATCCGCACGAACCATTTCTTCCAAAGCATTACCCTGCTGTCCGCTTGTAGGGGTGGTGGTGATTCTATAGCCAGTGATACCTGGAGAACAGAAAGGAGGAAGTTACCACAGAGCATTGATGACCCACAGAGGATTAAACAAGACTCCATGGTGGACTGACGAAGGAGATTGAATGTTTATTAAGGATTCTACTATTATTCAACCCTTTGAGGTTGACCAAGAGTCTGAGTACGGTCAAGAAAATCTTGTGTTAAATAAAATAAGCTCAGGACAGAAAGACAAAACTGTGTATTCTCATTCATTTGTGGAAATTATAATGTTGATCTTATAGAAGAAGAGAGTAGAATGGAGATCACTAGAGACTAGGAAGAGTAGCAAGGAAGGGAGATACAGAAAGGTTAGATAATGGGTCGGGCACAGTGACAGCCAGTTTGGGAGGCTGAAGCAGGAGGATCTTAAGTTTGAGGCCAGCTTCAGCAATTAAATGAGGCCCTAAGCAGCTTAGTGAGACCCTGTCTCAAGATAAAATTTTTTTAAAAAGGGGGCTGACGATGTGGCTCAGTGGTTAAGCACCCCTGGGCTTAATTCCTGTTACCAAAAAACAGAAAGAAAGAAGGCAGGAAGGAATAAGCAAGGAGGGAAGGAAGAAAAAGAAAAAGAAAGGTAGGTAGGTAGGTAAGAAAATGGTACCAGAATACAGGTAGATAGGAGGGATTCGTTTTAGTGTTCTACAGCCCAGCAGGGTGACTATAGTCTATAATGATCTATAATATATTTTGAACTAACTAGAAGAGTCTGAAGATGCCCAACACAGAGAAATAATAAGTATTTGAGGAGATGGAGATGCTTATTTGATCATTACACACTGTTTCTATGAATTCAATTATTTTACTGTATACCCAAAATATGTACAAATTTTGTGTGTCAACTACAAAAAATAATGCTATGTTTCAGCAACAACAGAAAAGAAAGGAAATCTTGGAAAAGGGGGAAATGATGACCAAATTCCTCTCCTCCTACCACTTTCCCCTGCTTTCTCTTAATGATCAAGTCTCGGTAGGACTGTTGAGGGCCATCCCATTTTACCTGCATGGTACGAAACACTCTCGACCTATGGGATTTTCAGGAAGAGAAGCCAAGGTGATGCCGCTCATTCTAGAAAAAGTCTATAAATTATTGAAGACTTCAGGAATCATGGAAATTGGGCAGTAAAAGGATTGAGGGAGAGAAGGGAAAGATTCAAGTAGGTGGTGACAACTAGAGATCTTCAGGACCCAAAGATAAGAGGTGGAAGAGCGATGATGTTGAACTTTCCAAAGGACAAGGAAACAAGGGTCTATTTTATCATTAGGAACAAGGTGAACACTAAAGTGTTATACAAGGAAATCCAGCTGGATGGGAAAAAAAAAAAAATTAGGTCATTGCATTTGCTTGTGATCATCTGATGAGGCCATTGAGACTGGAGATTAATGACTAGCTGCCAGCCAGCATGAAACTCCCCAGCAGAAAGTTTCAAAACCAGAGTAACTCAGTTGGAAACTGGGTAGCTTTGGCTTAAACTATGTGTTCATATATTTAAAAACAAACAACAACAACAAACTTCACCAAAATCATTCTAGACTTCAGAGGGAGATTAGAAAGGACATTTTGAGCTACTTTTACTTTGTGTGATTGTATAGACTGATCAGACTTAGAGATAATTACCTCAGTTTTATACCCACATAGCAGTAGAGGTGTGCAAGAAATACTTCTTACAGGTTTTTATTTTTGTACCAGGGATTGACCTAGGGGCAATTAGGGGCAATTTACCCGTGAGCCACATCCGCAGCCTTTGTTTTATTTTTTTCTTTGTGGTCCTGGGGATTGAACCCAGGGTCTTATGCATGTGAGGCAAGCACTCTACCAATTGAGCTATATCCCATCCTCTTTATTTTGTTTTTAATATTACATTTTATTTTAGAGACAGGGTCTTATTGAATTGCTAAGGGCCTCACTAAGTTGCTGAAGCTTTGAACTCACAATCCTCCTGCCTCAGCCTCCTAAGCCACTGGGATTGCAGGCATGTGCCACTGTACCCAGCTACTTCTTACAAAAATTTTAACAGTAAAATAAGAACGAGTTAAGTAATAAACTAGATATATTCCTCAAGTTAAGTATAGCAGGTATGGATGCAACCAACATGAGCTGAAAGTTTTGTTTAGTATAAAATCTTGGTTTTGGAAAGGTATACACCCTCCGACTGGTCCCAGGCCTACCTGGGGTGGTGCTCCTTTCCCAGGACACAGTAAGCTCTCCAGTATCAGGGTTGGCCTCCAGGTGCAAGTTTGTCGGTGGAGACAGTGCTATGCAAAAAGAAAATGTTAAATTAAAAATGAGAGCTCACACAAAGTACTTTGGCCAGAGGAATGTTTCTTCCCCTTCTTTCTTTTCCCTTCATCCCTCCCTCCCTTCCTTCCAGAATTGGTGAAATTATAGAAGTTAAAGTATGAAAACATGGTGCACGATTATTTTGTACTACTAATGGAATTATTTCCATCTTTCCAGTTTGCAAATACTCTTGACCATGGAAAGAACATATCTTATGCCCCAAAATACCTGGCATGAGTTGGATCCGCTCTCCCAAATTTCTAAATAGTAAGTCGGGATAAGATTTTTCCCCCATACTATTTTTATAAGTAGTGCTATTGACAGATTTTAAAAAGTAGAACAGTTTGAAAAGCTAAAAGAAAAGAAAAAAATACACAAGAACTCTCCCTACGTGTCACCACTCTGTTGACAATCGGCTGTTCGATTTCTTTCCCATCTCTCAGGACTTGGACACTGTAATCATATTCTACTCCTGGAGTCAAGCCAGACACGACAATGCTTCCTGAGTCTGAAGTCACTTCTCGTGGGGCCTCACCTCCCTGGCTTGGTCGCACACCCAGCTAGAGGGAGGAGAGCACATAAACACAAAGGACAAGCATTTCTGGTTAAATAATAGTTAAATTATAAACTAGATACGTGTTGAGAGGTTGTGGTTAGACTTTACATATCATGGCTCCTCAGAAACACACAATGTACTTTCACTGGGGAGGCACTGGGGACGTGCCGTAGCTCTATTTCCAACCTCAGCTGGAAATTCCCTAGATTGGAGCCAGGGTAGAAGAGGTATCATCCAAATGGCACTAAGGTATCTTCCAAATGGCACTAAGGTAGTTTGTGATGGAAGGTTCTAGAGAAATGCCTGGAACCTTCTATTAAAAATGCTGATTTGCTTGATAAAGGACCTTCTGGTATAAACAGGGGGCTTTGGGCCACATGATATAGTTCACTTCTATTTTCTTTTGTATGAGAGGAAACTCCCTAGACACTCTATCAAATGAGTTATTTACATCTAGTGCACTTTTCAGTTGCCATTTCAGGGCACCAGCCTCTGTAGCACCTCTTATTAAAACACACACACACACACACACACACACACACACACACAAAACCCTCCTGTTGAAGACATTATGTTCATAGTTTCAGCTGCAGGATATGTTACAAAAGAAGAATTAAAATAAATGTGCCCATAGTTTTAAATCCTTTCAAATTTCTATTTCAAAAACCCAGGTAACATTGTGTTATGAAATGGTGTTAGACCTCAGAAAAATCCTTCACATGCTACGCAGCATCTGAAGGTTAGATTGATGCCATTAAAGGAAATCCACAAGGTACATTGGCACACTTCAAAAAGGAGTCTCAATAAGTGGCCTAATCATCAATATGGCCATTACATACTCAAAAAGGAAATGACCTCTGGCTTATTTTTAAAACAATCCTGGGGGTTTAGTCTTAATTTCCAGTCTTGATGAATTATTTCTTCCTCCATTCTCTACATAAACAACAAAAGTAATTCTTTCAAGCATATTCATTTGTATTCATCATTTCCCTAATATCATTACTTTAAAGAACATGAATCCAGATATCTACAGGGGAGACCTCAATCTTAACCTCCATTAAAGAGATTTACCCATGGGGCTTTGAACAAGTCAAAAGGAAACTGATAGGATAAAAGTGTGATTTTTAAATGACTCTGAGTTTAATTGTTCTCCCCAAATTGGCTTCTGTGAACTGCTTGGCACCCATTTAGAACAACACATCAAATGGAGTTCTCCTACATTTTTCTTAAATGTAGTTCCCTGGGGGAAAGGATAGAGAAAATAAAAACAGCAACAACTAACAGGTCTGTGCTACTGTTTTCTCCTTTGCAAAGCACTCGCCCAGCCTCAGTCCATCCTTGCAGCAACTGAACAAGGTAAGCAAGGGGATCCTCCAGGTGTGAACAGAGGCAGGTGACAACACCCAGGTCTCCTCTCCTGAACAGCTTCTATCTACTGCATGCAAAAACAGGACGGCTCTATCAAGCCTGCATCACAAGAATTTAGGAACATTTGCAGTTTACCTTAAACCCAATCCTTGGAACAGGGATCCATGTGATCACAATGGTGGTCTCAGTGACCTCTGTGTTGAAAGGTGGAATGGAGCTCGATGGCTGCACTGTGAAATGAACCAACACATGTGTTCAACACCTTCAACTCATAAATGATGGTAGAAAATGTAAAAAACAAGTATCTTTATCTAGAACTTGAGTTTAATGAACCAGTAGATGGAGATGGAGTTACTTCATCAGGTGAAAAGAGCAGTGCTTCTCAATGATCAATGTGCCACACAAATAACCTGGTGAAAATCCAGGTGCTGATTCTGGAGGTCCAGCACAGGGTTGAGGAGCTAGCTTTTCAAACTGGCCAATGATGCCAACTCTGGTCTGTGAATCACACTTGAGTATAACAGGTGGCTAGACAACCCTTTCAACTCCTTAGATTCTGTGATTTGTGGCTTTTCATCATTGTTGGGATTTGAGTTTGGTGACAATAAATTTTCTTATAACAGAATAAAGTCCCTTATAAAATATGTAACTGGTCTCTGCAAACAGATGATCATTTGGTTTCTTAAACATTAAGAGCAATGGTAAAATTACAGATGTGATCTAAAAATAGCTTTTTGCTGAATTTTCCACAATGGTGACCAATATTTTTGGTTGCGGTAAGTGATGCCATATAAAAGTTAAAAAATTCTGAAATCATGGATGTATTTTAATTGTAAAAATTCATCCTTTTAATATATGATTGTTCATTCATAAGAATTCTATAGAAGTTTAGTATCCTACCACTAGAATTAGAAATCATAACAAAGGTTTATTTTGCATCTTCTAGCATCCTAGCACCAGTTATTTCTCTTAGTGAAAAATATTCCTTAAAGCAAGGGATTAGACAAAGGGGAATTAAGGGAAGGGAGTGGGGATGGGAATAGAAAAGACAGCAGAATGAATTGGACATAACTTTTCTATGTTCATATATGAATACCACCAGTGAAACTCCATATCCTGTACAACCTCAAAAACCGGAATCGAATTAGAATAAGTTATACTCCATATGTATATGTCAAAATACACTCTATATCATGTATATCTAAAAAGGACAAATTTTTAAAATGTCTTCAAAAAAGCGAGGAGGAGAAAGAGCATGTGTACACAGTTAAGGCAGGCACTCCCAACAGCCTTGCAAATTCTTGTTATAAACTTAGAAAGATGAGGCTTTGGAAGCCAAGAAGTTTGAGTTGGGTGAATTAAGTTCAAGGGTTTGGAGCACATTAGTAGCCCTGGGTTATGCCTTCACAATTCCTTCCATTTTATGTCCCAATCAAACTCTGTTCTCACTGGGAAAAATAACTACTGAAAGCATTTATTCTAAATCATGAATGGCTAGTGATACAAAGAGTTATCCTCCAGAATTACACCAACAGAGATTAAAAAGTCTTCAGACTCTGGTCTATGTAGCTCCAATCAAATGTTTTTGTTTTTTTTTTTTTCTTTCTATGCCATGTGGGAATTTAGACTCAACACTGCAATTCTTCCTTTTTTTCCCCCAGTCTGGATTTTAATGTCTTACTTCTTATTTTTATTTTTAAAATACTGTGTGGGAAAAAGTCAAATATCTGTGTGGGCCATTTTGCAGACTGCTATAATGGCTGAACTGAACTAAGGTTTAGTGAGCTATTTTGTTAAGTATATTATTCTGGTGGCATTTGGGGAAACGGGGGTGGGTGATCCTTGGTGCTCTCCAGCACCTCTGAAATCATACATTACGTGGCTGTGGCTCACTTTGCCAAAATACCAGAGCCAGCCGGGGGTCACCATTTTTAATGGCCCACAAGAAACAATTTAGGGAACAGTCAATTTCTTTTATTGAACATCTGTGAAAGCCACAACTTTTTCACAAATTACATTCTCTCCAACAGTCCTGGACTTTAGAACTGGGTATTTTCTATTGCTTGAGCTAGACAGGGAAAATCTTCCCAAGTTTAAGATGATCCTCTCTGTCTGGTAAGACCATTACAGGAAAATCACCAAACCACAACCCCACAAACTGATGTCAAACAAAGGATGTGACTGTTAAGTATGAGTTACAGATTCTGGAAGGTCTTGTTAGGTGAAGAACTGCCTGGCTGTTAAAGAAATAAAATATGCCCTATCAATAAAGGAGTGAGCCATATTTTCCCCAGAAATGGCTGCTTCTTCCCACTTTCCTCACATTTGCTCTTAAGAATTCAGCACAAGTTATAAAACTCAAGAAAGTTATTCCCAGAATTCAGCTTAGTAAGACAGTAAAAAAGCTACAGAAAGTTACAAGTAATTTCAAAAACAGCAAGCTCTGCGGATGTTTACAGCCACAGGAGTATTTGAGGTTCAAATGAAGTTGTATAACTCCTTGTTTACGTTGGTTTATTTAAATATAAGCAGGCCTGAGTGGTTCTCATTATCATTTCTTTCTCAATTAATCATCTCTTCAACAAATGTTTTTTGAAAGTATACTCTGCAATGTACTAAGTTAACCTTTACATAATAAAAATTAATTTTGCTATTAGCATTTTAATTCAAATGTAATTATATTTTAAGTAAATATATATATATATATATATATATATATATATATATATATATATATATCATATTCAAGAGAGCAAAAAAATTGCATTTCCAATAAGTGTATCAAAGCTCCCCCCCCCAAAAAAAAGTTCCTGTACTGATCCCCTCACTCCACTTAATTATTGTTATCTTCACTAAAAATTCTCTTTCATTTCATAGGCACTCTATTCAGCAAAAAAAGAAAAGTACATAAAATATGTCTCATGCTAATGAAAAAGACAACTATATAATTCTACATTTCAGTAAAAAAGGCTCTCTGCTGAAAGGAAACAGGCACAGGACTTTCCATTCTAACTCAGTGAAGGCCTTTCTTAAGAAATACAAAGACAATTTCATGAGAGTAGATTTTAGGCTCTCTCAGAACCAGATGACATAAAAGAGTGAAATTTTAAGGTGAACTTTCTTTCAAATTAAAAGCAAATTTCATTTGCCTGTGATTAACAATCATTTAGGAAAAAGCCTTCATTGGCCAGACACCAAATTTAAACAGAAATAAGTTTTTGGTGAAGTATGGATTCTTATGGGTAAACATTTATAGAGAGATTTCTTTGGGGAATAAATTCCAGAGTTATGTACAAACTAAGGGTTGTCTTGACTTTTTTTTGACTGCTTTTGAATGTCTATATTTTTAAATTAGTAAAAGAGGAAGATTTGTGGAAAGCTTTTGGGAAATTGAAAACTAGTACATGGTTGCAATATATGCTGAAAAAAGTGCTTATGTTAGATGTTTTCATAATTCAAAATGTCAAGTTGAAAATAACAAATAATATTTGGCTAGCAATAAAGAGTCTCATAATTCTTTGTAATGTAAATGGAATGTACTTAGTGGAAATCAGTTTGTGATGCCTTTATTGTGATGTGTACATATAGAAGATTTAAGACCATTTCCTCTAAAATGTTGAGCAAAAGTAGAAACATGACCAAAAATTATTGTTAGAATTTTCACCTTCTGTGGAACTTTAAGAGTTTTTTAAGGAAAAGAAAGAAAAGAAAGTTCGTTTTTGTGTCCTATAGAAGTACTTAATGCTTTGCAGTCAACAACACTTGGGAGAAATAATTTCCTCAGCTTCTTGCTCTATTGGTTGGTTTCCACTCAGTCCCTAGATATTTTTTATTCTGCTTGTATGGCTATCATTTGATGCCCAATGTAATAAACTATAGGTAGAGATGCTGATTTAGTTTGTCTTAACCATTTGGTAAATTTATTTTGTCTGATAGAATTCAATTTTTCTAATTGCAGGGTCATTATGCTACTCAAAGTGCTAGCCTAGGAGGAAATAAGGAACTTGGCAATGTATGCAAAAAAAAAAATTTTTTTTTTCCTTTTTTTGAGCCACTATAGATCAAACCCAGGGCTTTGGGCATGCTAGGCATGTGTTTTACATCACCAAACCTCATAGAGAAGACCTTTCTTCAAAAATTTTATCAGCTAAATGAAATAGCATGCTTTTGAATTTCATTCTGGCACAAGCTCCTTGTCTTGTAGCAGATGAATAATAAACAATTTATGGCCCAGCAGCCAATCCGTAGAGCACATTATTAGTAGCATTGCTTTAAATGATGTACTAAGTTTTTAAAGTTAACCTTTAAAAATGGAAGAACAGAGACTGCAAAAATACAGTAAGGAACCTATGATAGGGCTGCGGATACAGCTCAGTTGGTAGAGTGCTTGCCTTACATGCACAAGGCCTTAGGTTCAATCCCCAGTACCATTAAAACAAACAAACAAACAAACAAAAAAAAAACAACTAAATTTTGGCTTACATGTAGTGAAGACTCCAGTGGCTTTGGGGCTCTCTTGGTCGCCTTTGATACCTACGAGGGTGACAGTGTACTCAGACCCAGGCTGCAGGTTCCTCAGGGGGTACTTGGAGACAGAGGGCCCCACGTTGTACTGCTTGGGCCGGCCTCCTCGGGTCAGGCCCACCGTCAGTCGGTACCCTGAGATCCGGGCCCGAGGTGGGGTCCAAGTTACCAGGACAGTTGTGTCACTTTCATTGACAAATTGGAGGTTAGTGGGAGCATCCAGTTCTAGAAAAAAAGATGAAACATGTCAAGAAATATTTAGATCAGTAATTATCTCATTGAAATCTTAAAGCTTGACTAAACAGTGTTGCATTTCTTCTACTCAAGGTAGAAACTAAAGGAAAAGTCAAAACTCTGGAGAAAATGAGCCTTTAAGAGACAGAGCACTTTGTACAACTTTGCCTAAACACTGTGTCAGCCATGAGAAATCCTTGACCTTTTCCCCTTGAGGGTTATCCTTTGGACAGTCTCATTTTCAGCAAGATCTCCCATCACACTCAGAAATTACAATTACATTAAAGCGATGGCATTTTCTTAAAAAAGCAAAACAAATACTTGTGAACCCCACAATTTTCTCAGAGCCAGAAAGGTTATGGGAAGAGAGATAAACTCAATAGAAAGGACAGCAAGACGGAAGTTCCCTATGGATCAAAGGAAGAGTCTATGCATTTATTAAATGAATAGTCCTTTGCTGGAGAAATAAATGTTATTTTCGCATGGTTCTGAGTAGACAATAATTATAGTCATTAGAACAGGCTCAGAACCTCAGATTCTCAGTAGGCATGGGTAACTTTGTACTATCTGAAAGAATAGTACATCCATTGGAATGGAAACATCCATTGTGGGTTTTCTTCTTGAGTATGACAACTAGCAGTTTCCCCTCAGAATTCTAGAACACATTTCAGATACAAGAAATCTTTAGGAGGTGGCTGGGTATAATTGAAAACAGGGAGTCCAGAATCAAAAAGTCAGGTTTTAGAGCCAGTTCTATCTCTTCTTAGCTCTATGACCTTACAACTTGCAGAACTTCAAAAATGTTTAAGTTTCTTTCTGAATCCAGTAAAGATAATAATATTTTCCTTTATAAGATTAAAATGAAGATTAAATATGAGTAGAGTGCTTTGCTAGAACTGAGCAGACAACTCAGTGTTCAAAATAGTAGACACTTATTCATTTCCACATTTTTTTTTTTTGCAGTGTTGGGAATTGAACATATTAGGTAAGTTCTCCACCACTGAGCTACATCCCTAGCCCAGCAACTACAATTCTTAAATTCTACTATAAAAATGTTAGTAGTTTACATTTTAACTTAGATCTAGATATGTTTATTAAATACAAAATGCACTCAAATTACTTAACCATGTTTCCATTAGCAAAGGAAATTAGGTTCTCTTAGTGCCATCCCCCTGAGTATTGGAAATGGATTACCATTTACCATCCACAGAGCTTATCTGAATTTTCATTCCAAGTTTAGTGAGCTTTACACTCAATACACAGTCTCCCTGTTGGGCGTTTTTCTACTGCTAAACTGTAAACCCAGGAGGTTAATAGAACAGCAAGGTTGCACTTCCACATAGGTCAGATGTGAGGGTGGAGAAGCTGGAGGTGGGGCAGACACAGGTAGGAAGAGTACATACTGGTTGTCTGTTGTGCAGTCAGAGGCTTGCTCTCCCTCCCCTGGTTCACAGCAAAGACCTTGAAGTAATAGGTGGCCCCGGGGGACAACCCCATGACTTCTGCAAAAGTGTTCCTGTTAATGGGCAGCCTCTGCCCATGCTCCCCAGGCAAGTTGACAGGGATCACATCCACACGATAGCCGGTCACTGCACTGTCAGGGGGTGTCCACATGATGGTGACCTTCACGTCTGTCACTTCCACAAACTGCAGGTCTTTGGGAGGGGGAACTTTATCTAACAGACAAGAAACAGCAAGTCATTCACAATTCCAACTTTTTTTTGTGTGTGTGTGTACTGGGAATTTAAGCCAGGGAAACTTTACCATTAAGCCACATCCCCAGCCCTTTTAATTTTTTATTTTGAGACAGGGTCTCACTATGTGGCTTAGGGCCTGGATAAGTTGCTGAGGCTGGCCTTGAACTTGAAATCCTGCCTCAGTCTCTCAGGTTGCTGGGATTACAGATGTGCACCACCATGGCCAGCTGAAAAGTGTCTTTAAGGCCATTTTCCTGGACATGTTAGGCACTTCATTGGCTACCCTCCCAGAGCACTGCTAAATTTTGTCTCTTAGCCAGATAATTGGCTTTTTTGCATAGATTTTCACGGTTCAGTCATACTGCTTACATTATAAAATTTGAAGTTTTGTGTCTAAAATACATAGGTAAATGTATGAGTTTACAGCATAAGAGGTATCAATTTGGAGAGAGAAGTTAAACATAAAAAAAATACAGTTTAAGGTAACTGCCCAAAAGATAAGATGGTCTTATTTTACTGAACTATTTTATAATAATTAAGAGCAACAGATAAAATGACCCTAGGCTTCTGAGGAAAAAAAAATAAGAAAAATTGATGGTAAAATTGTTTTTTGACTAGAAGTGCCAACAGCTGTCTTTGATAAGCTCCCTTACTTATATTGTGGACACTTCAGCTGAATATCCTTAGTTTAAGATGATTTGAATGTAGGAACTACTGACAGAGAGAAAACAACCCTCTCTCAGGGACAATCAACCCTTTGTCTTTGTACTCCAGTTCTCCCCAGGAGGCTAATGGAATGAACTGGATCCCAGGAGGTCTACCTGTTATCTAGCTGCCCCAGGGGAGAAGACATCAAGGGGAGCATTACCTGACCGTGGGGTGCCTGTGGTTTCTTGCTGGATGAAGACAGGAGTACTCTCCTGGTTTTCTTCCACCGCATAGATGGTGATGTTGTACTGAACTCCAGGCTGCAAGTCACTGAGAGTGACAGAGTTGGCAGTCTCGGGGAGGTTGAGCTCGGTGCTACCGCCCTCTTCTGATGGTGCATAGACTATTCTGTACCCTGCAGGGTCAGGAGAAAAGTATGAAGTGCTGTTTTATAAAACAGAGGCTAAGAAAATCATAAATCCTCCCCTCTCTAGTCACCCTTACACCTTGCTTGATTAGCTAAGAATCAGCAAGATTCTTTTTGATTCTTTCAATGCTACCACTTCTAATGACTATTCAGCACAAAGATAAAATAAGAAGAGCCATAAAAACCTTTTTAATAATAAATATCATCCTTGAAGACATGAGATACTTAATAACTGTCAATTAGAAAAGCCAGTAGGTGTAAATATTCATGCTAGGCTGATTTCTCTTCTTTGAGCTCTGGATTATGGAAGCAATTAATGAACCAGCCTGAACACAGAGCTCTCAAGCCTTGTCTGTGTCTTTGAGGAACCTCTATTATGAGGCTGAATAGGCAACTTAGCTCTTCTTTAAGAGTAAGCCTTAGTGTAAGGTTTTCAGAAATGCCACACCTCTGCAGCCCTGGAAATGCTTGCTGTAATGGCCAATGAGCTGCCTTTACAGGGGTATGTGTGTGAGTGTGTAAGGAGTTGGTAAAATGGAATGTTACACTGATCCACAGTATGAATCTGCTCTTGCCACACTTATGCCATAAAGATTAACAAAGAAGCCAAAGAACAAGGCTAAGCCCACCTGTGATTGGTGCCTGGGGTCTGCTCCATCGAACAACAATGGAGGTGTCATCAACTTGGCCCACAGTAGGATCAGGAGGGGCATCAGGAGCTAACAAAGAAAGGAAAGAGGAAGTGAGGCAGCTGGGCAACTTTGCTATAGCCCTGCTTTTACAAAAGGATTCCTTTAACACCATGTAGCACACAGGTACCTGTTGTCTGTGAGGTAGACAGGATCAAACTTTGCTCCCCGTCTTCGGCTATCTGATAGACATTTACAATGTACTTTCGGCCAGGAAGCAGGTCAGGGATGCTCACAGAAGTGGCTGTGCTCGGGAGTTCTTTGGAATAAAAAAGGAAAAGTCACTGATCAAAGCAAACCAATGCCTCCACAGCTGATATAAGAAGAACTACGTATCACAGGGGGGAAAAGACTAGAAGGAGATGTAGTAAAAGATAATCAGTGATTATTAATGTACTATGGGATATTTCTTCTTTCATTTTTCCAAAATCTTCTCCTAAAGATGCATAGTTTTAATAATCCACCCCCAAATTTTTGAAAATAGCTCTGTGTGGTTATAAGTCATAGTAGCAGCAACGGGCAGAAAGTGATGGGGGTCGGGGTGGGAGGGATATTCTTTTTCTTGACCTGGATGCTGGTCCCATGAATGAGTTCAACAAACTTTGTAAAAGATCTCTAACCAGGGGAATCTGAAAAGCATAAGCAAAGGACCTGAGCACTCTTCAAAGCTACCATCATCAGAGGTAGTCCTCATATACAATCACTGCCATGAGAAAATAGCTTCTGTTGTGCAAACCTATGTCCAGGCAAATGCTTGGTGCTCAGTGAAGCTCACATCAGGGACCAGGACAAAGTGTCGTTGCTCACAGGAACCCAGCCAGTTCTGTAAAGGATCAGCCCCTCCCTGACTTTTATCAGAGGGGAGAGTGTTCAGACCACGTATGATGCCCTGTCCCCAGGGGGTCTACCCATCACCCCTCCAAACCTGTCCTGGGACAACGTGTTTAGCTTACCCAGGTACCGTGGCTCATCTCCCTCCTCACTCAGTTCATACTCCACCCGGAATCCAGACACAGTATCGGAAGCTGAGACCCATGAGACCACAAAGCTGCTGGCAGTGATTTCAGTCACAGATTCAGACGTGGCCACTACCGGTGACAAAGGTGTCGTCTCTCCTGTCACGGTGTTGCCTAGAATGCCACAGAAAGGGGGAGAACAGTCCTTGAGTTTTCTAGAATGTTCACCCTTCTTGTCTGAAGAATACTGTAATTTAAAAAATGTAGGTGCCATTCACGGAAGGAATTGAACTGAGAATGAAGCAGGTCCTGCAGGGAGCACAAGTCTGGGATACCCAGGTGTAGACACGAGGATGCTAGGTACGTACTGGTCCCTTTGGGGGTGCTGCTGCTGGTGGTGGTGAAGTCAAAGCGTGTCACTTCTCTGTGGCCATACTGCTGAATACTGATGAGCTGCCCCTCATATATCACTCCTGGGGTCAGGCCTTTGATGACGTAGGAGTTTAAGTGACCAGGAATGGTAGCGTCTTTCCAACGGCCCACAGAATTTTTCTGAAAATTTAAATGAAATTTAAAAAAAGAAAAAATCACACAAGAGTTTGCAAGGATGCACATTCAGAGATGAGGGTGAGCAATCTTCAAAGACAAATCAGAAGATTTTCAGCTCCACTCTGGAGGACAATCGTGGAAAACTGAATTCAGAACAGGGGCTAGTAGTAAAGTTTGTTGGTGTTAATAATTGTATTGTAAGTATTATTTATTGAGAGTTTATAGCTCTGTGCTGTTTTGCTTGCTTTCTCCCACTGATCTTCACCTCCCTGCATCCTACTCAGTAGTGTGGGTATCATTGCTCTCATTTTACAGGTGGAAAAACCAAGAGTTATGTGACATGCTGGAGGTTATGAATTTGCAAGTGCTGAACACCTTTGCTTTGGCCAGAGCAATTACTTAATATTGGTGAATACAATTATGATATCCTAAATTTTCATGTTGCCCACTTTTTTTTTTCCACTTTTACAATAAGCAGAGATAGTTTCCTTTCTAAAATGGGAAATATGTTCTATCATCTTTTAAGTTGGTGGGATATAATTCAAGTTTCTTGCCCTGCGGAAGTGTCCAAAGGCACCATACTGTTTTTGCGATTCAGATTCTGGGGACAGCACAAACAAGATTCAACTGGTCTGGTTTTGTGACTCATTCTTGGATACAAACTATCCCATCAAAAGTGGTCAGCCAACTTTGGGCAAGACTATAGAAGAATGTAATTTCAGTTTATTTAATCTTTTGCTCCTGGTTTACATTTTCACATCCTGTTCAACTTCATTAATATGTCATAGATCACAAAGCTCACTGCAATAGAATGTGTGGAAAAGAAACACCCTAACTTCAAACAAGATGAAATCCTTTTAAGTATAAATATTCAAAGTAGTATGAGTATCAAAATACATTTTGTATCCCCAGTGATTTTTCTTTTTAATTGCCCAATCAACCAGTTCATAGATTTAATTCAAATGCTCAAATGCCCATTTATATTTTGGGGATAAATGAAAGTGATCCTAATATCCTTTGAACTTAAATTTTAACTCAAATACACTGTGAAAAATTTTGAAATTAGTCATTAAAATTAGCTCCAAATTGGTAGTAAACTTGTATTCAATGTGAGCTTTTAAAATTAGCTATCAGAAGAAAAGATTAGAAAATATACTCATAAGGAAACAATCGAAAAGTTTTCATTTTAATAGACATTTTCTCCTGTATTTAAAGTACTGTTCCTCAAATCATGTTATGAACTTAGAAGTTGTATTGGGGTAGGTTTGAGAGGGTAAGAAAAACTAAAGCTTAATGGACATTATCTTCCTTGGTATGGTTTCTTCAGTTTCTAGACGTTTAGAAAATCACAGGACTCATTCTTTAAATAAACCAACTATCATCCCTCATCTTCACCTTCCTCTCATCATCTCTTTCTCTTCTATCTAAATAATCTCAGGAGATAAAATTAATGCTTGAAACAATGAACCTTAGGCTGGAGATGTGGCTCAGTGGTAGAGCACTTGCCTGGCATGCAGGATACCTGGGGTTTGATCCTCAGTACCACACACAAAACAAAACAAAAACCAAAAATATGGTTTAAAAAGTGAATCAAAAAAGAAAGGAATTAATTTACAGGACAGATCCCAATAAGTTCTTCCTTTAATAGAGTGGAAAGACATGCAAAAAAATTAGATTATCTTCCCACATTGGGCAAGATTAAGTTTATGCTATCATTTCTAATTCCTTGCAAAGATCATTTGTAACATAAATTTCTAAATTCTAAATACAAAAAAAAAAAAAAAAAAACCCAGTCAATTTGATTGACCACATATTCTCACTAAGAAAACATACTGACAGTTAATTAGATCCGTTGACTCAAAAGCTAGAAACAAACAAAAGAAACATATCAGAATTTGGTGAGATCGGGATACTCAATGTTCAGGGTTTCTGGATGGATACTCACAGGTCTCCACCTGAGAATGTACTTGGTGATGTGAGATGGTTCTGGTGCATTCCAATGGATGGGGTGAGAGTTGGGCTGACTGGGGGTCTCAGTGATAATTACTTGGACAGGACCAGATGTACCTAAACATTTTAAAAGATGAGATTTGGTTATATAGAGTATTCACTCCAATTTAAAATTTAATGTTCATGGATGTCATCATTAAAAACGGATTGCTTATCAATTAATATTACTATAATAAAAATGATCTGGGCTTGGTTAAGCCTTTTACCTCCTGACACTGGAAATCAATGCAACAAATTCTTTCTTAGATGATTATTATTGTTCTTCAAATGAGAAACACAAATGTTTATAACAAATAAAACTATTGTTTTTTTTTAATCTCCTTAATCTGTTTTCTTCTTTATTTTCAAAGGAAAATTGTGAAACAATTGTGAAATTGCTTTAACACAGACAATGTAATTCAGAATACAAACTTCATTTACTGATTATATTGTTTCCTTTAAAGAAAATTCTAATTTGTGAAAGTTTCATTACCAATGACTCTGCTATCTGAGAAGAAAACAACATTCCAAAGGCCATATGACATGATGTAAAACAAACACATTTCTAAATGGTGCCGAATCTTAGGCAAATAGACAAAGGTAATAATTAAAAACCCAGTTTTATTTCTCATCAGCCTAAGCATTCTGCCAGTTTGGAAAAAGAAATCTAGCTTTATTTCTATTCAAAAAGTATACTCTAAAATCACACCACTGGTCAAATTATTAAAAGATCAAAAATTTTTTTCAAAAGGAGTTAACAACTAAAATGACATTATCAAGTACATAATAAATTCAATGTTTCCACATCTTGGTATGTGTGACTGTTACGGACTTGGTTCTTTTGTTTAAGGAAAAGGAAAAATAAGGAAAGAGAATCAATTTATTAATACAATAGACTCCACTTAGGATAAAACAAAACAGTCCTGAAATATTTAGGTTTATAGAACAGAAAACTATCTTTCTCTTAAACTCTGTATTCTCTATAATGTCAGCCAATGTTCAATTTTCTAGAAATAAAAAAGTTCTTTGTAATAAATAACCTTTCCAAGAATTTTGTATGTTTAATAAAGCACTTCACCAGATTATTAACAGATTTAACTTTCCTGAAAGGTCTCAGGGAAAAGTATATTTATTTTCGAATATATAGAAACTTATTTATATATATATTTAGTATCTTAGCCATTAAATTATCTTTGAAAACAAAGTCTTCTCTAGCAGAGGTAAATCTAGGTATACTTAAAAGTCCTAGAATAATACACTGACTCTCATGCGGGTAAAAATTCAAAGTTGGTTGGAGATCCAAATATTCTTTGAATCTTAATTTCATTGAGGGTACATATTTCCAGGCCACATGGCTATCAAAGTTCATATATAAAATTCACAGTTTTCCATTCTAAAGTGATACATATTTCACAGAACATGCAGGATGTTTGTTTTAATCAATTGGCAAAAGTTACATGACCCTCTTTGAAACATCCCTCTGTTCATGGAGATTCTCACAAATATGAATATGTTTTTAAAGATAAATATTTAAGAAAAGTTTTAGAGATGTGACTATTTAAAGTACTTTCATATAAGTCAGTAAATAGAGGAATATCAGATCCTTAAGTTATTTATGATCATTGGCATTAGGTTGTATAAATATTGATCCTTGAAAGAAATCCTACTACAAACTCTTCAGAGAAAGAGACACCTGGTGTACACTTTATTTAGGGTGTCAATCATGACTTTGAGGCGGGGGGGAAGTGTATGAAGAATGAACGTCTATGAAGATAGTTTTAAAAAGACAATACAAGTCACCTTTAAGAATAATTATACTGCCATGTCCACGAGGACACTAGGAGGAGGATGACAAAGGGGAATGAAGGGATATGGGAAAAGGTTACCACGATGGTTTGACCCTAGCCAAAGAGAAACACACAGGAGTCACCCCCTTTCCTTTGCTGTTCTGAAATTCTAGGTTTTAATGTTGAGGCTTATGCCGTGGCACACCTTTAATGGAACTGCACTGAATAACAAATGGGGACTTTAATCACCACACTCTACTTTATACTACATACAATTCAGACACCACTGACAATATTTACATTTTTTACCTTTATTTATTCATTTTTTATTTTTTTGGTGATGCTGGATTGAATCCAGGGACTCCCATGTGCTAATAAGCAAGCTCTCTACCAATGAGCTACATCACCAGCCCTTTTTAAATTTTATTTTGAAACAAGGTCTCACAAAATTGCCCAGACTGGCCTTGAACTTGAGATTCTCCTGCCTCACCCTTTACAGTAGCTAGGATTACAGTGTGCATAGCCAAGCTGGATATGCTCATTCTTTTAATATTGGCTGGTTGGTAGAAATTCTTCAATCAACCTCTCTGGCATACAGTAGCAATATACTACCAATAATTCACCACCAAAATCTTTACTCTCTTTCTTCTTTAGTATGATTAAACAAACAATAAAGTAGTTAAGATAGACACCAGGTCTACCCCTATAAAAACAGCTTAAAATAAGGTCAAAATGAATAATTTCCAGTAACGGTGATCTTGTAGAAGTTAAACATTCATGATTTTTAGACTCAGTCACTTTTCCCTCTGTTTAATTTGCTAAGCTCTGTGTTCTCCTAGTTGCTTATTAACAAACCAAAAGCCATGTATCTTTTGCTAGTTTGAACAACTCTAACAAGTCCTCTGTAGGAGGAACAAACAGAACAGAGCTCAGAGACTATCTGTTGGTAATCTGTTGTCCCTTTATTCTTTCCACACTCTTAAAGCACCATATGCTTCACATGAGCCATTGAGCAAAGAGATAAACACCTAAGAATGAGGCTGAGCCCCTCTCCCCAAGGTCTCCCCTGCGCAATGGATACCTGGCCCTCCTCTTTTTCAGATAACAGGAACAAAGGCATCAGGTAAAACTACAACCAAAAGACTCCTTCCCACCCCGATTATATCTCTAACAGATCCACCTAAATGCAAGCAAGCAGCTGTGTGGACAGGTTTATTTCAAAAAAAAATAGAGGAAAGATTTCTGTAAATCACTCAGGAGAAAATAGTTTCCAACAATTGCCACATCAATTTCAATAATCGTAAACATAAAAACAGGAATATTTCTTTACAAGGTTCTATCCTCTGGTTGCATCATTTAAAACAAACCCAATGCATATTTTCTGAACCTATAGTGCTTTTGTAATCAGATGTAAAACTATATTAAATTTTTTTTTTTTATATCAGGGATTGAACCAAGAGGTTCTTAACCACAGGGTCATATCCCCATCCCTTTTTTATTTTTTAGTTTGAAACAAGGTCTCACTAAATTGCTGAGGCTGCTTTGAATTTGAAATCCTCCTGCCTCAGCCTCCTGATCCACTGGGATTACAGATGTGTGCCACAGTGCCTAGCTAAATTAAAAAAAAAAAAAAAATTAAGGTGATTCTTTAGCCTAAATCTACCAAGAAACACAACTTAAAGGGCAGGTGGGTCTGTGCCCTGAGCATATGCAGTCACCTTCTCCAGATCTGATAATGTCTGAGGATTGGCAAGAGCTAAATCTCCCAGGGTCATAGAAAGGATGCAATGGCGACTGCTATTTAGGATCACAAACTGTCAGATTATTAGTGTGGAAGGAATTTTGAAGGTAATTAGCTACAATCCCCCCAGTTTACAGATGAGGAAATGGAGAACAGAAGCTTGACTGCTATCCCTTTGGCAACACATAGGGTTTAGACCCAAGGTTTGGCTAATGCTGCCTTTGGCCAAATGGCTCCCACAGCTCATTCCCTGTGAGAGAGACTCTGTTATCACATTCCACAGAAAGGAAATTAATTTAATTTTAATTTCTGTCATATACAGATTCTGACACCCCTAAAATATTTTTCTTTCTGATTGTGGGCCATATTCTCTCTAAAATTAATAGAGATTTAGGAGATTTTTATACCTAAGTAGTTGCTCACAAAACTGATGCTGAATAAGTAGACTTTCATAATTTAATGTTTTATTATAATCACTCAGCAAATTTAAAAAATTTTAAATTTCCCCCAAATGAATTCATAACACCTACAGCTAGGCATCATGTCTTTGTGTCCTGAAAAAAACCAGCAACAGCATTTGAGGGTGTTTGAACTGTGTAGGCAAAGATGACCAAGTTACTCAACTCTTGGCCCAGGATACTTTGTTCTACATTCTAACTGATCAAACAAATGAAAGCTTTACACCAAGAGGGCCTAGGTGACATGGGGAGCGAACACATGCCCCGTACTGCACTTCATCCCGTCTCTAGGCAACTTCTCTGTCAAGAACCAGGATAGAAAGCCCCAAGCCCCCAGCACCACTCACTCCATGGTTTCTGTTTCCATGTATGGGTGTGAAGATAAAATGAGTCAGTGTTATAACCTAGAGGAACATTCTACTATATAAAACAGAAAATAACATATATATGCCTGTTCAGAGCCTTCGTACCTTTCACTGGATAGATTGGGTGGGGGAGAAAGGAAAATCATTTTATTCAAAAATTTAATCCAGTTTTAGACTGATACGAGAAATGGATGGAAAAGAGAGAAGCCCGCACCTTGGGCCTCAGAGTATGATGAGCACTAATGCTGCCTGCGGTTACAACTACTGACAGTTCCCACTGACAGTTACAGAGCTGCTTACCTGGATAGGCCTGCAAGGGCTGGCAGTGCCACTCCCCAATGCCACGGCCATAGCAGTAGCACTGGTACCTGATACCATGCACATGTTTCTCCCATGAGTCTCCAATTTGATAAAATGTCCGAGTTTCTGAATCCTGGCACTGATCTAGAATACATGCAAGGAAAAGATAAATAGCCTTGAAGATTTAAGTCTACCAAGTAAATTTCAGGGTGCTAGAGCATGCATTCTTGGAAAGTTGAATAAAAATGTCCAACTCTCCTTATAATTATATGCAGTTAAAAAAAAACACTTTGTTCACATTCTTTGCCTTACAGGATGATTCGTTTAAAAAATATCCATTGGAAGGAATATTTAGTTTTCTAAAAACGGATATGTTTCTGAGTAAAAATGAAAAGAATAAGATCAATATTAGTCTGTGCATTAATTTTTCAAAAATTACATATTTTATTTTAATGATATTAGTGTAACTGGCTTGCCATTTGAATAGCTAGGAAAAATTTGCAATAATTTCACTTTATATACTTCCTTAAAATCTGGGGGAACTAGATTTTAACTACGAGTACCCACTGAGCAGCTTCTAAGAAAACCTTCAAGGATCCTTCCCAGCTTGGTCAATCTTAGTTTGCTTTTGTGGTGAGCAACTTGCTTCTTTCAGTAAAGAAGTATTAATGAATTACCCTAAACTTTGGAGCACTAGGAACACAGCTCTTTTAAGATCCAACCTTTCCTCTTTGCTCAGTGCTACTTTAAAGGGAAGCCAAAAAATGGAGTGTTCTAGAAGGAGGTAGCGCTGGCATACTTCTTTGCCCATATTAATGCACATTCAGCAAATAAAAGTGCCTTTTCCTAACATGAGTCAGAACTAAAGAACTAAATTTATTGAATTAAAACAGATGGCTACCACTATTGAGACAGAAAAAACTTTGCAAAGCTCTGTAAACAGCTGAGCAAACTCTGGATCAACTTCCGTCATGTAGCATTGAATATCTTTCCTTATCTAAAACTGACTGGCCATGCTTCATACCCAAAACCATCCCAGGAAAAGGGGTACTCACCAATGGGATCACACTGCCATCGGCCTCGGCCCTGACCAAAGCAGGTACAGTTCAGCATGTGTCCCTCTTCGTGTCGCTTGTGGAATGTGTCATTCACGTTGTAAGTGATGTCATCAACAATGCACTGATCTGTTTAGAGAAGAGTTAGATGGGTGAGGAACTTTCAAAATCTCACTGACAAAATAAAATGAATTAAACTTTTCAAAGCATATTCCCCCGTCTTGATTATTAACAGATTGCGTGAGAAGAATTTTCTACTGGTATAGAATATTCTAACTTTTTTTCAAAGCTTAGTCAGTATTACAATTTTTGCCCCCCCCCCCATTTTCTCTTATAGACATAAATGTTCAAGTTTACAGCATATACAACTAAAGCCAATTTTTAAACATATACATGTCTTAGTTTCTGAAAAGAAACTTGCTTAGGTGATAATTTTCTTTAAATCTCTGCTTGCCATAAGAAGATGATTTAACATAATATATAGTACACAGCACAGTGTTGTGATCTGGTCTCTGGAATGGGGAGAAGGGAGGAGACATTGGATTAGGGAAATAAAATTACATCAATGCATCTTTGTAAAGTTAAATTAAATCAACTCTGTGTCTCACTCCGTGAGAGATCCTGAGAAAAATCACTTGATCCTGAGAAAATCACTTTGCTTCTTTGGGTCTCAGCATCTGCATTTGTGAAAGGAGGACTTGGTTTGCACACCATACTAAGTAAGTAAGGCTCCTTTTGGCTCTGCCATATCATATGCAATTACTATTATTCCTGGATTGTGTATCCATTCAACACCACAAAAGGAATAAGCTCAAGCCAATATCTACTCACTAGCTACTATTATGACTATTTATTAGCTCAGAGTTCTACCCAAATATTACTTTTCAAATCAAAGAAGTGGAAAACTGAAAGTCTGAATGAATCAACACCTCCTCATATTGAATCTTTGGGTTCAAAGGGGGGAAAGTAATCTGAACAAAGGAAATGGATCACTCCACGTATTCTTAAATTCTTCTTAAATTCAAATCTACAAGAGTCTGATTTTAGAATGGCAGTGTTTGTTCTTTGTAGAAATAATCCAATCTCTTTTAGACACAAATGCTGTGGTATCATGTAAAGCTCGGAGGATCAAATGTGTTCTTGCTTTTGAAGCTACCCTTTTGGCTCAGCCTAAGTTCTTCCATCCTTGGAATGCTTCAAAGCCTTAGAATTACTCTGCCAGATCTTACCAGTTCATGAACCACACAGGCATTTTGATTTCAAAGTTAGAGCCAGGCCCAAGCCCAGTCTGACTCTACTGGGTTTTATCTTCTTGGGGGAGGTCTAGAGAGTTGGTGCATGTCCTCTATTCTGAGCTGATATTACCCATTGTACCTCTTTCGAGAATCAATTTTTGGCCGGGTACATGGTGCACACCTATAATCCTAGAAGCTCAGGAGGCTGAGACAGGAGGATCACAAGTTCAAAGCTAGCCTCAGCAAAACTGAGGTGTTAAAAAAGTCAGTGAGAACCTGTCTCTAAATAAAATACAAAATAGGGCTGGGGATGTGGCTCAGTGGTTGAGTGACCCTGAGTTCAATCCCTGGTATCCCCTCCACAAAATAGAATCAATTTTCCCCTCCTCTGTCCTTCAATGCCACAGGGCAAATGTTCACAGACATTCCACTTTACTGTGCTTTTTCTCATTGCTACTGAGACAAAGAAAGAGAAATAGTAAAAATGGAAAAATCACAAAGATCATAGGTTTCTATAAAGTTTTTCCAAAATCTTCCTAAAATCTTTTCACTGTGATAATGTCCCATCAAATGTAATAAATGGAAATCTCTTTGAGAAAAGAAAAGAATCATCATGCCAGCTTTTCCTAACTGGCTCCCCCCCAAAATGAACTTCTTCAGCATAGCAGACTGACTAATGGAGTGGCATTGGGGGCTTCTTCTTCTGCTATAGGTAAAGTACAAGTTTTCACATTAAAGTCTCTCTGTGTACCCTTTGTTCTCTCAAATGCTTTGGTTAATAAGGCAATATACCTCGGAGTTTGGAGTAGGCGACACATGTCCATTCTCCACGGCCATTCCCAATACACGTGCACCTCATCATGTGGCCCATATCATGTTGCTTATCCCACTGGTCTCCAATGCGATACATGACTCCTTCGTTGGTTGTGCAGATTTCCTCATGGGCTGTTTTGAAATGGAGAAGCAATGCATTTGATAAACAATCACAGGGTCAAGGCAGGTGTGCAAACACCATTATCAGTCCAGTCTAGTCTTCCCAAGAATTCTCACTTGGAAAGACTTGTGTGCCTCAAAAATACCTACAGCTGTAAGGCAGAGGCAGAGTGTTCTGAGCTCTGGAGAGAGGAAGCATCATCCAAAGGGAAAGTGTGGTTTTTTGTTCGCTTGTTTTTTTAATTTTTAATTTATTATTGTTGGTGTATTAAAATATATATAATAGTGGGATTCATGATACCATATTCATACATGCACGGAATACAATTTGGTCTCTTGGTGGGGGTTGTTAAATTAAGGTGATACCTGAACGTTCACTCATCTACCAGGCTTTAGGTAGAAGCCTGGATTGAGTACTGCTTTTAATTTTCCTATTTCCAGTTTATTCTAGTTCAAAGGAAAACTGTGTTTGGGTGTTGAATTGTAAGCAAAAGTGAGTTTTCCTTTTAAACTCAATATGATCTTTTGTTGCAAAGAAAGCAATAAATGCATGGGTGGTTTCCTTGAGTCTTGTTCATGGGTTGACGCTGCAGAGTATACAAGTTCTTGGTTCTACAACCAGAAAAATCAAATGTACAGTTTGGAACTCTTGAAATTTGAAAACAAATAAAAGATACTGGTTCCCCTTTCTCCATATAAACTGGAGATTTAAAAAAAAATTCCCTATTGTCAGAAAACAAATTTTCAGATTTGTCTCTATCACTTTGGTATTTAATAAGCGTTAGAGCTAATGCCAGCCAAACAGTCACGTGTCAATACTATAGCTCTGTGACTACAGCAGTCAAGTTGTTTTAAGTGACTCAAGCATAGCAAAGTGTGATCTTGACAAACGTCAAACCTTTGCAACTTTATATTTTCAGATTTCTAAAAAAAAACATTTTTAATTGTCTTTGTGTATTTTGGACATTAAAACACGTCAATGAGATTTTAAAAGGATTCAGATAATTATATAAATCATATTTTTTTCAATTCGAATGTATATGATGTAACATGTACACACATATATCACATAGATTTTTCTTCTCCAAATTATCTTATTGGGTGAAGTAGGAGTAAACAGGACACCCATCTGTCTCTACTCTCTGAATGGCTGTCCACAAGGGCAGCCCAGAGGGCTTCCTCTTACCAGCCATGGGGCAGAATCCAAACTTCTGGTCAGCATCATAGTTCTGTGTGGTTCCGCACCATTTCATGTTGTCTCTCCTGCCCTCAGAAGTACAATCGGTGTAATTGCGGTTGTTGTACAGGAAGGGGAAGTGGCACAAGGCACCATTGGAATTTCCACCTCGAGTTTGAACCAAAACTGCTCAACACACAAATAGAAAGGAGATTACAACTGAGCTTTCCCAGGTACACAGGGGAATCACTACGGGGTCGTTCTGAGATCCAGGTTTCTGCATTAATTCCCAAACAGTCTCTCAGAATAAAAAAGTCTGATAATTTAAATACACTCAATTTCTTAGTGTATTCACCTTCACCTTCAAATCAGAGTTAAATCCCATTGTCACTCATTTTCCCAGAAAAAAATATAAATAATAGCTTTGAATAAAACATACTTTTAACCAGAAGATAAGGAAAGGCATTCAGATAGCCATCCAGAGTATTTTTCAGCTCAGTGGGATCATCTACTGATTTCAAGATGTATCTTTAATCACATCATAATCTCTATGTATCAGTATAAATGACCTAGAGGGCTTTTCTCTAAGCAGCACTGGGAAACATGGGGAGATACCCAGATGCTAAGTCACCATATCTTTTGGTCGAAGAAGATCAAAAGCAATGGTTCTGGTGCAACCTCACAATTCATGGTTAGACTGTTGGCAAATAAGATGGGTTTTTCTCACTTCTGTGGTTTCTCCTGGAACACTCACCAGTATGGTCTGTACAGAAAGAGTATTTCTGATCCTGTTCATAATTCCAAGTCGTGCTGCACCAAAGATGCCCATCCTGTCGCCCTTCTGTGGTGCAGGAGTAGAAAGTCCTGCCATTGTAGACGAATGGTAAGACGCACGGCTCCCCGTTTGAATTGCCACCAAAAGTCTGGGTTACCGCTATTAGCATAACAGAAAGAATTTCAGTTAATAGAGCTCTCTCACCAATGGCAGCTTATTTATAGCTTAAATGAGAGATTGAGCTTCTGCCCACAAAGAAAAAAGCTGGGAGGACAGATGATCATCTGGTTAATTTCAGTTAAAATGCATTATTAAGAAAACCATGCCTGCTATGGATAGAACCAAGGATCTGAGTTCTCTGCTCATATCCTTTGTTACCTCTTCTGCGACCATGCCTTGGTTTCTCTATTTATAAAGCTATATTTATACAAGTTAATTAAAGATGTGGCTCAAAGATGCTGAGGGGATATGTATGACTATGTCTTTGCCATAAGAAATAACACTTGAGGCTATTTTAAGGCAATTTCTTTTGAAAAGGGCACCAATTTATTATTACTATAGTTGTTGCCATATTTGTAGCCCAGAAGAGATGCATTAGGTTACTGAACGATGTTTACATCACAAAGCTGATGAAATTTGAGACGCAGAGTATAAAATTTGGATGCTTAGTTATTCTGAAAGCAACCCTCTTGTAACAATATTTTGGGCAAATAAAGATAATGCATAGCAGTTTGAGCCCCACAATAGGAAGGAAATACATAAATTAAAAAAAAACATTGGAAGAAAACACATGAAATGTTACCCCAATTGTCTTCACAGAGGAGTAAGATTATAAGATTTTTCTCATTTTATTGCATTACATATTTTGTAAATGAAGGTATTGCAAAAAATAAGTAACAAAGTCATCTGTACTGTTTTTTTTAATATTTAATTTTTAGTTGTAATTGGACACAATACTTTTATTTATTTCTATGTGGTGCTGAGGATTGAACCCAGGGCCTCACACATGCTAGGCGAGTGCTCTACTGCTGAGCCACAACCCCAGCCCCCTGAACTGTTTTTCTGAAATGATAATGCATACCTGTCTCCTGACAGCTGATGCCATTGCCCAAGCAAGTGCAAAGCATTTGCTTGTTTCCTTGTGTCTTCAGCCATTGCATCCCCACAGAGTAGATCACACCACTGTCTGTGACACAGTGACCATAGGGAACAGGCTGGGGGTGAGTCGGGGGCTGGTAAATGGCTTTCCGGACATCTGTGATGGAGCCAGAGCCTAAGGGCACAAGAAATGAAAGTCACAAAACTGGATAAGAGAAGACAGTGAACGAATTCTTGGAGTCAGAATCCTTAGGATCTCACAGAGATCACTCTGACTTCCACGTGTCACTGGTCTGGAAAAGAAATGTCCCTTCCATTCTGCATTGTAGCTTTTGCATTCAGTCCAAGAAATTATCCACAAAACTTTACCAAATGGTCTCCATCTTCCAGTTCATCTGTGCTACTGGGATTATATTTTTAAATGACAGACATCATTCTGCCATTTCACCGAGCAGATACTTTAAACAAATACTCACTCAGGCCAGGAAACTCATAGTCCATGAGTTTCACAATCCTGCATTTGGCTAACTTCCTGCCAGCCTCACTTCTGGTCACTTTCTTCTCTGCTCTATGCCTTAGACCACTGAGCTGTTCATCCCCAGTATACCTAGAATCACGTGCTGACCTTTTCCTCATGCATTCCCCTTACCTTACATGATCTGCCTCACCCTTCCTCTCTTAGCAGCCACCATAAGTCCATGCACTTGGGCATTGTTTCTTCTGACACTGATTTTAGGGGCCTCTGCCACTGTACAGCAGACCTCTTGCCATCCTGTAACTGCACTCACTGGTGGGTACCCTGGGCAGCCGTACTGGATTCCTTACAAGCTGCCCTTACTTTCTGCATCTTGCTCTTCCACAGGATTACTTGTGCTTTTGTTATTTGTTTTTCTAAAATTAATTAATCCTCCTTAGACAAGTTTCCTTCTGGATTAACACAACAGAATGTGCTTATTTTTTCTTGCAACTTTGGGAAATATGTTCTCCTGAAGGCCAGGGTTCATAGCAGAGTCAGAACCGAGGCTAGAATGACTGGTAGACTGAATTCCGTACACTAGAGCCCAGAGATACTTCACAGAGAAAGGAGCCTAGGTCAAAGACTGGGAAGATGGCCCTGTCTCGTACACCCCACACTGAGAATCAGGAGGCAAAGGGACATAAAGGATCTGTGCAGCAGGTTTCATTTTGTTTAGCTCAGTATTCCTCAAACTGTTTTGAACAGGGAAACCTTTTTAGCATAGAATTAGTAATTAATAAAAATAGTTAATATTCAACGAGTCTTTACCCCCAGTTAATTTCCAATGACTCCTTTACTCTATTTTAGTAGGCAACTGTGATTATTTTTTGTTTTTGTTTTTGTTTTTGTTTTTTTGCTTTTTTGTTCAGCAACAACTTTATTGATGGTAACCAAATAACTCAAAGATACCATCAAGTCTTGTTTTGCTCATTTTTATAAGTGTTAGATCAAAATAAAACCTCATCAAAAGGAAAAAAATCCAATCCATTAATATTTTTAGCTAAAAGACTGATAGCTAAGAAGCTAAGTAACAATGCTGGCACATTAACAAAAATGTACTGAGAATAATAGCAGAGCAAGGGTACACCCTTGATAACTATATTTCTTTCTTCAGACTCTTACAAAACATCTGTGATGCAAAAAAATCTTTTCTCATACCAGAAGTTACTGAAATTTCTTTTTAAAAATATTAAAGTTATTGTTAGTTGTTTTCCTGCTGGGAATTGCACCCGGGGCCTCTACAAGGCTAAAACATGCACTCTGCTCCTGAGCTACACCCTACCTCCTATCATGTTTTTAAATATGATATTTCCCCCCACTAAGGTCTGTTTTCACTTCATCTTAATTTTCCTCCAAAATTTAAAGCCTGTTAGTAAAAAAAGTTTTTAACAACTAATAATCTGTAAATGATCTCAGCTTATTAGTTGAAACTCTGCAAATCCTCAAATGGCATGTCAAGGGAAAGGTGGGTTTGCAGAAATATTTCTTGAGCCACTTCCCCATTCTTGGCCCTAGTCATCCCGTGTCTCACCAGAGGACGTGGCCTGCAGAGATGTGTGCCTTTCGCACTTCCACTCCCCTCTGCCGTTGCCTGTGCAGATGCACTGCAGCAGGTTTCCTCGATTATCCTTCTTGCTCCAGGTATCTCCAATTTTATAGGATGACCTTGTGTCCTGATCGTTGCATCTGTCTGTTTCAGAAAAGAAGCATGTAAGTACATAAATCAGATCGAGATTGGCAAGGGATCAATTCGAACCTAACAAAGGAATACAGTTTAACGTTTGGTAGCCCACATTTCTGTAAGGTTTATATTCAGCTCTGGTGCTGTAGATATTAAATTTCTACAAGATGAGACTGCATTTGCTAAGTGGATAAGTAGAGCTATGTTGTTCCACCTAATTCCACCTTTCTGTTTGCCAAAACTTGTTCATCATATTCTATTAATTTTTTTTTTTTGGGGGGGGGGCATGGGGAGTATCCAGGATTGAACTCAGGAACACTCTGCCACTTAGCCACATCCCAGCCCTATTTTGTACTTTATTTAGAGACAGGGTCTCACTGAGTTGCTTAGCACCTCACTTTTGCTGAGGCAGGCTTTGAACTGAAGATCCTTCTGCCTCAGCCTCCTGAGACGCTGGGATTACAGACGTGTGCCACCACCCCCTGGCAGCATTAATCTTTTAAAATAGCTTTCACGCTGTTCTTTTAACCAAAATCATTCTCAGATATTGTATTATATCATTCTCAGGTATTGTACTATTCTGTATTTTTCCTTCTCAGGCTCTCCTGGGCCTTCTCTTAGTAATAATTATGGGCTGCCTTTCAATAGAACTTTCTTTAGAACACCAGACAGGAAGCCCTGAGGGTCTCCTGGGTCTCTACCAATTGCCCCAAGGAAGCTATAAAAAGACAGTAGGATCACTTTATCCATTTGTTATGTAAAAATATTCAGCAGAGGAACAATCTATGACTAAAATGTTCTCTTACTCTCCCCCCAAATACCTATTTAAAATTCACTAACTAAATAACCTCTTTTGAATTGTTCACTATTACCACTCTAAAGGAAAAGTGGGATTATTCATGTAAAATAGTAATTGGTAACTAAATTACCATTAGTCTATGTGCTTAGTTATCTGGCAGATAGATCTTTTAAATTATAATCCAGCTTCATCCATATGCTACAATGTGAATATAGAGGATCTGTTTGTGAATCAGATACTACTACAACTGTTGGGTTGGAAAAAATAATAATTAGATAGCTGGTGTAGGCACACACAAATCCACCATGGGATCTGCCAAGAGAATGGAGGTTGAACAAAGGTATTGCTGGTTAGAACTTTCCTCCAAACCCCAATCAAAAGTCATTCCCTGACCCCCACAATTCTGTTTTCAGTATCTTGGGGTCAAACTCCTAACATTGGGTTATGTAGGTGGTAAGTACATATAATCCTTTCTCATCTCCCTGACCTACTAAGTGCTCTCAGAAAGCTTGGCTAATGTTCAATTTATATTTACCTCCTTCTTCTACCACCTTTTACAAAGTATGTACTTATGAAATCTCATGGAATAAATAATCTTTAAGAAACTTTTGCCAACTTCCTATTAGAAAAGTTTTAAATAATAGATAAGAATTCGAGTTAGATTTTGAATTTGTCTTAAGCTAAAATATTGCCACAATGGCCTTAAAGACTGAGAATCAGAACATTTTAAGTACAAAAAATCTAATGAACTAGTAAGTTTCTGAGAAATATTTGGTCAGAATCATTGTCATTTTATATGAGACTTATTTTTTGTTGTTGTTGTTGTTGTTAGCAAAGAATTTGAATTTGAAGGAGTCTTTTAAGATAATTAAGTGTTTTAAGCTAAATTAGTAAAATAGGTGCAAGATATTTAGATTTGATTTTAAATTCAGTTATAATCTATATCATCAATAGTTAATGGCTGTTTTGCATCAACATATTATATAGCTGCTGTTAGTTTGAAATTCTACAAAAGGGGCCCTGAAAACAATGGCAACAATTTATATTTCAAACAATTTAAAAAGGATCATTAAAGATTCCCAAGGCCAAATTTTCAATAGCACTAAGAAGTTGGGTAAGAGACACTATCTTTGATGCCAGAGTTGACAACTTTAACCTATGGGATAAATACTTTTAATTTTCATCAATTTTGCTCATAAATCTTTTAAACCTAAAAGGAAACCTAAACCTTTGGAGCTTGGTTCATTTCCATGTCAAATGCATCCCATGCCACAAGATATATTGGTGTGCTATTTTTAATAATCTTTGCTCTTTTTGAGATACTTGAAAAAATCTCAGTGACAATTTAGATCATGCATAGAACTAATCTTTAAATCTATGACACATTTAGCATCTGAATAAATATGAAGATTTTTTTTCTTAGTAGCCATAGCATAAGACCTCTTGAACAAAGATTGTTGTTTTCTACTTATTTAGTCTTCTCAGATACAGAACACAGTGGCTATAGAACTTTTCCTGACATCCTAAACTCTGCAGGGTTGTTATTGTATTGGATGTGTTCTAAGAGACATCATATTATAATTCTCTCTAGGAATTCCAGAAAACAGTAGCTGGCCTCATCGTCAACACAAAGACCTAACACATACTTCTAGAGGTGCAAGTGATGCGTCCGCTGCCTTCTCCCAGGCAAGTACAATCCACCATCATCCAGCCTTGATAGGGCTTTTCCCAGGTTTCCCCAACAACATAGGAAGTCCCAGCAGCATTATCAAAACATTTCTCAGCTGTAGAACAATTTGGAAGAGAGAGAGAGAGAGAGAGAAGGTTATTTTGAATTGTACAGTCTCCCTGTAATTTAAAGTGTAGTGTGTTAGCAAAAAAAATCCAGCCACATTTTTTTAAGTGGCACTCTCTTCGGAAAGAAAGGCACGCCCTGAACCTAAGCACAGAGTAAGCAGCCAAAGCAAAAGAAGCTCCAGTCAAACTGGCAGGAAGAGCTTCTCTTCTACTAATGATTAGCACATGGACTGCACGTTTTCAGCCAGTCTCAAGCTTCCCACCAGCGCTTGGTGTGAAAAGTATGTATGTATCTAGTCGGTGGGAAAATTCCAAACTTAATTATGAATTATGAATGGCCTGAATAAGACAACAAAAGACCTCTTTCAAATTTGGATTTCTGTAAAAACAACATAAAAACCCCCAAATTAGAGAACAATAAGCAAAGGGAACCAAAAAACTTTTGGACTTATATATATATGAGTTCAGGTGAGGATTGAGACTAAGAAAAGCTCACAAATTTTTATTGTGAAAATAAATTGCCAATGTGCAACAAACAGCACATGCCATTGTACGTTCCAGTCCAGTGCATTTCAATGAAATGTGACAAAAGTGTCATTTTTTTTTCTTTTGAATAATTTATATCTTAACCAAGGTGGATCTGAGATCAAATGTATATTTTGTTTTTGTTTTTGTTTTGATTTGATTTTGCAGTGCTGGGGACCGAATCCAGGGCCTCATACATGCTAGGCAAGCACTGCACCACTAAGCCCCATAGAGCTATAGTCCTTTATTAACAAAAGAAGGGCCTTCATCCTAAATCTTTCAACTCTACCTTGTGATTTTGAAACAAAATGAAGACTTCTGTATATGGTTAGTACTTTATAATCTGATTTCCTTAAGAAGATTGCAGATCATGTAACATTTCATTAGTTAAAATAAAATTCCCATTTCACTATTTTTGAAATTGGAATTCAGATTTCCAGTTCATGTACATGTGATTTGGGTTCGACTCAACATTATAGCTCTGCTTGGTGCCCCTATTAATCCGCAAAAGCCACACACCTATAGGCTTGCAGGTCCACTCTCCTTTCCCGTTGCCAAGACACACACACTCCAACATGTAACCACCAGTCTCATGAGGTCTCCTCCAGGTGTCACCGATCTTGTAGGACTGACCCCCTTCGTGGCAGCGGTCTGTTTAAGAAAGAAGGCAAGGGTTGATAGAGTGGGACAGAGAATTAAGGAGGAAAAAAGTCTTGTGTTCTACCTAGAACAGGCACTTATATAATCTAAAGTGAGACACAGAGAACAGTTTCTGTGTCCTACTAGAGACACAGAAAAGTTAACAGAGCTGGTCACTCTGGGTCAATTCAATTAAATGTCTTTGTGCCTAAAGTTCAAAGGAAACCACAGAGAAATCTGAATATCAAAGAAAAGGCAATAAATCCTGATTCCCCAGAGAGATCACCGAAAATTGGGTCCTAACAGAAAAGAAAGGTGGGGAGGCTTGGCCTCCACCCATGCACAACTGGTTGAGCCTGAGACCACTCAATGCAAAGGCCACATTTGGTAGAGCATTCCCATTTGCAGGTGTATAGAAAGCCTATAATTTACCCTAGGATAGGTATGTAATTTTGGTGGAAAGCAAATGGATACATGCATATAAAGTGTGGGAATCCTGATGCTTCTCTAGGATATTAAATCCAATAGCAAATCCAAAGGCTAAATTGTTCACTAGATAGTAAACACTGTAGACCACTGATCTTGAGATCTGCCTATGAAGTTTCATAAACTCTAGCTTAAGTGTGGGGAAAGTTGATTTTGTTTATTCACAAGAAGCTAATTTGTTCTTTTGGATGGAAACTTTAATATAAATGATTTAAAAATCCTATTAATAGAAAATACTGGTAACTCAATGAATCATACTAGAATGATTGCCTTAGCTTCACTAGAGCTGATGAGAATCAGCCCAGTCCCCAGTATTCCTTGGGCGTGCTACTGGGTTAATCATTTCGTATTATCTCTGGGAATTACTATCTCAGAGATCTGCTTCCTGGATTAACCTATCGGTCACAAATAAACAGACCATTTCTGATATGCAAGAGGTCTCTGCATTGCAAACAAGAAAAGCAGATAAGCTATGACTGACTCACTCTTCATGAACATCTTTCCAATCACTGGGCTTGAAGATGCCCAGGTAATTTAAAATACTGACTCCCCTAAGCACATCCTACTGAAATGGAACTCAAGAGAGCAATTTGATTAACCATGTATATACACGCACGCACACAGGGACATAAACACACACTTATAAATTCATACACATTAAATACTCTTTCCACCAGTGCTTAGAATCATCTTCTAGAAGCACAGAACCAGTTGGGTGGCCATACAAAAGCACCTGGTCACCAGGGGCAAATCCCAAAGGGAAGAATAGTCCATCATGGGTAACAGAGAATAACAGTGGCATTAATAGAGAAATTCACATTTATGACAGTTTATCATCATTTTACAGAACGTCTTCCTTACTTGCAATCGTGCAGCTTATTCTCCCTCTCCCGGCCCCGATGCAGGTACAATCCCAGATCATGGAATCTTTAGGGCGCTCATAAGTGTCACCCACTCGGTAAGTGTTCCCAGTATACTTGTCAAAACAAGTCTCTTCAGCTGAGGAGAGAAGAAGCCCGTGTGAGCCTCACATATGTGCAAGCCTTTCTGCCCCACTAATCCATCCAGAGGAAAATGCGCTTTTCTGTTTGAACAGCTACTGCAAGTTTTAAAATGAAGTGCAGAGTTACAGATTCTACCCTTGGCACAAAAAAAGGTCACAGTTTTTGACCACTGACAAGTTCTCAAATTTTCTGTAAATATTTCTATCAGAAAGAATTCTCAGGGGGAAAAAAATTCATACAGAGTAGTAGCTTACAACAGGCTAGACTGAAGAAAGGGATTCAGATTCCAATCTCTGAATCAGGGCCATATAAAAAGCAGTTTGAAGACCCCCACCTCCCTCTAGGCATCGACCCTTGTTAATTCTACTAAGTATTTCCATTTGAGCCTCATTGGTGCTTCTCTGAAGGCATTGCTATAATTTACAAGAAATACATCAATGCTCTGAAGGTATGAACACTTTGAAGTGGTTAGTGGTTTTGCATTGAACCACAGCTGACAAATCACTTTACAATATAGTACCCTAAAGTGTTTTCTGGCCCATAATCTTATAGTTCAAGATCTGAGATTACTTTCTAATAAACTTTTATAAGTTTTGTTTTGTTTTGTTTTGAAGGAGGACTCACAGAATCTTTCATTTTTCTCATTAAAAACTTTGGGAGAGTAAAAGAAAAAGACGACTCTGGAAACAAATTTGGAATATATTGTTTAAAGGTAAAAGTGGAATATGAAAAGCCCACATAACCAGCTTAGAAAGAAGAAATAATAGGCAATTCTATTAGAAAAATGGTGCGTGTATTTTTATTTAGTGCTAAATTTGAGTAACAAGACTCACTCATTTATTAAAAGACTCTAGTGACATCCCTGCTCCCCACACAACACTTACGCTCAGGTTTGCTCTCGCAGTTGAAACCTCGACTCCCTCCATAACAGGTACAGACCAAGGCATTGCCTAGGTAGGTGCGCTCCCACTGTTGGTTTATCTGATAGTGTTTTCCATTGTCAAAACAACCAGCTGTAAATAATTGAAGGAAAAAGTCATTAAACTTCCATTCCTCCTTTTGTTCAAATTATGGATTTTTTTTTCTTTACACACAATCAAATTAATAAGTCTGGGCACCAAACAGAAAAAGAACTTAATCACCAGAATGCCAGGATAATTAAAAATAATATTCTACTAAAATATAGACGTAGAAACTAGTTATTCAAGGAGTTAACCACAATTTGTATAGGTGGATATTTGAATTTATTTTTCTTTTAACTTAGCTAAAATGTTATGCAATGTCATTTCCATCTGGCCAAGGGTCTACATCAAAGAAATGGAACAATTCTAAAAGGTGGATAATTGAAATTAACATTTTGAAATATGCAAGGAACTTCAATATCCTTTTGGAAAAAGAAGTCAAGAAAGGCAACTTTAAAGTTTCCTTTCCCTAAGGCAAAGGGAGGGTGTGTCTTTGAAAAACTGGAAGAGGAATTCCAATCTCTTCTTGGTGAAGAATCCCAAGGGGCCTCAGAGCAATCTGAACCAATTACGGATCTTTCAAGTTAGTAAGAAACAAGTTATTATCTTCTCACCTCCACTTGGAAAATATTTAACAAGTTATTTAGTAACAAAGAAAATAAGGAGCAGATGGAAAATTGATAGGCACACATGATCTTTCTCTTTAAAAGCAAGTTTTGATTAATTCATAGAAGGTCACTCTGGACGTGTAGAATTGATTACAACAGTGGAGGACACTGCAGAGCCCCTGTCCTCCAATGCATTATCTCCTCTTAAGGCCCCCAGAATCCTCTTGCTCAAACCAAGAGCCTTTTGTGTCCACAGCTGGTTTCTCTCAAAAAAGCGCGCACTCACACACACACACACACACACACACACACGCGCGCGCAAAACTTCAGCCACAACTTTACTTAGCGTTAAGGTGCCATCCCGGCGACCGCCTGTTTTCAGTCCGCGGTCAGTACTTACGCTTACTTTGAGCGACAGTCACGGGGGATTGGGGTTGCACGATTTGCTGAGCCTGCCTCTTGCTCTTCGAGGCCCCAGTGGAGGGCACCGCTGTCCCCAGGCACAGGACCGCCAGCAGCAGCAGCCGGGGCCCAGGACCCCTGAGCATCTTGAGTGGGTGGTGGGGGGGAAGCCGTCCTCACCAGAAGGCAAGTGGGCAACAAGTTGGGTTCCCTTCGCAACCTGCGGGAAAATTCCTTCCCAACGCTTTTAAGACGGTGGGGGCCAGAGGATGGGGAAGGGAACCCGTGGAAGGACAGAAGAGGTGGACAGGGCGGCAGAAGTTGTAGCTGCAGGTCCCTTCTCCACCGCTCGCGCCAGGGGTTCCTCCTCCTCCCCCTGTACAGCGCGAGCGACAGAGCCCGGGACGCCCCGGCTTATATGGGACGGTCCCCTCCGCCCCCTGCGAGGCCCGGGGCGCAGGAGAGGAGGGCTCTGCGGCTCTCCCCACGCCCTCCCACCGCCGCCTCTGCCGCCGCCGCGGCGGCCGACCGCGCAACGATTGGCCCGGGCTCCTGGTGACGTCACGGGGGACTGTGGGTTCGCCCCGAACAAAAGAGATGCTGATCGCCCGCCAGGATTGGGGCAAGAGAACTTTTTATTTTTGGTTTCCTTTGCGGTCGTCAAACTTTTTGGGCGATCGGGGGGAGGGATGGGAAGCGACTGTAAAGGAGTAGACTGGGAGGAGAGGGAGGGGCTGGAGTTGGGGGAAGCGACCGGCTTGCAAGGCTGCCCCCTCTTCCCTTTTCTTTCTTTTTAAATTGGGGGTGGTGGTGGTGTTTGAGGACATTGCGTCACCTCTAGGGGGAAAAAGTCTGTATTCACAGGAGTGCATTTTGTGGGGGAGGAAAAACCATAAAGTAGCCACCACCTTCCAGCTGTAGGAATCCAGACTTTGCAGTCCCAGGGCGGGGCTGGCTTTTTTTTCTGTTGCCTTTCTTTGGTCTAATGTGTCCTGGGTTGGGACATCCTTTCTTTGACTTCACGGGCGTCCTGTTCAGACTTCTTTCCTCTACGCTGTACCTACCTGGATAGGAGAAAGGGCCAGCCGGGGAATGGTTGGCGAAGGGGAAAGTAAGCCTTTAATGAGTTTCTATTAAGTTCCAGGAGTTCTTGGGGGTGCTTTGCAGATTTGGGAAAAAATTGAGAGAACGAAGCGGGGTTTTGTTTGAAAAGACAAAACAACAGTTTCCTTTTTATATACGCAAGAATATAAAATGTAAAAAGAATATAGATCTTTCTTCCCTGGGAATGGGAGGCCCGTTTCTACTGGAAGAATCATCAGTAGTGAACAAGCTGAGAACTGAAAAGTCTGACCGGTTGTGGACGGACAAAAAGATCCCTGTCCTTGCCAAGTTCATTGCCCTTTACTCACACAGCAGAGATTTTGCTAGAATCACTAAAAGCTGGGGTGGTAGTGGTGGTGAACTTCTACAGTCTTGCCTTCCTACAGCCCCCAGCTTGAGTTTGCCTGGCATTTTCTTTTTTTGCAGAAATCAGTTTCATCAAATAATTCCCCACCCCACCCACTCGAGTCCCCGCCGCCAGATTTTTATGTTTCAATTGTTATTTTCTCCAAGAATGTGGAAAGTTCCCATTTAAGACTTCCTTTGTCTTTCCTTCTAAACTCGGGTGGTGGAAAGGGAACCTGAGAAGTCTCCAGCATTTAGCAACTCATGACATTGGTCCTTTTTTTTTTTTTTTCTTTCCTCTAGGCAAACACAAGTTTACTTGATTTTTAAAGGTTTTCAAAAGGAGAAGCCCACAGTTTTCACAGTAGCCCCTGAGAGATCTACACTCAAAGCTCTGTTTTCTCCTTAGGATAGAAGTGCAGAGGTCCCCTTTGCTTTGAGAACATATTAAAGTTACTAGCAAAATATGTTTTTTTCTGCAAGGTACGTGTTCTCTCCAAAAGTTCCTCCTTCAGAACTTCCATAGGGGTAATTTGAACTCCACCGTCTGAAAAATCCCTAACACATTTAAAGACACAAAACTAACATTTGTTTTTGTTGATGTAAGGAATTAAAAACAAAAAACCACAGCAAACATCAGTTTCCTGCAAGTGGTGTAAAATAATTCTTGAGGAATCTTTGTGACCAATACTCCAAGTTGAAAGAGCACCATAGATTTCCCCAAATTTAGAATCGTCTGGGTTAGAGTTTTTTTTTTTTTTTTTTTTTTTTCTCATCACCACTAGACAAAAAGTTTTCTCTTTCAAATATAAAAGGGCTCCTTGTAAAACACTTAGTAAATTTCTGGGAAGCCCAGTGTTCCTTCCAGAGGAAAGGATACCTGGAAATCAGGATGTAAGCAAGATAAACCTGAAGCTAAAGTGGTTTTAAAATACACAGATTCTGGAGGAAGGAAATAAGTGGTCTGAAAAGTATTTTGTCAACCAAAAACATGAGGGTTTGTTATATTTATTCTACTCAAAATACATTAGAATAATATACCTATGAGGGCTTGGGAGTGGAGAAAAGCCCACTGTACTTTGCAGACATTTTTTATATTTCAATCTCATAGAAATATAATTTAAGAATCTTTAAAATTTCTAATGTCTCACAAGCAAAAGCATAATATTTGTCTGAATTTTAAAGAAATCTTGGGAGTTTACCCTTTTACTTAAAAGTTGTTTTTTCTTTATTTTAAAGTTGTTTTTTATTGTTGTTTTGTTTTCTAACTTTGGAGATTGAAACATTTTCTTGGTTAAGATAACAGGGCTCTACAGCATTCTTTCATTACCCAAATCCCTTGTAGCTCTGTAAGTCTGTTATCTCTAACTGGGAGATAATTAAATCTTAAAGACCACACTAAGGCAACTGAAGTCTCTAGTGCCCAAGATTTCCTTAAGAACTCTGAATAGTTTGACAGGGTAGGTTCTTCTTCAGTGAATAGTGGCCTTTTACTTGTAGGAAACACCCTTGGGTTTCTCTCATTAAATAATAAATAAACAAGCAAACAAACAAAAACTCCATTTTTTGTAATGGAGAAGCAGCCATTACAAAAAAACAAAAAACAAAAACAAACAAACAAAAAAACGAATAATCCATAGCAACAGAAAGTGCATTGGTGAGTATCTGGAGCTGGGAATGGGAATTAACTATTTTAATACCCACAAAAGAATTTTACTGGGGTGATGGAAATAAGTGTTCTAAAACTAGATTGTGGGGGTAACTGCCCTGTTAGGTAGTTCCTAAAAATCACAAGAGTTGTGCACTTAAAATGGATGTTCTAATGTAAATTATATGTTAATAGAGTTTTTAAAAAAATTTTGATTTTAAAACTGCATTTTAAAAAATTCTGTTGTATTTTTGACATCTCCTGATTTTGTTTTCAAGACTTGCTCCCGAGCGATAACAACATACCCAAGGTGCCTTTATTTCTCATTTTTCTAAGAGAAAGTTTGCCTTGACTACAGGAGATTTTCTTATGCACCAGTGGTATCTTATAAAACCTAGTCTTTGAGTGATGGTTGGTTCATCGTGGCAGAGACAGAACAGATTGTGATTGAGGACTGTGTCTTGTTTCTTCTTGGAATTGCCTCAGTTGATAGAATTTTTCCCAGCACTACAAACAACTTCTGTAACAAGAAGGGACACATATATGTGTGTGTGGGTGGGGTGGAAGGGGTATTATTTGAATGATTTGTTATTGGAAAGGGTTAATGAGGAGCATGAGCAGTTATGGAAATCTGAGTTGAACTGGCTTCATTCAAGTGGAAGATTGGCAACGGAGACATTTGGTTAAGCAACAAAATAATTTATCAGATCCACCAACTTAGAAAAATTGAAAAATTCAGGGATGAATTTTAAAAGGTAATTTTTTTTCCAAGCCAAAAAAATCAGCTTTTCTTTAAGACTGATAAGCACAATTAGGACAATATTTTTCCTATTAAATCCCTTCCCTATTGGGAGAAAAACTTTTTCCCTGATAAGCAATACTTCTTGACCCCAAGGGTTACAATTAGATGACAATGGACCATTTTTCCTGAAAACCTTTGGCATTTGCTCTGCTCTTAATCCCTGAACTGCAAGGGACAGGCCATTGAGTAGGTGATCTCTGGAACTTTCAGTCTTAAAATCCTGTGGTGTACTTATACGTTTCATGGTTTTTGTTTTTTTTTCTAGGTAAGTTGGATGGAGGTAAATTACAGTAGTGTTTATTTCTTATCTTGATTTAATTATTTTGGCATGAAATTCTTCCCTTCTTCCCTTGAAATGGGCCAAGTTTGCAAAAATGCTACTCATTAAGCACAGGTGGTGAGAAAGAAAAGAAAGTGCCCCATGGGTGGCCCACATGGGTAGAATGTCTGAGTAGTTTGTCTAGAACTGACAGGGCACCTGCAACCAGGCAGAAAATACCTGATAAGTGCTTTAAACTGTGCCATGAAAGCTACCTTGTTTTCACTTAGCAAGCATTTTGTTTATATTTTAAGTGACTTTATTTTTTTTAATCAGCACTTTTAAAATCCTTAATCTACATCTTTTGCTTCTTAACAGGAGTACTTTTTTCTCATTAGAGTGATGTAACTCCCAAAAGGCTTTGTAAAGGAATCTAATTCATCCAGTAAAATAGAAATAAACTACTGTGTAGCTGGAACACACCACCAAGATTGTGTTATAGGACATTTCTACTCCCCAAGATAGGTGGCGCTTTCTTGGGGAGTTTTAATTTTTTGTGTTTTATTGCTCATTTTTCCAGTTTTGCACTATTTTTGTGGTACTTTGTCTTGAAAGGCTGCATTTTTCAATATTTTAATTATTTTCTATCCTTTTTACATTCACATATGTTAAACATTCACATACAGCTAGTCATGCAAGTTGAAGTAAATGCTTAAAACAAAACATAATGTTTAAAATAAACTTTTATGCTAAAAATTAACTTGTGATATAGGTGATTAATAATCCCTTTTTCTAATTAATTATAATAAATTAAGGAATGCTGAATTTAATTACAAAAATGAAAGCATAGATATAGAGTTAACCCTAAATTATATACTGAATCATTGTCTAGATAAATTTGGCATATTCTTTTATTAGCTATGAAAGTTTTACTGAGGTGGAATGGACATTGACAGTCATTACTATCTTAAACATGGAAAACAAAGGCACAGTTCACAAACACAAGAATCATAAATTGCAGAATCACAACAATTACAGTTCTGGAAGAGAAATAATTAAATCGCTAGATTTTATGAAGCACTGATCTGAATCAGATGGAGTACACTAAGTACTTTAGATGCAATTTTTTAAATTCAATCAATAACAATTCCT